ACCCGACTCCTGTCCCCCCTCTCCCCCCGCTGGCCACTTTGCGTATGCTCTCGTGTGTGTAAATATTTTTGGATGCTACCTTTAAATAAGTCAATCCGCACTCAGTTTAAAGCGAGTGGGAGAGAATAGAATCATTTATAATTAGACGATTTCATCGGAGCGTGTGCCAAATTGTCTATAAACCAGGATGTAGTAGTACCTGCATATGTTTTGCAATCAGTTATGACCTGCCCGGGCTCCACTAACAGTCAGTGATAAGGATGAAGCAAGGCAGCAGGCGAGATCTAACTTTGCCGGTGGCAATATCATATCTATCGACAGATAATAAATAAATATCTATGCATAAATCGATGGGCCAATATTGTTTCTTATCACGCTGTATGAGCTGGACGTCTAATTAATGCACTAAATAAATAAATGCCGAAACTAATTAAGCTTTTGACAAAAATGAAATGGCTTTTCAGGTGTATTGCGCACATACAATTGACAGGTATTAAGCTAAACAAATTACATGCCAGTTATCATTATGGAGTTAGATAAAAGCGCGTGTTGCGCTTGTTTTGCCAAACAATTTGAATGAATTTGTTGTAATTGATGCAAACAGCTTAAACAAATATTTTTTGGCATAGAACTTAGCTGGTGACAAAATAGCTGCCATTAATTGTTGTTATACAATCAATTTACGTTTTGAATTTATATGGCAAATACAACTGTTGCTGCTGCTGCTGCTGTTTTTTTTTTTTTTTTTTAGTGAAACAATGTTGTTAACCTCAAAAGCCGCCAAGAACGTCAACAACTAAAACTTGGATCGCACGTACAAAGCGACGCGTTGCGTCTAACAAGGCGGGAGGGGTGCTGTGAGCTGTACGGGGGCTTGGGCTCTAAAACGGTATGGGGTTACCTTTGTTATGTACTGTGTATATGATATCATTATGCACACACACACACACACACACGCACACATACGCATATATGAAATTTAATGCACAAAGCTACGTAGGAACTTATTACAGATCCGCACATAACTTATTAGCGGGGTTTAGCGTAGTTTGGCATAACTTGCCAAAGTTGTTATTTTATTTATTATTGTGTTGTTGGTTTTTTGTTTTTTACTTTTTTTTGACGGCATTACATATTGAAACAGCTGTATTGCCATAAAATAGAAGAGAAAAAAAGTGACAAAATCTCACGCGCACATAAGCCAAATGTTAAAACAGATCTCTAAAAGCTGAAACAATTTGCATTTATGAATATATTTTCTTTTATAGCATTTATGCGATTTGCCCTTACTTATAAAAACCCTTCAGTCATAATTCAAATTGTAAACTACCTGAAGTAACTGCCAGATGATGCGTTACACTTGAATCGATTTTATCGCCTGTTTCGTCTTATCATTTGTTGCTCTTTTCTTTTAATTTGTCTTTTTCTTTTGTATTGGATTTTTGTGAGGCTTTAAGTGTAGTTTGTTTTGTTATTGCCCAATGTTGTATGTGTAACAGTTAACGGTAATCTTCTCGCTGTTATCAACACTGTTTTATTGTTTATGATCACTTGCACTTCCAAATTAAACTTGAAAAGGAAAGCCAAGCGCGTATAGCACATACACACATTCGCCGCGCGCTTGACAAAGGCACTAAATCTGATTTAAATTTTATCCAACTTGGACGCAACGAAAATCAAAAAACCGCAAAAGCGAAACAGTCAACGCGGCGTCGTTAAAATTAGCACTAAACTCGCATGCGTCGCCCAGCGAATGTGCGGCCTATGATTTCTACTAACGTGTACAGTGGGGCACGGCTTAAACGAATCTATTTACATATGTCAAATTTGTAAGAAAATGATATGCATTAAATTTGGACAATAATCCTGCTTATTTGGAACATTTGTATTCTTAAGTTTATGGTAAACCCAAATTATCTACAACATTATATAACAAATTTTTGAAAACGACTTATTTATTTATTTTTAATTTGTTTTGTTTTTTGGTTTTCTCAAGATGGAAACACAGATGCAGTCATAGCTAATATTTTCACATTATTAAAGTTGCACAGATTATTGAAAGGGAATCATCATTTTATCAACAATTTTCCTCCTGCTTGGTGTTAAGTAAGTTTTTTAAGCTACATTCCACTGTGCACAAATGTGCGCTCGCGCGCTCTCTTTCTCTCTCGCATTCTCAGCAGTGGCGCTCGGCACCTGCTGTTGCAGTGTTAGTTTGTGTGACTGTGTGTGTGTGTGTGTGTGTGTGTGTGTGTGTGTGTGTGTGTGTGTGTGAAGTGGAATGGGGAGCGAAGAGCCCTCTTTTTCTTCCACAGCATGTGTTTCTGCGACCGTGAGGAGGCTGTTCATGCTCTTTCTTTTTGAAGATTTTTGTAAAATGTAAACAAAACGTTGTGCGAGCGAGTAACTGATGTTATTATTGTTATTTTTATTGTTGTTGGTGCTGTCGCCGTCTCGGTATTCTTCTGATAAACGCTAATTTGCATATTGCTGTTGCGCGTTTATGTTCCATGTTTACTCTAGTGTCAGCCATTAAATGATAAAATAAACGTTTCTTAAATATGAAAGCGATTAGGAAGGAAGTCGTGCAACAAAAGACTATTACCACATATCTCTAAAACTTTTGGTCAACAAATTAATATCCTTATTTAGTATATTGTACTTGAGACGCAAATGATTGCTATGAGTACTCCAGTCCTCGATGCCATGATGGAACATCACCTCCACCACCAACAACTGCTCGTATAGCACATCCCAATCGATGCCGATGGTGGCAGCGCATGTTTCAAGCAGCCAGCGAAACGAACAGGGGAAGATCGTACGCAGTTTCTGCTTACTCGTGTCACTAATCCTTGTTATATATCCGTGTAGCAGCCAACAATCGAAATTGGAAATTTTTAACAAAAGCTCATCCAGCTGCTGTTGCTTTGCGCCGTCTTCAACTTGATTTGCATCACTGCTTTCCGGCTTAGGCTGAGCTGACGCTTCTATTTCTTCGGACAATGGTCGCATTTGGCGACGAGGCATCTTTAGCGGCACACGCAAAGGATCCATGTTGCGCTCATCGAACGTTTGTATGGCTGCCAATTTGTTTAGCGACACCTCCTCATTGTTCAGAGTTAGTACATAAGTGGGAGTGTCGCGTATTTTCCAAAACGGATTGTCAGTCTCCAAGGCTTCGCGGCGTTCGGCGCGTTCTCTCATTTTATTTGCATATTGCCGACCATAAGATGCAACAGGTTGACGAAATACAAAGCAGGGTCGCTTTTCCCGCCGCCGTAGTTCGTCAATCCAGGTCTGTGTATCTATGTCACAATTAGCGCGCCATTCCTTTTGACGATTTGGTTGGCGTGGCAGCATCTGAAAAATGCCTGTCTCCTGGTAATCCTCCTGGCATGCCAATTCCTCTACACGAAGGGCTTTGCCACGCACGGCTAACTGCTGAGCCAACTCTGTGGTTTGATTTTTAAATGGCGCGAGTTGGCGCTCTGTGTGATCTACTTTCATAAAGTCCGGAATCTGTACACTCATCTCGCGCTGCTGCGCTTGGCTGGCGTGGAGGAGAATGCGCTTAAAGTAGCTATGGGCCGGGGTAAGGCTAGGCTGAAACTCTATGTGATCCTTCGTTGCACTGTCGGCACAGGACTCGCCGAATTTGTTTTTCAGCAGTGTCTCAAAAATGAGACAAATGTTCTCGTTCACGCGCTGCATGGCCGGTGTCATCAGCATCTCGTTGTAGTTATATTCATGCTCCTTCTGTTTTTTCTCCTTCTTCAGAAAGTCGTCAATCTTGCGCCCACTCTGAGTAGCCGTACCAAATCGCTGTGCAAAGCTTTCGCTATAGTGAGAAACCACAATTTTACGCAACTCCACAAACTCCATCCATTCGGTAAAGACAAAAAGTGGCGCCACTGACTGCTGCAGCTCCTCTGTCTGCTGGTGAAGCTGTTTATTAATGAGAATGGCAGATTCTGATATAGCGCGCTCCTTAACATCATCCAGGCCAAACAACAGCTTTAATACGTATATGATGTAGGCCATAACACGAGCCTCATAGCGGGGATACACATGTAGTCCGTAAATGGGTTCAAAGGTGGGTGGCAGCATATCCATTAAACTGCAGACGTAGCTTGCTATTAGCGGCGGCAAACTCAGTTCTAGTACATAGCGCTTTGTGAGCGCTTCCAGATCTGGTTTTTGGAATCCATTCAGATTAATGAAACGAGACATGTGAGAGATCTGCAACCGCATGTACTGAAAAATTATGTTTTAGAATTACTTTTAAAATATTAAATACCAAAATTCTGCTAATGATCGTACTTGACTATGTTAGATCACTTTCTGACACTGTATTTTTTTTTTAGTTCTTGTGAGCTGATTTTAAGCTTACCTTATAGCGAATTTTATCCCTCTGATGACTAAACTCCATCTGCTTGATCAGCGTCTTGCCATGCATGGCCACATTGTCAGGTAAATAGCTTAGCATATAGCGACTGGTCAGATGCTCCTCATCAATTAATCGTAAAAGATCCGTCAGCTGGATATCGTCCTCGACTTGGTTAAGCGCTATGGCCAGCACAATATACAGTTTAGATATGTTCAGACAGTAAATATGCCGATCAAAATTGTTTAAGACCTTCGCTTTGGGGCGTAGGCCATGACATTGCATACTGCCCGAACTGTCCGCGCTGTGTTTGTCCAGATGCTTAAGTGGCATTTGCTTTTTCAGGGACTTGCGCGCATTGGTCGACCATTGTAGTTGAAGATTTTGGTTAGTTCGCAGCGTGGATTCAGATTGGGCGCCCTTCTTGCCGTTATAGCCCGACTCATCCAATTTGCGCTGAAAAAGAGAAACGAGAGCAAGACCTTTTGATGTCAGTGCCGTGTAGATAACCAGGTGATTGATTAGCTTAGGTAATTTGTCAAGTCGTTGGCATATGCTTGGGCCCACTATAAATACCCAGCTAAGCCAGGAAAATATCAGTTCAGCATTTTGTCTAAAGCATTACAACATCAACATTTTCTAAAATGGCTCTGCGTTTTGCTCTGATCTTCCTAGCACTTCTTGTGTTGGTGTACGCACCGCTGCCCACATCAGCGGCACCCCTAGAGCTAAACGAGGGTAAGTTTTAACAGCTGAAAAGTGAGCTGATAATATAATTGTCTACACACAGCTGCTTTGGCGGAGGGCAATATCATTCCTGAGTTGGGACCGACACCGTCACCTACACCATCGGAGCCAGGCAAACAAAAGCAGCGCACCTTCTTCCTGTTGCTGCCGCTCCTGTTTCCCGACCAGTTTTACTTTTAACGTAAGCCACAGACAGGCCACTGAGTTAACTATGATATAGATTTGAAAAAAAGTAATAAAGTTTAAACTTTTAGCATGCAAACACCTTGGTCTTTCTCCATTCACGCCAGTTGGCGCGCTCATCCCCTTGGTTTTGTAGTTGTTTATCCTGGCGTTCACGCTTTCGCTTTGTCTTCTTGTAATTATAAATGATGCGTGCGTCTCTAAAAGGCAGCGAAATTATAAACAAAATGTACTTGAATGTTAAAACCTTTTTCCTTACCTGGCCAAGGCACGCACATTCAACTTTGGCAAACCAAGCTCGTTGCTCTTGCTGAAGGCCACCTCCATGCGTCCCATGTAGGCAGCCCATACCTGCAGCGTCATTAGCTTGAGCTCTGGCTTGGCGCCCATGTTCAGCAGCTCCTCCAAAAAGCCGCGCAGTACATAATTGTAAAATTCCCAAGATGTTATATCGTTGTCTTCTTCCTCGACTTTTGGCTTCTTTATGGTGCGTTGCGAAGCGTGCTTTGAAGTGTCGTTGAACGTATCTTCGGCGCTGATTTCTACAGCGCGCAGGTGTTCCTTCTTGGTGCCGCATTCGATGCAGTAGTAGTAGCCTTCGCGCTCCTGGAACGTACGCTCGCCACAGACATCGCACTCCATATTGTCTATTTCCATTATTTCTGTCTCGTCCATTTTTAATACTTTTTAATATGAAAAAATCAACACACGTGCGGCAGCGACAAATGCTATAATAACAAATATTTTGATATGTACATTTTCATTATATCAATTATCGATAAATTGCCGATAGAAATTGCGCGCAATTTAAATAAAGTACTAGTATTGACGGTCTTTGTTGCTATAACATTCTCATCGATTTAGTTCATTATTTTTATTAGAAGCATAGCATTTTAATATTAGCAGCATTTAGCGGCAAAAATAAAAAGAAATGAGATTAAAGGGAAATTGCCTTTTAACACTAAGTGCTTGTAACTAGCAAAATGCTGATTTGGCATTACACAACACTAAATCTGCCGACTGGTCGCGCCTTTTGACCTATCCCAACGTTTCAAATGTGCTGAATAGGTCATTTCCCTAATTAAATTGCGCCATTTATATAAGCTGAATGTGCTGTGCGTGTTAGACTTAGTCGCTTAATGGATAACTATATTTAGCAGGCTGCCCACCAGTAATGACCAGTATTAATTGCCTTGCCCTGCCGCAGGGCGCGAAAACAAAAGCTAAACATTTATGCGCGTCGAAAGCTTCCGACTGCAATAGCCAGTCGCTCACAGACAGTCGGTTAGTGCAAGTGCAGCAGCGGACATGTGTTCACACAACAGCAATATAATTGCCGAGCATCCAGATTTGGATTCCACTTTTGAGAATGAGCAGGAGCTGATATTGAAAAAGGAGCAGCTGCAGGTGCAGGAACTAAGCGATTGGTTAGACGCAAATCCGAACATAAATGGCTGTAAGGCCTATGAGAATTTGCACTTTTTCCTGCGCACCTGTAAATTTGACGTTGATCGGGCTAAAAAGAAGCTTAAAACCTTTTACCAAATGCGTGCCGAGCGTACCGAATGGTTTGACGATTGCGATCCCATGCTGCCCGAAATACAGGAGCTGCTTGCCTTGGGCGTCTTTCTACCTGTTGACGGTGTCGATGATCAGCAAAAAAAGGTTGTAATTATTCGGACGGCGGCACACGACCCCAAACGACATACACAGAACAACGTGTTTAAGGTATAGGTAGAACTGATATAACTACTAAAAGTGTAATGATCTCTAACCTTTGTCTTTTTCCAGACAAGCAAAATGATATTGGATTTGCTATTAAAGTTTGAGCCAGATAACTGCGCACGTGGTATTGTTGCCATTATGGATATGCAGGGGGTCCAATTAGGTCATGCTCTTCAGCTCAATCCCAAGCTTATCAAGCGTTCCGTTGAGAGTTGGACGGCGTATCCATGTCAGCCCAAGCTCTTGGAGTTCACTAATACGCCTCGTCACGTCAACATTTTTTTAAATACATTTCGGTGCCTGACTTTTGCTTATATACACATGTCTACATGTTTATATTTATATTAATATTTTCATTATAGCGTATTTATGACGCCAAAGATTCGTTCCCGTGTCGCAGTGCGCCGTGAGGGCACCATGGTAAAGTGCAAGCAGCTGCCAAGAGACTTGGGTGGTCAGGGACCCAGCTACAAAGAGCTGGCCATCAAATGGAAGCAATTGGTCGAACAGAACGCTGACTTTTATTTGGAGCAAGGCAAATACAAAAGCATAGTCAAGCGATAAGCGTCTGATTAACCAAAAATGATTAGAACTGCAAGCAGACATACTTATAAATATTATACGCATATTTTCAACGTGAGGATTATCATTCGGTAATCGGTTAATGTGTACAAATGGCGTTGCTTAGTATTTAAGGTTTTGTTCGTGCTAAAAACAATGCTCATTTTATAATGATAAGTATTTATAATGCACACTTCAATGCTTGTATCATTTTAACTATAGATAAGTGTACTCTTTGTTGGGCAACTTTGCCTTGCTGTTATCGTCCACATTTGTCCAGCGACCATAGACTTATTTTAGTACCAGAGCTCTTTACTTAAAAAAACATCAATTCGACTTTGTAAAATAGCATAAACGGGTTATTAAAAGTATATCTGATATGAGGATTACTTCATTATATTCTCGATTTCTTTATTAGTATAAAATAGTATATCAAAAATGTTTATCAAGTCTATAATTATTATCATTTAATGGGGCCATCGAGTGCCGTCTCATGTTAAGGGTTTGCATTGCAAAAGACTTCTCATCCGTTTATCGATATTAATAATAAATACGTACATACATACAAAAGAACATAAACAAGTTAATTTCGCACAGTTTGTGAACAGAATGTTTTTTATAAGCGGGATTTGTTAGTGTATCAATGCGTGCTGTTGTTTTTGCTTTTTAATATACATACATATATAAATATAAATATGTTTTATATCTTAAAAGTACGTGTCACATATAAAAATATATAGTAGATGTTGGTCATCAATTCATTATCATCACCAAACAGCGCACTACCGAACAGTTTTAGTGGGACCACATGAAGCACTGAACAAAACTTAAAAGCTATAAACGAGAAAAGGAAAGGCGGTAACTAACTAAAGCGTATTATAAATAGCGACAGAGTGCAATTGAAAGTAAAGCGCAGTCGCGCCCGCCCATCACAAGTCCAATTGCAAGCTGCCGCTATTGCCACCACTGTCCACCAATTGCAGTGATTCCTATATTTGCCGTTCATCCTTTGCCGTCAATTTATCGATGAGCTCTTGGAGTGGCGCCAACTCGCGTCGTTCAATCAGATTGAACTCTTGCACAAAGAATATAAAATGCTTAAAGGACGTATTCAAATGAGCCTCCTCGCCCAGCGTCACCACCTCGGAGAAATGCTGATGATAGATGTGAGCATAAACGCGAAACAGACGCTTCAGTATAGTTTTTGCGGAGGCAAGAAAATTCTTTGGGAATGGTACACCAATTTTGGATGGGAACAATGTTTCATCGTCCAGCTGATCCTGTACCCAGGTCATTAGATAATCAATATACTTGGGTGCGCTGCATTTAATGGGCTTCTTAACTGTTAAACCATCCGCCCAATGGTATTCGTATTTCGGACCAGCCGACATAATGCCACAGCTCTCCTCCGTACAAAACTCTGTTATTGTGCCATAGAGCATATTAATCTGATTAAAGAAATCCACGGCTATGGGGAAAGAAGATAACAAATTAGCTATGAAAACATATGATATTTTTAATACTCACTGTTGACGGCCACCCATTCGTTGAGATCTTCGCCATCGGGCAGAGCGACAGCGTTTCGCAAGTTCCCAGAGCCAAGTGTGGCGGCTGCATGCTTCATGAGATCATACTGATGTGTGCCCTCCGGTATGTTCTTTTTCGGTTTGAAGGTTTTGCTTGAACGTGAACCGCTAAAGTCGACAAAAGAATGACGTTTTGTATTGGTATGCCACGGCAAACAACCCCAGGCAACTACAAGTGGTGGAGCCATCGACTCACACCAACAACATTGGCTGAACAAAGCACGAAAAAGGGTAGAGCTCTTTGTTCGCCACTGATTGGGTCTGTTTCAGTTGCAAGTGCAACAGTGTTTTCAGTTCACACGAACATACTTTCGTGTATGTAAAATGAACATTATACGCACATATGTTCGTATGTAATCCAGTTACTACACACATATATACTTACAACAAAAATTCCATTGCCATGCAGTTATTGTTGCCGTTCACTTGCCACGAAGGTAAACTTGTCGACAACCTCTTTAGCAATATGCTTATTTCTTGTAAGTTGAACGTCTTGGACGAGTTGGAATTAAGCGTAATGTTGAAAAACAGTTTTTAATTATAAATCTTTACAATCAAAAAAATTGTTGGCAGGGCAAAGTGTAGGGCTGGCAACAAATACCGACAACATCGATATTTCGAACTCGATAACCGATACGACAAAACATGTTATGCACTTACGATTATTTTTTGACAGCGAAGTATGCGTTGCCACATGTTAGCGAATGTGTATGCGTCAGGTGTGTACACACTGGAAATGTTAAAGTGTGTAGACACTGATCGTTCTGTTTAGCACGTGGAAAAACAACTCGCCTTGGCTTCTCGTGGAGAATAGATAATTTTCGTTGATTTTACGGCATATTTACGCCTTAAATATGGTAATTATATTTGAAATATTGTTGCGTACTTTTCCTTACATAAATATGTTAATTATGTCGCTTATACACAATCATAACTAACCTAAGTATGAATTGTGTACGGAAGCACCAGACAACGTGGAAAGAAATGCAGATGTTTAAACTAAAATTGCAAATATTGTATTAATCTGTATTTCTTCACACTTGCAGTCGAAACTGTACGTGCTGTATGAGCATGCGGCAGGCTTTGCGCTATTCTCCGTCAAGGAGTTTGAGGAGGTGTCCATGTTCCTGCCACAGGTCGAGTCCTCCGTGACGGACATTGCTAAGTTTAATTCTATTGTGAAGCTGGCGGGATTCGCGCCGTTTAAGACGGCCATTGCTGCACTCGAAAATATTAATGCCATATCTGAGGGCATTGTGCCGCAGGACTTGTTGCATTTCCTCGACGATTTCTTTGCCAAGTTGAAGAAGAAGAAGTGCACCCTGGGCATTGCGGATGCCAAGTTAGGCGCTGCTATCACCGAATCTGTGGGGGTACAGTGCAGCCACTTTGGTGTCGTGCCCGAGATACTGCGAGGTGTGCGCTTCCATTTTGCAAAGCTGGTAAAAGGTAAGTCAACTTGCAAGTTTATACAATATCACATACCTAATTATGTGTTCTTAGGCTTTACTGACAAGTCAGCTGGAGTGGCACAACTGGGTCTGGGACACAGCTACTCTCGCGCCAAGGTCAAGTTCAATGTGCATCGATCGGACAACATGATCATTCAGTCGATAGCGCTTCTGGATCAGCTGGACAAGGATGTAAATACGTTCTCTATGCGCATACGCGAATGGTACTCCTATCATTTCCCAGAACTGGTGAAAATTGTGCCAGACAACTATATGTTTGCTAAGGCGGCCAAATTTATTAAGGACCGCAAGGATCTGACCCAAGATAAGCTTGAGGAGCTTGAGCAGATTGTCATGGACTCTGCCAAGGCGCAAGCTATTATCGATGCTGGAAAAATGTCAATGGGAATGGATATATCCATTGTGGATCTAATGAACATTGAGCTCTTTGCCGAGCGCGTAGTAAAGCTCTCCGAGTACCGCAAAAAGCTGTCCACATATTTGCACAACAAGATGAACATGGTTGCGCCAAATCTTCAGTCGCTCATTGGCGATCAGGTGGGTGCTCGCCTCATCTCGCACGCCGGCAGCTTGACAAATCTGGCCAAGTATCCCGCATCGACAGTACAAATTCTGGGCGCCGAAAAGGCACTCTTCCGTGCGCTCAAGACGCGCTCCAACACGCCCAAATATGGTTTGATCTATCATTCGTCGTTCATTGGACGCGCTGGCCTCAAGAACAAGGGACGCATTTCGCGTTTTCTGGCCAACAAATGTTCGATTGCCTCGCGTATTGACTGTTTCCTCGAGCAGCCCACCAGCGTGTTTGGCGAGACGCTAAAGCAACAAGTGGAAGATCGCCTGAAATTCTACGAATCGGGTGATGTGCCGCGCAAGAACATTGAGGTAATGAAGGAGGCCATTGAGGCGGCTAACCAAGAAGTTGCAAATGCACCACAGTCCGAGAAGAAAAAGAATAAAAAGAAGAAGCGACCGGCTGAGGCTGATACAAATGGGGCTACCAATGGCAATGGGACGCTCTCAGCCGAGGCAGGTGCCGACAATGGCAATGCGGAGGCTGATGGCGAGCCCAAGAAGAAGAAAAAGAAGAAGAACAAGAACAAGCAAGCCGTGGAGGCGTAAAAACGTATGTGTAGAGGATCTACACATTTTACATTGCTGCTTAGTTATAAGTTCAAACTTTATTATTTTAACTTACTATTCTTTTCTGTATTTTATGATACACCGCAAATTAAATAAACATAAATACAATTAAATATTTTTAATTTCGTTTTTTATTTTCACACATTGGTTTTATATACAGACACATAACTGTTTAATTATTGCTAATGTTTCTTTATTTATTTTTTTTTTTTTTGTTTTATTATAATTTTTTTTTTGTAACAATTTTAATGACAATTTAGCCGCCCTCCCAACTGTTGCGCTAAAATATCGCTTTAGTACAACCATTAATTATATTTTATTGCATTTATGACGAACATTTAAACACGCAAAAGTATTTAAATTCCGAGTGGACAACAGGACGGATATGGAATTCTTTTTTGTTTTCGGTATCGGTTTTGCAATTTCTGAGGAAAGTGAATAAGAGCTCAGACTACAATTAATAATACATTTGGATATTGGGAATTATAATTTGCTTCAACAAATAATCAGGGTTCGCATATTTTATACAAAAAAAGAGAAAAGTGTGTGCGTGCGTGTGGTGTGTGTGTGTGTGTGGAACGTCATTAGGCTAACAAATATCATTGGAACAAATCAAACGCTGAGGAATTATTATTATTGCTGCTGGGCTGCTGATGCTGTGGCTGTTGCTGTTGCTGCTGGAACGCACCGAAGTTGGCAAATGCTGCTGGCTGTGTCTGCATCTGTGGAATGTTTTGTTGCGGCGCCCCAAATATATTGGGGCTGGTCAGTGGTGAGGGCGTGATACCCGGAAATGCGCCACCCGTTTGCACATTCAGCGGGGCCTGCGTCTTGGCGGGACTCTGCGTTTTCAGCGCATTCATCGACGGTGCTGGCGCATTCGATTTACCAGCTTTGCTTATCAACAGATTATCCAAATCAATATTCAGATTGCCAGCCTTCAGATTACCCGACCAGGTGGCACCGACATTTGTGGGCTGTGCGCTGGCCAACGCCGTGGCTCCATTTGTATTGATATTGTTGTTGATGTTGTTGCTGCTGGAGATGGAAATCGGCTGCAGCAGATTGTCGCCAGTGACAGCAGCAATTGGCGGCAGCATGTTATCTGCAAAGAGCGCACAAAGATTGCTGATCAATTTGGGGGAAATCATAAATCACCAGGTATCCGTATAATTAAGCAGGTGGGTGTGTGTGTGTGTGTGCGTGTGTGTCTGTGTGAGAGGTTGTGCGCGTCTAATTTTTGAAAGAACTTTTTAATGGGATGAGTGTGCGGCTCGATTGGAAGCATTTGTTAATTACAGGCGCATGTTACTCAATCAGCTAAGTGCATTTTGCATAAACAATTATTTGTTTACATAGTTGTTGTTGATGTTTGTTTGTTTTGTTTACCTAGTGAGTCCGCGGCTGTGGCACAATGCCCGGTATATTGAGAAAAGCTTTCATTTATACATATGTATATAATTCAGATATTTGAGTTGTCACAATAATATTTAATTTGTAAATGATATCCAAATTGTGCGTTTGCAATATAAAATATTATAAGGGAAAAAGGAATAGAAATAAAGTAGAAATATTTGTTCAAATCATATCTATAAGTACCTGGCATTTACCTATGCCTATGTATATATACATATCCCTAAGTATGTAGATTTGCCAAAAATCTTTTTCGAAATTTATTGCGGCTTTGCTTTACATTTACTGAAAACCATTTTAATTTGCTTTTAGTAGAAGTAAATTTATCAAAAGTTATAAAAAATAGACAATTGTCTGAATTTCCAGATTGTTATCAAAATAATGCTGTTGATGACTTCAAAAATAAAAATGTAATTAATTATTAAATTTCGAGATTGATTTAGGCCCACTTCATGGAATTCCTACAGTTATTTGTGAAAAGTTTTATTAGAAATTTGAATTTTCTGGAAGTGTTAGCCTAGTAAACTAGATTCCGATTGATTTTTATATTTACTATTATTTGTAATATAAGATGTGATAATTTAATATAAGTAGCATCTTTTAAAGCAAAGTTACGCAATAGTTTTCGAACTAAGAAATATCATCTATATGTACACTGCGTGTCTGTATGTAAGTATTTATAATAATATGCACTTGTTCGTTTGTTTTGTGTAGCAGCGAGTTTAATAACAAAGCAATATATTATAAACTTCCATAAATGTGGGCTTTTTGGAACATATGACAATAATTAAATTTAATATTCCTGGCCCTGTTCGAGGACCGCCGAATCGAACAGCTTGTAGCAAGTGTTCAAAATTTGTTCGGCGAGCTCGCGGCACTCGTCCGAAGATTCGCCGCCAACGAGCGGTGAGCGCACAAACTCCTCCAGCCAACGCTTGAGCTCGTTCAGCGACTCGGCAAAATGGGCAACTAGGAGGTGGGCGGGCGTTGTGACCAGAGCAATACCCAGCAGCTGCAGCGTGCCCGCACGCACACGTGCCTCTGAGCTGAAGCGCACAAAGGCGCAGAGATCAAAGATCTCGCGTGTCATGGCCGGCAGCAGCGGACAGTTTTGTGAGCACATGACCAGCACGGCCAGTGTGTGCAGCATATTGATCAGGAGCTGGGTGTCGATGTCATGCGAAATGTTTTCATATTTCACATAAAGCATTTGACGTGTCCGTTGTCCGCGCACTAGGCCAAAGAAAAATGTGCCGGCAACGGCATGGAAGGGATTCAGCTTGCCCTGTCTCTCCGGCTCTGATTTGTTGCTTAGATAACGCTTTGTCTTGGCACGTAATCGCTCCCGTATAATGCGCTGCGCGGCAGCCAGGCGTGCAGCAGCCGCATCCTCGTCCGAAAGCAGCTGGAACTTGCGCGGCTGTTTGGATACGGAGGGCACAATGTCCAGTATCTGTTCACCAGTTGCCGGCTTGTATTCATCACCCGCGAGTTCCTTGGCCGCTGCAGCCAGTACCTGTAGTATTAGAATGCGAACATTGGCCGCATACCGGGTGTTTTCCGTGTGAAATTCGCGACAGAGCAGCTCCGCACAGGCGCCTGGCCTGGCTACACATATGGCCACACAACACCGGAACTGGCTGCGCTCAAAGTCCTCAAAATAGTACTGCATATCCAAAACTATGAACAGCTCCAGCAGCTCGAGCGCCAGCTTAACATCTTGCTGCGCCAGCTGGCTGCGTATTAGGTGCTCGGCGGTGCCCAGCGCACCCTCAAAGATTTGATAGTTGGGCACTTTGGTACGCAACAGATGCAGCAGGTCAAGCAGAAATTTGGGTCGCTGTTCCAGGCTGCTGGAAATGTCACTGGACATGTCATATGGCTGCAAATCATCGTCGTCCTCGTCGAGTGGCTGTGCAGGTGTCTCATCATCATCCGAGTCCAAGTCCAGCTGCATGTTTACAACATTTTCGGTCTGCTGCTTGGACTGCACGGCTGGGACATGGGTCTGCTGCTCCTGCTCTCCCATAAGCTGAGCCATGTGCAGCTCGAGGCGCTGCAGCAGTCCTTGATTGGGTCGCACATCCAGTTGCGCTTTGCTGGGATACTTAAATTGCGCCAGCTTTTCGAGCTCTTCGATTATGCGCCAATGCGGCGTTTGCTCCAGGGCAGCATAATCGAATTTCAAACGCTCCTCCTCGGAGGCTTGCGCGTGTATCATGTGATTGTACAGCAGCTCCACGGTCTTCATACCTACATAACGCTGCAAGACGTCAGGAGACTGTAGATGATGACCCAGGCCGTCGTGCAGCTGGCGTTTGTGATCTGGCTTCATGTTGCCATTACATTTGCCAGCCAGTATTAGCAGTTTGCACATGGCCAAATGCTCCTGGGTGCTCAGCTTCTGCAGGGTGATCCGCTTAGACCAAATTCCCAGAAGTTGTGTGAAGAGCAAGTGCAGCCGTGTGGGTGCCGTCACGTTGAGGTAGCCCAACAACGTGCACAAAGGTCCATTTTCTGTGGGCGCACGCTGAAGCGGCAGCTTCTGAAGCAAACAATGTTGCCAGTGTTCCGTTTCCATTGCGGCTGGTCCCAACAGCACGTAAAGATTAAGCTGCGCATTTATTGCACTCTGTGCCAACTTAAAACAAATCGAAGGCTCCAAATCGCATATAATTTGCAGCAAGACGTTGCGTGATTTTGGGTAAACCGCAAGATCTTCGAGCACGCGCAACAGACTCTCCAGAGTGGAAGCATCAAAAAAGTTGTTGACCACACGAGTCAGCAGCCAGGTGAATGGACCTGGATCGAAATATCCCGATTGATCCTCGCACTGCAGCACAAAGTGCAGAGCCTTGAGCCATTGCTGTAGAAGCAGGCGTCCGTAAGCAATGGGAGCTAATAACGCGGGCAAATTTCGTCCCATTTTATTGGCCACCAGGCCGGGCAATCCATTGAGCAACTGTATAAAGTGCATAGTTTGAGCATCGTGCTCCTCCAACAGTCGTTCCGGTAACACTTTAATGGTGCGCGCAAAGCGTTTTAATAGCGCTCCACGCTGACGTGCTGAGTGCAGCAAACAAATAGCCAGCAGGCACTCATCCTGTAGCAGAGCGGCGAGCATAGAGGCAGCCGTGCTCGGCACCCGTGCCAGTTGCTGTTGTAGCGTCTCAAATGCAACCTCCGCATAGCCAATGCTGTGATCCAATTTAAACATATTTAAAACCTCCACATCCTCGGTGGGCTGTGGCCAATCCTGTGTGAACAGTCTGCCGAGCTGTGTGAGCAGGGCAGCATACTCGCCACTGGCCAGTTGGGACCAATCAACAACACCGCGATCAAGTCCCACAAGCTGCTCAGGTGTTGTATATCCTGGCAGTGCTCCAGCGTTGTGCAATTGACGTAACGTGGCAGCCACAAAGCTGGCATCTGCAGCGCTCTGCACGCTCGGCAGGTCACGTAAATCCGCAATGGCCTTCGACAGAGCCAGGCGTATCGATTCCGATGGCGGTGGCAGCTGCGTCTTTGTGACTTGCTGCGTTTCAACAGCTGCGTTGGAGTTGAAAGGAAGAAAAAGAGAACGAGTGCATCCGATTGGAATATGTTGACCGTTATGTGTGGTAGCTAGCTTAGCGGCAAGAGATACAGAGAGTGAAGAGAGGGAGAGTTTTGTACACAAAACGCTCGGTCATGCAAACGTTTCACTGGACGCCCACTAAATACGTAAATGATCTATGCTAGAACAAATCCTAATGCAAATCCTAATGACTAGTTGTTAGAACTAACTTAATACACAAACTCACCCATTGGCATGCTCTGGTGGATCGATAAATCACCCAATCCGGCCAGCAGATCAGTCGCGGTTGTTGCTGCCGTTGGCGCAGCTGCTGGCGTTGCGGCATTGAAGAGGTCAAAGGCATCATTAGCTGGCGTCGCCGTCGTCAACAGATTGCCATCCAGGGCCGACGTTGATGATGCTGTCGCAGTGCTGGAGCTCTGGAATGCATCAAAATCCGCAAATTCGTCATTGCCTGCCGTCGGCAGTATGCCCGTCGATGGAGGTGATAGACCGCTGCCAAAAGCAGCCGCAAAATCGCCAAATTCCTGCGTTGGAGCAGCGTCAGCAGCACGCGGATTAAAGTCATCATCGTCATCAACAATAACAGCTGCGCTATTAAGTGTCTTCTCGCCCTGCGGCTGCTGCTGTGGTGGCGTCGAAGCACACGTCTTGAAAAGATCATCCAGCAGATCATTATTGTTACTCGGCGTATTGCTTTTGTTATTGTTGTTGTTGTTTGGCGAGGTGCTGCCCATAAGATCAACGCTGTTTGTGGTGGGCGTGTCACGATGCGTGGGCGAATGAATACCGGCCGCGTTCGGCGTCTTGCCAAAGTTAGCAGCAGCACCCAAGTTAATTTTCTTTTGTGTTGGCGGCTGCTTTGAGGCACCAGCGGATGTCGGCTGCTTAGACACCGGCGAGCTGACAGCCTTTGAGCGTATGTTCATGTTGAGGTTTGGGGGTTTACTCTCAGTGGCCACCTCAGCAGGACTAGCACGATCATTGTATCGGTAATTGCGTCTGCAATGGACACAATTTAGTTGGTTAACAGAAGGAATTCTACAAAAATGCATATACTTGCCTGGGACTGGGTGAGTCACTGTCGGAACCTTCGCGCTCGCCATCATATTGAGTATCCTCGTCTTCGTAACGGTCTGCAGAGCTCTTATCGGAATCTAAAATGTAATTAAAAACATTTCAATAAACAACGCTGAAGTTTCTTCACCGAAAACCAAGACAAATTAGTAACGAATTCTAATATTATTAAATACTTACACCAATTGTCACCGCGATTGTTGCGCCAGTCGCCATCGTTGTAGCCACCGCTACTGCCACCACTGTATCCGCTGTAGCCACCGCTCCGGGAGCCCATTGCATCGCTGCTCATGCCAATATACTTGTCCTTATTCTTTTTGGCTTTCTTGCGCTCATCGCGCAAGCGATCATCGTCCTGAATAAAGTCTATAAGCTCTCGTACCTTATGCCTAACATTAATACCCTGGTCCTTGCCGCCCTCGTCCGTAAACGTGTAATTTTCCAACGAACGCAGATCGTAGATGTGCTCCCGGGACGAGGTTACCACGCGCTCCGACCCATTACGTACCAAATAGTTCAGCAGCAACAAGCTCTGAAATTTATAAAGAGTTTATTAGAGTATTTATAAATATATAAAAATTTGTTGACTCTACCTTATAGGTCCGCCTCCAATTGGTTTTATTGTCCTGGAGCATACGTTTCCAAAGCATGGACATGACCTCTGGAAAGGTTTCGTAAGAGAATGTGGCATGCGCCAGCTCCTGCATGAGTGGACCGGTTGGACCCCACGGATCATCGTTGGTCGCCTCGCGCACCTTGCCCTCAATTTCTGTGTAGTTCATTACGACATTGGTGCTGAACAGCAAATAGAGAACAAAAAAGAATTTCAATTAATCGTTGGGCTGCTGACAAATACATATAATGTGGGTTGCAAAGATCAAGGAGAAATAGCTACAGTCAAAAAATACTTCAAATAGTAAATACCATTAAAAATATTGATAAAGCTTTGTATCAAAAGACGTGAGCACAAAAAAACTAAGGCCCGCAAAAGCATGTAATGTGCATGCAGGCTTAATCTTAAGAATTGATTGCGCACACAAAAAAAAAAAAAACTAATTTCTCACTTCAACAAAAACTCTTTGTATTGTACAACAATTTTTCCTAGAAAACTATACTATAAGCGAACATAAGCAATGGCTTCCCAGGGCCTTAAAATAGACGTTATTTTTAACAATATAAGATTTGAGCGATGTTTCTTCTTTTAGGAAAAAGCTGGGAAACAGAAATGTCAAGATCAATTTTTACCCTCACATAGATGTATATGGAAATTAGGGTCATATGAACTGTCTTATCTGTTCATCTCATTGATAAGGGTTTTTCACTTCTTATCAACTTGTTCCATTATTGTTCGCTAGGTGTGATTGCTGATGGACTTTTAAACGTGATACAACAAAAGGTGTGAACTGTCACAACTGAGTCTTATCAGTTTACAGATAAGCACCCTTCCGACTTGGCGAATGCACCAAGGGATTTACAATTGGTTCAATTACACGTTTCGAACTGTGTCAACAAATTGGGAAGGCCTCTAGAGCACGCAACGGAAATGGTCTCCACACTTGTGGAGAAACACAAACACGCACAGAACGGTCAAATGACTTCGATAATAAAATATGATAAAGGCAGAGGTAATTTATAAGCTTTCGTAATTGGAATTGAAATTTCTCTGGAAAGTCTTAACTTGGAAGCACGAATGTGGGCACAGCTGAATGCATATCTTTTTTTGGAGCAAAACGTAAGGCAAACAAAATGTTTTCTTGATAAACTATGTATGTATGTAGGCATATATATATATGTATGTATGCACATAGCATTTACATGCATATGTATGCGAATTGGAATTTCTGTGAAATGAGCTCGAACGTACATTCAAATCCCGACAAAATGAACAACCTTGAAAGCAACAAAAGCGGCCGACGGCAAACAAAGCACAGCGTTAATCGCTCTTCCATAAACAAGGAGAATAAGCAAAACTATATCACTTTTGGCACGACTGCAGTTGTAGCACCTGTATATGAAAAGAGACAGGTATATGGGAGGGGGTGGGGGTGAGTTGTTGTTGGCGAAGGGCGTGGGAGTGCTGGTGTTCTTTTAAGTTAACTTTTATTGTACACGTCTTTTAAATATTTATGATGCTGGACAACTTACACTTTGTCAGCCAATTCGCGCACTTTCCACATGCTGATGAATTTATCAACCATTTTAACTTAATTTTCTGCTTTGGAATTTTTCACACAAACTTGCCAAATTGCTGGCTGACAAAACTCGTTTTTACTTTTGTTTTGTAGTGTGTAGATTACGTATGCATATATATTATTACATGAAGAGCTCGTTTTGACGAGTTGCATGTACTTGTATAAGTTTTATTTCAAGCCAAATAAAAAGTATAAAATTTAAACGAAAATGCAAAATAAAATCACTGCTCTACAGGCAGAATTTGGTGAGCTGTCTCTCGTCAGTGTTGTAAATTGTAGTAGTGCTGTAAATGGGCTTACTGCTTTCAGTGCTGTAAATAGAAATAAGTATCGATAAGACGATATGCGTATCGATAGGTTGCCAATATGAAAATTGCACATCACTGAAATAAGGCTGCCGTTGCCGTCATCTGTGGAGCTGCAGAACTTTAGAAATAGGAAAGTCTAATAAGTAAAAAATATATTAATCATGAATCATAACAAATATGTATAAAAATTTCCTGCTGAAACACGACCTATTGACACCGTGACGTTTACTACGGGCACAGTTTTTCATGCAAAAAATGTAAACAAGAAGGTTATGTAAACTTCATTGGTCTTACAGCGTGAAGATTAGCCACCAGCTCTCCACGGAATCACTAGGAACATAAGTGAAAATGTTAGGACTACAACGGTTTGCCGGCAGTATTGTCATACAGCTGTATCGACGCGCCCCATACAGCAGCAACGCACGTGCGGCGAGCGCTGCACTTGCAACAGCGGCTACTAATGGGCAAGGAGTGGGTCCAGGAACGTCTGATGAGCCGGAGCCGCGTGCAGCCCCCGCGGATGCAAGCGTCAGGAAGCCAAAGGTTACGGGTGCGTAAATAAGTCTCAATCTGATGAACTTATTTACATATTACCCATTTTCAGGGCACATGGTTGCTGCGGCGTTTGAATCGTTGAGAAATGAAACCGAATCCAGTGGGAAACCAACAACGAACAAGTCAAGCCCTGCCTCTGCCGCCAATAACATAGATGAACGCATTGTCAATGCCCAAACTGTGAATGGTCTATTGTCTATAACGGAGAACAACGTCGCATTTTCCCGTAAACATGCCCTAAAGATTGTTTCCATATTGGCCGAATGGAGCACCGTCAATCGCGTAAAAATATCCGAGTTTGAGAATGATACGAGGTTCCTGCGCGTTTGTCGAATGCTCGGCCGAACCGTGCCCAAGAATGACGCCAACGGTAAAAATAATGGCAACACTGGAGGCACCACGAACAGCAACTCATCAAAACGCATTTCCGGCTTTCGCACGGACGACCTTAATACAGTTCTTGGTGTGGCAGGTGACGATGAGGCCGCCAAATTAATAGCCAGCATAAGCCTGCCGCAAATGGTTAAGGTCATGAGTACCCTGGCGCAGCGCAAACGCCGTAGCACCCCTTTGCTGCGTTCATTAGCGTTTAACATTAGCAGTGCCTCGGAGCAGTTGGATCTGAAGCAAGCTGCCGATGTGCTGTATGCCATGTCCACGCTGAACTTTCAAGACTCTGTTCTCGGTGCAAAAGTTTGTGCAGATGTGCAGGCAGCATTGCCAAAGAATTCTGAAAAATCGGCCGTTGTGGGCTCTGTGCTGACCAGTCTGGGCATAATGCGCTACCGGGATTTGGGTAAATGCAAAACGGCCTTAATTTGAGTCAACTACTAACCTAATTAAACTACTTTAATTACAGACATATTAGAATCGTTGACGCAGTGGCTGCTGAAAAACAGTGAAATCTGTCGACCTCAGGATCTTAGTGCTTACTTCTTAACAGCGGCACAGCTTAACTTCAAGAGTGCACATTTGGAGGATGTGCGAAAAAAGCTGGCAAAATCAATTGTTCGCGATGATTTCACGAAGCAATTGGATTGGCTGAACTATGTTTGGTCACTGACAATGCTGGGGCTTGTGGAGCACAGTCAATTAGAGTCGGTGCTGAGGTTGTTGTTGCAAGTGATTTACTTAAACAGAATAATCTAGCTAGTTCTTCCTTGCAGGGCGGACTTCCTAGCTAAATTGGAGAGTGAAAAGGCCGGGTTAACGCCAACATCCAAAATGAGGCTGCTAAACCTTAACAGCTATGCGCAACTGTGCGCCAGTGACTATAAGGGCGCGTTGCTGCCTGCCGATAGTCCTGCCTACAATGTGCCTATGGCGCACACAAAGTCTAAACAGATTCTTGTCAACGGAATGTTAGACGCGTTAAAGAGCCTGTTGCCTTCCAATAATCATGTGCAGGGCTCGGTTGACAGCAAAATGGGTTTCTTAATTGGTAAGTGGGTCCAAGCACTGTACTTAAAGAAACTTTCTATTATCTAAATTTTAGATGCTGTATGCAAATTCGATGCAAAACGAAATCCACTTCCCCTGGATAAGAACAATCCAGATGCCATTAGGTAGTTACTACAATATGTGACCCTTATACGCACCTGATTTTAATATCCTTGTTTAATACATTTAGAATCGCCATAATGGTAATTGACTTTCATGACATATGCCATGGAACGCATCGCAGTGCAAGTGGCACAACGAACCTAGCGTTCGATCTGCTGGAAAAGAGTGGCTATCAAATCATACCTGTGCCCTACAATGAGTTTAGCACCAGTGACAAATTACTGAAACGTGTTCAGTATTTGGAGGCGAAGTTTAAGGCCATTGTTAGTAGCAAATAGTTTCAGTTATATCAAAATTTGAATTGTTTGATTATTGTAATTTTAAAATTAGGCGCTGAATTAAAGTAAACTATTCAAATCTAATAACAGCTGCATATAAGATATAGAATTGCCGGACAGTAAGTAAAAATGTTTCGAATATGCTCAGATAAAACTTTTAATTTGATTAAATATTTAACGGTTTTTTTTTTTTTTATATTTTGTTGCCCAATTGATAGCACTTATACCGCATCTAGCTTGCTGCTGCGCTGCTTATTCATGCCTACCTTCCACCATTGTCCTGTCTCTTGGAACTCTGTGGCCACAGTTGCCAACGTGTGGAACAAATTGCGTGCCAGCATATGACAATTGCCCACGTGTAATATAAACTTAGGATCGTACACCTTTTCCATATCCTCGATCTTGTAATGATCGCGCGTCTCACGCTCTGTCAGGCACACACAGTTCCATGGGGACCAGTCGTCGCTTTTGTTCCAGCGAGGTAATCTATCAAAATGTATATTAAATACAATAAGCTTAATCAACTCTCAAAATGAACTAACCGCAATTCATTCAGATTTTCCGACTTGCTCAGCGCCGAGTGGCCATGCCAGATTTTGTCTATAATGTGACGCACATCGTCCTGCTGTAAGACAAAGGCAAAAGATGATGCGCACTTGCGTTTGCGCTCGTCGCGCTGAATGCAGCGCAGAATCGATTGATAAACTGTGTTCTCTGTGGCCACCAACTGCAAGGAATACGCATTAGTAGCCCAATAAAGCAATTAACTCTTAACCTACCTTTAGGTAGTAGCAATGCTTGCATGTATCCACGTGACTCTGGCGCGTGCGTACCGCAAACTGGGAAAGGGGCTTGACCTTTTTGCAGACGATGCACATGCGCGAGGGTACCTCTGCGACAGGATATAGACATTCGTTGAATCTAGTGAATACACCTGTGTATTGATATAGACTTACTGGATGGTACGTCGCGTTTTTGAAACTTAATCAGCTCAAAGAATAATATGTTCTGGCGCTTGCGTAGAATTTCCACATCGCAAGACTTTGTGTAAATTAGCAGATTCTTTTCTCGATCAAACAGATCAAAAAGCTAGAGATTTATTATTTTGGTAGTCATTGGCTTCTCTATATCTCAAGCTCTTACCTCAGGAAAGTTTGGATAACACGTTTCCTCCATAAGCAGCTCCATGACACGTCCTAACAGCTCCAGACGCTTCTCCTTATCCTCCGTATTACGTAAATCCTTGTAGATTTCAGTTAGAAATCGCACGCGCTGTGTACGCAGCAAATCTAAATGTATTTTGGTATCCTTGTAGCCAATCCACTCGACTGGCTTTCCCATTTTCTTCAACAGTTGATCGTTGCGAAAATCCTCCATGGCCAAGTAAACAAGACGGCGCTGTCGCTCTACACCGTTCAGCAAACGGATTTCCTTATCCAGCAGAATGTTGACCTCGGATATACGTGCAGGTCCCTCATAGTTGGCTGCGATGCGTTTAAGTTCCGCCCGTTTCCAGCGCGAGATTTCCGCAAAGAGCAAATCAAAGTCATCAGTGGTGCGTGGAAATTGTTTGATTAGTTCATTGCGTTCCACCCGCTGCTCCACGCACTCTTCATACTGTTTATCCTCATCCACGCGATTCTTCACCAGGCGACTGGTGAAAAGCAAAAGAACCATACAATTGCATTGATAAGATTTTGATCGCTGTGCCTGATCAACCTACCGATACTCCTTGGCACGTATATGTATGTACTTCCACAGTATCCAGCGTCGCCAGTTGCGCTGTATCAACAGTATCTTCTCGAGCTTGCGCTCCGCACGTTCTTTTTGCGCATAGGTCTGATATTTGCCGGGTATGATTACAAAATCCGTGGCCGTGAACACGTATCTAATGTTGATGTCATCCAGAAAGCATTGCACAGATTGCTCATGTGCTGTATTCTAAAATGATGAGATTTAAGTTAAGCACCGAAGATTTGTTTATCATTGCCCAGCGGCCGCTTACCAGTGTCTTCTCCTTGTGCTCCCAGGTCTGCGTATCGCGTGAACGATAGCGTCTATACTTCCACTTATCAAAATATGGTCCAGTTTGTGTAAATGCATCCAAAAATAATTTGCCACTTATCTTGTCCTTGTAGCCGCACAGAAACGGCTTTACAATCGCAGCGTTCTCGATCTCGACGATAATATTTTTCGGCTGGCCATCTTCCGTGTCCTCGCCGGATATATGCACAGTCAGGTAGTCGGGCAAACGATATTTTCTGTGCAGTGCATAAAGGTATACTAAAAAATCGTTCATTCATATTCGGTAATACTCACTCGTAGTACACACTGAGACTCAATGTGGGTGGATCGTTGCCATCCGAGTAATTTGGCTCGCTGAGATCCAGCTGAAACTCGTGTATGCCAAATTCGTCACAAATTGTGGAATGAATGGGTGTTGTATTGCAGAGCACACGACCCCCTTGCTTGACAATCAGCAGCTCCGGGTCCACTTCGAATCTGCGCGATAGATCCTGCTTGACCTCGGCTACGGTCATGCAATTGGGATAGACTTGGGCAATGAAATTGTCGTTGGATATGCGAAACTTAACGGTGACATTTTGGGCCACCACGCAGACATCATGCGACGGCTCAGATTCAGTGCTGCGGGGCTTGTATTCAGGTCCGCATATAGCCCGAACCTTTGGCCGTTGCGAAGGCGCCACATTCAGCTGCGTGTTGCATACATAGGATGGGGGCGGGGGCGAGTCCTTGTCGCTCATTTTGCAGCTTACAAAAAGAAGAACAACAAAAATATAATTATATATTTATGCGTTTTATTCGTAATGCTATTCTTTGGGGATCTTTAACGAAATCCAAAAATCAGTCCGCCTGCTGCGTTCATGTGTGCTTGTGTGGGGCCCTTCAATGAGACTGTTGGGTCAGGACGGGGTATGGGAATTCATTTGTTCAATAAATCTGTTGCTTGGCGCCCTGTTGTGGCAACGTGCCCCATGCCACGCCACATTTTCCGCTTAGAAACTTGCCTACTGTTTATTATTTAATTGCGCACAGTTTTCTCACGCGCTTTTTAAATGAATTTTATTTACACGAGTTTTTTTTTGCCAGTTTCTTGGAGTGAAAGCGCCACACATCTCATATATATGCCCTCCAGTTATTTCGGGGCGCACAAACAAATTTTTTTCTAATTGCCCTTATTTCATTTTTCGCCAACTTCCATATCTTAATGCCACACTTGCGGCCAAAATGAATCTTAAAGTTGTCATCATTCCATTATTTATTGCACAACGCTCGAATGGATGCTGTGTGGACGCCGACGGTAATTACTTTACCTAAATGGTTTTTAAGTTATGATTTGCGTTTATCTCTTCGGCTATGTGTATGCAGAAGGCAGTCCACACGTGATCATGATTATGATTGGCGTCCATGCCAAGAGCTGTTTCATAATGATGGGGAGTGGAACCCTTGGCCAGCTTATTGAAATCTGATATCTGAACAATTGCCGCAGGCATTTCTTTTCAGTCGAAAACAAAAACTCGTACTGTGCTCATTTAATTAATAAATTATGTTTTTATTGTAATAGAATTTCGATTTAAGATTAAGAGGCGTCAGCGCTGACTTGCGATCGGCACGCGCCACCTGCAATCGGAAGGGGCGTCCATTGAAGTAGTAGTCCTTGTGGTGCTGCACGCGCAGCAGCTTGCTCTGCGTGGTCATCGTAGTCAAAGGAGTCGCTGTGGTTGGAATCGAGCTGCGATCCGTGGTCAGCTTGGGTGAAGATGTGGTCGAGCTGGGTGTCTCCTGCAGAATGGGCTTGATTTTCATGGGCTGATAGTCGTAGCCAACACCGGGTATGTAGCGATACGGCAGCGGTGGTATGGGTATGAAATAGATTTTCGAGTCCTTCTTGGTTTTCTTTGTTTTGCTGCCGTTTTTGTTGTATTTGCGCAGATTGACCGGCCTCGAGGTGACCAGATAGTCCATGTAAATGTTGTCCAGCGCCGGTGACTGCACCAAGAGCTTGCTGATCAAACGTGGAGGCGTACCGGTGCCGGTGCCGGCAACATCTGTGCCGCTCGGCATGCGCATGCTGTAGGAGTAAGCGCTGCCCGGCCGGGGCGTGGCCAGGGTGAGCAGTGCCAACAGCGCGACCAGGGCGTAATGTGCGTGGGACAGAGAAGGCATGCTGCAAAAAGTTAGAGGACAAAGATGGAAATATGGATATCGTATTATTATATATGTGTGTGTATGTCAAGGCAGGTTTACAAAAGTGTCCACTGTTTTGGGGATCAAGCGCCCACGCCCTGCATTTAAATCGCAATTGTTTTGAAAATTTGATTGATGGACTAATGGCTACCAAAAAAATATAAATAATAGCCAAAGTCGAGCATTACAGATACAAATCAAGCAATGGCAAGCGTTTTTTTGCAAGTCACAGATGCCGAATAATTCAATAATAAGTAAATCGGCTGTGCGCATCAAAGCGTGAAATATTTTTTTCATAAAATGTTTGCCACTTTATTGTAAAGTTTCTCACGTTCCAGACGCAATCCAAAAAAAATATATATATATATAAAAACAGATTTCGAGAGTCTTGATTTGATTTACTTAAATGAAAGCATTTAATGCACGCTAATCAAAGCACGGACTTCGACGACGCTGCCGCCGCCGCTGCCGCCGTCGCAGTCGCTGTCGCCGTCGACGCCTGCTGAGCAATTACGCTAATGAGCATGGCGAGCGCCATCTGGCGGCGCATTTCAACGCCTGAGTGATTAATGAGCAAGTAAAAAATAAATTGATCAATAAAAAAAGCAAAAGCCAAATAAAATCGAAGAGAAACAAAAAACCGGCGGCACTGGCAGCCTAAACGGCATCAATTTAAAATCGAGACAAGCGCGATAACGTTAACATGTTTGGGGCAGGGAGGTTGCGCCCCCACCTGCCTGATTATGCAAATTAGAGATACGTATCATAAATAATAGCGATTTAGTATTATCTACCTTAGATTAGCCTTATACCTTGTTTCTAACGAAGTTCGCCCCTGGCAATTCTGAAATTTGGCGTGTGGCGCCCTCTATTGACCTTGCAGCGAAAGAAGAAGAAGAAGACAAGAAAAAGAAAACAGTTGGACACAGTTGATAAATTGCAGAAAGTTCGCAAATAATTAGCTGGTAACATAGAACGCTGCCAGAGCACGACCCGCATGAAATATGAGCAGGGCGGAAAGAAAAGCCAACGCCTTTTTAGCTTTCTTTGGTTTGGCAGGTTGTGGGAGTGTTCGCCATTCTATCCATGTAATTTGATATCCAGAATTATTGATATTGAGCAGGCAGCAGTCTCTCGCTCGCAGTTGGAAGAACAACGCTGCCAAGATCACTTTTATATATCAAAACTAGAATTTTGCACTAATAACAAGAATTAAGAAAACAAGCTCAAAAAATCTCACGGAACCTCCAGCCTGTGGCTATCACTAGTTTTTTAATGATCTATTCACTAGACGATCATTCTTGTTTTCCTTTTTTTTTTCTAATTTGAAAGATTGTTTGTATATTATTATCGTACTCTAAACTAGTCAAGGTCGTCTTTGTTTTATGCCTATATCATTTGTTGAACTCGACTAATTAAGTCGCAAGTCGCAAGAGTGAAAACTGCTCGCAGAACGAAAGACTTAGGCAACGAACTTGCCTGCTGTGCCGCATTCATGCATATGCACAAAGTATAATTAATAAATTTCTAGCAGCTGTCAACTGCACAAATAGGTATTTGTTTATGCAAATTGATGAGCATTTTAATGGCATTTATTTAAATTGCACTCACTTCAAATGGCTTTGGCTGCAGCTGCAGCTGCGCTTGCGTTTGTGTTTATTTAATTTATTTGCCAATTCGATGCGCAGTTAATGCTTGTCGAGTGTCCTTTGCGTCGTTGATGTGAAATTTAATGTGTACTTAAAAGCGCATAATTTATGACTACGCCTCTCGAATATTTAAATTCTTTCTAAATTATTCGACCTTTGCAAATCGTTTCTTTTGCATTAGGAATCTTGAAATTGTTTCATAAGCTGTTTATTATCACGATTTGATTTCAAAATTATATTAGATGCGCGTTTTCCATATGCTCCTGGCACTTTATTCCCGACGCGTCGTCAGCCTTAGAAATCTTAAACCTTATACGTAGCTTAGCGCGCAGCTTTATTTTTTGACGTTGTGGACGCCTCGAAGAGCGGCAAATAAATGAGATCTGCGGACTATGTGTAATTTGTTTTTTTTTTTTCTTAAACCAAAATCTGTGTGCTGTGTTTGCCCGACGCTGCCGCAGTCGGCGTCAGCGCTGTCGTCTACGACGACGTCGTCGTCGTCGTCGTCGTGGTGGTGCTACGTCATAAACTTGGACTTGGTCGAATGCTCGGCTGTAAGAGTGAGCGTTCACTTGCCGGCTCAACTCGTAGCGTTGTGTGTGAGGTCCGAGGCTGGCAACTGCCGCCTGAACACAGCCGACAACGATCTTGATGATGAGCCAACGCTAGCGAGCCGAACGAAGTGCATCAATTTGCTTCTTTATTGTTTGCCCGCTTACTGTTACAGTTTGCCATTGCACTTTGCGGGTTTTGCTTTGCCATTTGCTTGACAAATTCAACGGGCCGAACAGGCGAATTGATTCATTTCAATTGCAGCCGGAGCCGTCAGAGCCGCCAGTCGGCCCGCCAGTTGGAAAGTGTCAGAGCACGCTGGAAACTCTATATCATCAGCCGGTCAGTCATATACTTAGTTTTTGATTAAATTACCAACTGGCCACTGGCCACTGGCCACTGTTGGACTGGCTTTGGCTCTCGTCTGACTCCCTGGGCGTTGCTAACCGCTTTTGTCTTTCCGATTTGTGCACAAATTAGTTACAAATGAACCTACGACAACAAAGGCCGCTGGGTAACACGAAGCTGCTGTGGAAATCAGGTTGTTATTGACAGGCCACCGCATGCCACACAGCTGGAGCCGAAGTTGGAGCTGGGCTGGGTAATACAATGTGCGTGTGCCGCTTAAAGGGTTCGCCTTTTCGCTTTTCCCCGTCTTTGTTTTTGTTTTCTTTTTTGCGTATTCTAATTGGCGCCACAGGCGTTACCAGCCAGCATAATGTGTGAGCTCTTTTTAAACGCCATTGCGTGATGTGTTGACGCTTGGTGTCTGTGTTTCGGATTTGGCTTATTGGCCAGGTTAGTGGAGCTCTTTGTTGACCTTTGCCAGAGCTTAAGTTGACTGCCAAGCTCTGACCCAGTCTGCCTATGTAATTAGCAAAATTTATAGCCAACTTCCATTTCTTTTGGTGCTACCCAGTTTTATAGCAGCAAATTAAAATAAGCAGGTTTGACATTTAAAAGTGTAATTACAATGTATTATGTAAACCCATTTGCTGAGCGTACTTTCTCATCTTTCACCAACTAACGCAACACTAATTGGCCATCTTTTCTAACCGCAATAACTACATATGTCCGCATACTACTATATCGGAGTGCCCATCAAATTTAAGCGCAACCTTTTGTTTTGTTGTGCCCGCGCTCTGTACAAACAAATGACATAACCGCAAATATATCATTTGCCATATGTTTACCAATGCCAGACACCGGGACCAGGTCCAAGCCGCACTCCAAGCCTCAATGGAATGGCAATCAAAACACCTTTAAATATTAATTAGCCTTGCCGTCAGCATCAGCATCAGCTTCCCCTTTCAGCAATTACGCGTAACCAATGTACACAAAAGTGTGTGTTGAAGTGCGTAAAATCTCGCATAGCACCAGCGTCAGGGCGAGCACCAGACGCAGAGGCAGATACTTTACATATAAGTATATCTGCTGGATAGTCTAATCTAACAAACTGCACGCATCTGGTAGTTACAAGAACAACAAGTTCTAGCTGGCGCTGGCATAATTGCTAACGATTAGACAACACAAATCACGAACGAGCTGTAAACGCCAGCACCAGCTATGGTATCCCATATCTGCATCAGCGTAGCGCTCCGTGTCAGCTGAGCTGGGAATTATTAAGAGTAATATGTTTAATGCTGACGGAAGCAATATAGATAGATAGTCAGAAGCACGAGACAATGACAATGCCGCTGCCAGTGGCAGTGGCAATGGCAATGGCAGTGGCAGCAACTGCCAGCTGTATGAAGCTCTCATAAGCCGGGCTGGGCGAACTAATCAAGAAGACGACGCGTCGCCTAGTCGATGCTGCTGCTGTCCACAGCACGAATTTGAGCTGCTGCAATAAATGACAGGCAGGGCTTGCGTGTTTGACTACTGCATGAAAAATGTTTATTTTTCAAACAACTGTTTCAGTCTGACAGTCTGCCGGCCAGTTAGATGTCTAACGTTTTCATTAGCCAGAATTAAAGTTGATGGCGGGAACACCCACCCACGACTAAGGCCATCTGTACGTCACTTTAAAGATATGATATGTTCATAAATATGTGTGCCTAATTATGAGTAGTTTCACATTTTATTGTCGATAAATTCGCAAGTTCATTAAACTCATTCGCCGGCAAGCGATTAAGCTGAATCAGCCTAACTGGCCTCTGTCTTAGTCGTTGTCGTTATCGTTGTCGTTGTCTTTGCTTTTGGGTCTCAGCTCGAATTTGAGGCATTTGGCGCTTGGCGCTTGGCATGTGGCCAACGCCATTTAATTGCCACCCGACTTTCGCGCTGTGCACTCGGAATGAAGTTGTCATCTTTGGCGGCTTATGCAATGCTAAAAATCTCGATCCGTCTTTTTTTGTGGCGATTTTCTGAGTAATGGCATACACTCGATTGGGGTCAGCGATGGACGCCAATTACTCTGACTCTGACTTTCATTGAAAGTTAAATATTTGTAGAGCAGACGAAAGGAAATGCAACGAAAGGAAAAGAGCAACGCTTAATTTGCAGCAGCAGCAGCAAGAGCCACAAATGCAATATTTGCCCATCGCATGAATTTGCCCTGCCTTATAGCGCATACTTATAAACGGGGTATGCTGCGATCTTGGCACATATAGAACTCTAGGTGTAAAGCACTTAATCCGCATAAACTACGTTAGATATAATACTATTTAATTCAAATTAGGATATATCTGAGATGTGTCAAATTCAGTTGAGAACACATTAACTAAATATTGGCAATTTTATTCTACAGGGTATGACTGAGTCAGGCAACAACTGCACTTTGTGCATATATTTATTTATTCTATTATTATTACATTTGTTGTTGGTTTTGTTGTTTTTTGTGAAAGTGCCAAGTGACCACAACTAAAAAGGTTAAACTGGGCGCCGAAGCGTGCCCTGCACTGAATAAGCTCTGAGCTCTGCTCGTCGTCGTCGTCGTCGTCGTCGAAACTGGGCTGCTGTGCATTGTGTTAAGTAGAATCTGTGGCCCGGCAACGAGGTGATTCAAGTCAAACAGTAATTTGAACGCATCCAGCAGGTGGAGAGAATTATTATGGGCAGAGAAAATTTATGTTTTCAAATTTAAGAGTTGGGCCCCGGATTGATTTCGCTCCGGCATATATAGTGGTCACTTTCACACCTCCCACATCAGATGCCATTAACGAATTGCGCACTATATCTCAATCAGTTTATATCCGCACTATAAACACAAAACTTTCCAATTTCCTGACAATTGGAGCAAGCGATTGATAGCTAAGTTTTATGGCCTTTGCAGATTTATAATTGCAGGAGATTTCAACACGTCGGAGGAGGAAAATGTAGCCACAAAACTTCTTTGGCTTTCCGCAATTAGCCAACAAGAAATATGTTTTATTACTCGAAAACGAGTTGGCAAAACTAAACAATACAACGAGTAAAACAAGCAATTTAACCTTTTTTTTATTTCATATTTGTATTTGTTTTGTTGTATTGTTGGCAATTGTTTTAAATAGATTAATTAGTCGCAGCAATTGAATGAAAAAGAAAGCATTTGAAATGAACATAATTGCTCTGGTGAGTTTTACTATTTGAAGCCGCGCCAACAGTACTCATTATTTCAATTGGCTTTTAATTTTGTTATTGTGTATTAAGTATTGCCTTTTTGCCGGCTTTAATACCTGAGCCTACGGCTCCGAAATTCTTCTCAATTGTTGTGGATTCCAGCTTGTCCAATGCCTCGGCGACCTTGACGCAACGGCATGAACTTGGAGTCCCTCTCACGGTCAATGTCAATAAACTTAAATTCTGGAGAATACATCCACTAAGCTGCTTCCCCACATTCACATCTGGTTGACACTTAACTTGTTATCAATGTATCTATTTTCATTTCGTTTATATTACTGCCTGGGCTGGTCATTAAACGTACCCTGTGGCGCAACAGTCGCAACCTGGTATGGTCATAAAAACTTTAGATTCAATTGAAGTGAGATAAACATCTCTCCTTTAAAAGCGATTTAAAATTATGTAGCCACGGTTTGTTTATAGATTGAAATTTGAGCTTAGATCTTTTAAACGGCTATAAAATAAGTCGATTCTTTGTTTGGTAAGGCAATTAATTAGCTTTTAAAATAACAGCATTAAACTAATACATTAAAAGTACAAAAAAGTATTTCGACGAGGATGGGATTCGAACCCACGCGTGCAGAGCACATTGGATTAGCAGTCCAACGCCTTAACCACTCGGCCACCTCGTCACGTGTCAGGGGTAGTTCTAAGGTTCTACTTGATATAGTTGGTGAGTATGCACTCTTTTATCTCTACCAAGCAGTTCAATAGTGTATAAAGCAGTTTACTATAATCGGGAACTATAGCAAGCAGTGTATACATAATTTATTGCAAATCTTGATTTATAAAATGTACATTTACTTTGAGCAGATGCATATTAAATTGATATAAACGTGTAAGTACAGAAATCAACTTTATGTTTTTTTTTTTTTTTTTATGCTATTCTCAATAGGAATATTAACATATTACATTTTCGTACTGCTTGCGTTTCAACTAAGCTGTACATGAAAAGAGCAACTGGGTGCCAAGGTCGCATATGACGAGGTGGCCGAGAGGTTAAGGCGTTGGACTGCTAATCCAATGTGCTCTGCACGCGTGGGTTCGAATCCCATCCTCGTCGGGTTTTTTTTATGCTTAAATCAAAATAGTAAAATAGTTGAAAAGAAAAGCGTAAACATTTTTTATTGAAAATATTAAACAGCAATAAAAATAAACTAATATTAAAGCATTAAAAATACCAACATGTAAATTACACAAAAAAGCCATTGCGACGAGGATGGGATTCGAACCCACGCGTGCAGAGCACATTGGATTAGCAGTCCAACGCCTTAACCACTCGGCCACCTCGTCATGTTGCCTGCCGGCGGCGCAATGAGGCTTCTGAACTCTTTGACAGCGCTCTGTTAATTCTTTTCAACCAATTCTGTGCCCAATAAACAAACGATAATTATGTCAATGAAAACGCCGTAAATAATTACAAAAACAACAAACCCCGCTAAGTGGTTGCCCTGGATGGCAGGCAGCAGAAAAAATCACCTGTTCGCTGTTAAAGAAGTAGCCGAGTGCTGGCGCGTGTTTTGCGACTTCTTTAGTGCAATCTAAGTGTTTGAATAATTCGGCAATAGAGGTGAACTTTTGCTCTTATACCCTACACTGGCAAGGTATATTTGTTATCCAATAATTTTATTATTTACAGTTGGTAAGTTGGGTTGAGTTGGTAAGTTATTTAAATCACAATCACACACATATGTAACGAAAATACCTAATAAGTGATTAGCATTGTGATTATTAATTGAAAGGGTATTGCGACGTACGAAAGACACAAATTGAATGGACATTTTTGCGTATTGTGTTTACAGAATCAATTTGTTTGCTCAAGTATTGTAGAACGCGTAGCTTAAAAGGGTTTTTGTATAATTCAGATACATATATGTAGATTTGATCGTGCCGCTGTCTGACCCAGTTATATTTATTATTCAGTTTTATTGATTTTGCTACTCGCATTTCGCGATCAAAGTTTGATGTACAAAAACAAAAGTAGTTTACTTGAAATGAGCTACTCCCCTGCTGCTTGAACTGGTGCTGGCTACTGTTGATGCAGCGTCTGCTACTGCTGCTGCTGCTGCTGATGATGATGATGGTGATAATGATTTAAGATGAACTCAAGAAGTAAGTGGCCTAAGTATGTGTACGTCCAGTTGTCAACCGTTGCCGTCGCCAGCGCGGTGTTAATGAACCCTAGTTCCTGATATCTGATAGTTGTTTACGTTTACGTTTATGTACGTTCCAATTGCCGGCATTTACACCTAGTGCGACACATCGGCTTCGTTAGGAAAGTGTGCCCAAGTTAAAAGATGCGCAGGCACGCGTGTTTATATTTAGCATCTAGTGCTGGCTGGCTACTATCCGCAGCAGCTCAAAAAGCCCGCTGTCCGGAAATAGTCACGTGCACAAGGACATTCCAAGGCTAATTACGTTGGCGCGTCGCCTGCGTCGTGGCAGTGGCAACAGTAGCGCGGGCATCACATTAACTTGGTTCAGCCTGGCTCACCCGTTCATTATTGTTGTTGTAGTCTCTGTACATAAGCCCTCTTGGTGCCCCTTGTCGATCCTGTTCTAGTCACAGCGCAATCTGCGGCATCCAAGCACATACAAACGTGTACCAGAGGTATCTTTAGCTGTATCTGTATCTTTGCATCTGCGTGGTTGTCTCCAGTTGCAGTTACAGTCTCCGCTTAATTAGCTATGTAATTTATTATTGCCCTAATCTGTAGGAGAGCAACGCCAGCAACGGCTACGGCGCCGGCGCCAACGCCGCTGGCATTGACAAATAAACAAATTATTTATATTAGATTATTAATATTAGCAGACATTCAAGTGGTGCAATTCAGGGAGCGCCCATCCATGTTCACCTGGCCGTCTATCAAATCAACATAATTATATGAAGCTCTCTCTGCCTGGCAAGCAGAGAATTGGCCCAGGGCAAGGTCCAAGACAAGGGCTTAATATGCAGCTATGACTGGCATTAACTAAGAATTATGCAGACAAAAAAGATGTACACAACATGTGTGCATGTATGTATCTATGTACATTGATGTAATCGCACAATTATGCCCAATTATGCAACAGCTGCTCGTGACTGGGCTGAGTGGGGCGGAGCTGCAGTTACAGATACAGGTGCTTAAGCTCGGTGCTAAGCAGAATGCTTTGTGGATATCATTGACTAATGAGCGTTCTATTACCCGCCGCTACCTCACGCCCCCCTGCGCGGCCCTTTCTGCTACCTCAGTGTCATAAAAATTAAAATACATAATCGCGGGCGTTTGTGATGGGCGCTAGTTACAAGGCAGTCAGACATCCGATCCCGCAATTAACATTTCTGGGATATTTTTTGCTTTCTTTTTTAAATATTTGTGCAATTGCATGTGCATGTCGAAAATGCGAGGTTGGCACTTGGTAGTGCTGCCGCGGGGGCCATTGACACTTGAGGGTAATTATCATTATATTTGTGTACAAATGCTAACGTTTGGGCTGGCAGCAATTAGCCGATTTATCAGTTGGGAGCGACCCCAGATATCTAAGCAGATCTCACAATCAGACGGAATAATGTAAGCTGCTTTGGCAATGCAATCAGCTAAGAACAGCAGCAGCAACAGCAGCAGCAGAAGCAGCAGCCTGTCTACTTGGGCCAACTCGCCTCTTGGCTAGTTCTGCGCATGCGTGGCGGCGACGTCGACTGCGCCAGTCTCGTCTTAGCCAATATAAAGCGCAGATTCTTAACGCTCTCATACCCATTGCCAGTTCAACGCCTTTGCGGTGCAGTCCAACCGTTGTTTTTCTTGTGTGCAGCTTGACAGGATTAAACTCCTGGACTTATAGGAAATCAGTGTATGCAAATCGTGAACAGTTTTTTGTAATTTCTTTTAAAATCATTGTGAAAATTGTGATCCGTTTTTGGAAACGTTGATAGGAATACCTGACCTCATTTTATCCAAAAATAAATAAATTTAATTAACAAGTATTCGAATAAAAATAAATATCAACTTTTTAATTAATTTGTGAAATTTGTAAAAAAAAATTGTTTTGCCCATATATTATTAAAAAAAATCTCCTTGCAGCAAACCTTGCATAATGGCAAGTCACATGTGGATTAAGTGTCTGCGCATACTGCTGCCCTTGCTGCTGATCTACCCCTCGTATGCCGCCAATCTCTCCCCGCTAGTCAAGAAGCAGACGCAATCGAAGCAACCGCAGATATCGCAGTCGTCGCAGCAACAGCAGACAACAAGCCACAACACCGCAGCTGGCCAGCAATATGCGCAGGAGCCGGATCTGCCTGCCGAGCAACAGGATATTAAGAGCGAAGAGGAGGATGATCCATATCAATTGTTGCACGAGTTCAAGCAGGATTCGCGATTGCCGGCCTCATCCTCAAACTATGCTTGGAATCCGTACACGGCAACTGCTGCCGCAGACGGCGCACCCATCAATCCATATGAGAGTATGGCTCCAGCTGCTCCGGCCTTGCCCATGCCCAAGATGCTTCCATTTATTGGCTACGCACAGCCGCTGCTCATACCCTTTCCTCTGTACATAGCTCCCGACATGTTCTATCCCTCGTATCCGGACTCCACTAATAACCTGGAAGATGTGGTTATGTCGCGCGCAGCCGGCGAACGTCGTCCGCCCTCGTCTCATTCGTCTCGCAACTCGCCCATATATTATGTTCGCCTGCCTCCAACTCCATACATGTTTGTGCCCACCAACCTAGCACCCACACCGTTTGGCAACAGCTTCTCGCCCCTGCTGACATACCAGCCCATGCCCACATTCTCCACCTTTGGATCGGTCTTCAATCTGCCCGTCAATTTCTTGTCCAATGGCAAGCCCTCAGGAATTTATCAGATGCACGGCGCGCCAAGCGACTTGGCACCATTCACGCCTGGGTTCGGCAGTAGCTTTAATATGCGCCCGCCCACACCCAGCAATCCGTATCGACCTGTGCCGCCGGCTCCGGCTGCTGGCTACGGACATGGTCAGCAGAGCTTTGGCCTGGCAGCATTGCCAGCACCGCAACAGGATTCGAAGTTGACCTCTCTGAAGCGCCCGTTTGTGTTCAATGGCCGCCCTGAAGATATCTATATACTGCCCAACAATCTGAACTCTCTGTACAATTACAACGAACAGAATTACTACTGAAAGCCCCTTCACATTTTGGGTCGTGTCAGCAACTGAAAGTATTACTAAATGCATTTAAATTAAATATATTCAATAAAATTGATAACAAAAAATTAAATAGGTGCATTTTTGAGACAGTTGCCAAGCTATTAATCTCAAAAAATAGGAAGTAATTGCTCACGTATCTTCCAGCTAGGATCATAAAATCTTTCCAATCTTAGACAAGCAAATTGCTTATCTACTTGTGACGCGCTTATCATCTGTTATCATCAAGAAATAATACTTTAATAAAAGACAACTTGTAAAAGTTTGTATTTAACTGAAAAGTGGTATGATAAATAATGTACATATATAAACTTAGTGCTAAAAACTTAGTTTTATTTAAAAAATATGTATAATAGTTTTCAATCGCCAATAGCTGCCACTTTTTGCTTCATTTCTTCAATATACTTGACATCGCCCAAGTATTTGCTCTCACCAATAAGCTGACCCGTGCCCATATTGAACTCGTAGACAATTGGCACACTATTGGGAATGTTGACCTTTTCGATTTGCTCTTCAGACAGACCTAAGGAAATAAAAGCAAGTCGTACAGCTATCTAGATCGTACGATCCACGTTACGCACCTTCAACGTGCTTAATCAGGGCTCGCGCCACAGTTCCATGAACGACGACCAAGACGCGTGTGCCTTCGAGCACATCTTTTTTGATCTCCTCCCAGACGGGACTGACGCGATCCACACACATGCGCATAGATTCGGTGAGAGGAAATTCATCCATTGGCACATTTTGAAAGTCGGCATTATTGCAGATCTCGTAAAAGTAGAGATTGGAGGTCTCGATTGGAGGCGGCAGGCCGTCGTAGTTGCGTCGCCAATGCTGTACCTGCGCCTCGCCATACTTATTGGCCAGTTCCCGTTTGTTAACGCCCGTCAAATTGCCATAGTGCCGCTCATTGAGCCGCCAATCTGATACAATTGGCAAAAAGGAGCATTCCAATTCGCTCAATATCAAATCGGCGGTACGCTTGGAGCGACTCAGCTTCGAGCAGTAAACCTTATCGAATTCCATGCCGGCGCTTTTCAAATTGGCTGCAGCGATGCTGCGCGCCTGTTCCACGCCTGTTGTGAACATCGAGTAGACTATCAGCACACATAAAAAAACGCAACTTTTCGAAATGCCGAATACTAAATACCCTTACGGACGACGTGCAACATATTGCCAAAGGGGCCGGAACATTGGCTTGCATAGAAACAGACCGACAGACGGTTAATGATCAGGGGTGCATGTTTCATGATAAAACTATAATACTCACTGAAAGGGTATAAAAAAAAACATATTTGTTATAATTATCGCAAGCTTACCACCCGCACTAAGCGGCGCATCGTGCCAGCCACAAAATAGATTCTTCAGATTAAACTCGCTCTCGCCGTGGCGCAATAGTACAAGGCGATTCGTTTTTGCCATTAGGTTGGAACTGAAATGAAAAACAGGTCTTGTTATACGTTTGCTTTTGAAGCATTGGCGCCGCCAAGATATTATAATGAAATTAATGATTTTTCAAAAATAAAGTTAGTGTATCTGATTGCGATTTCAATGCTTGCTTGGATTAAATAAATTTATCTAAACTATATAAACAGCCGATCTGCAAAAAATGCCCTAACTATGTACTTTATATTTTGCTGCTGCTATATTCAGCAAAGGCCATTTCGATTGTAATGCTTAGCAAATTTCTGTTGAGCCACGCGGCTCGACTTGATACTTTTTGAAACGCACATACCACACATACTTTTGGCTAACGTATCCGAAAGATACAGAAAAAAAGAATTCGCGCTCACATGCCAAAGCCGAAACAAAACAAAACAAAACTAAACAAAACAGAACGCCAGCTCTGGCTACGCTTTAAACTGTTTTCGTTCTCCGTGTTTTGCTCGTCATATTCGGCGTTGTCGAGTTACCAAATTTTTGTTTGCTTATTTTGCGCTTCCTTCTCCCTCTCAAATTGTTACTGTTGTTGCGGTCGCCGTCGCTGTCGCTGCCATTGCATGCGCCTACATATTGGCATAGTTTGGATTTCTATGTATGTATTTTGTTATTGTGTCTACGCTTCGCACACAGTGGAACAGCGCGCCAAAGTGCCGTTCGTCTATGCCGCGCCACTGCCTCACCGCGCCGTTCACCCCTCTCACATATTGTACTTACGCCTGACGCTGCGGTCGCAGCTCCCTAAGCTCGCGCATTTCTGTTATTTAGTTGTACGAGTGTTGTTTGTGCGTTTTGGTTTTGATAAGTTTTTTTTTTTTTTGGTGAGTTTTTTGCGTTGTTATTGTTGTTCGTTTTCTTTCAATATTTGTTTGTAATGCCACTACGTTACACTTTTTGTTTCAATAACTTGAACATCACTTGCATCGACTCCTCTCTCATACACTCTATCCGCTTATCCGTTTGGCTTGCACTGCGTCGTTTTGTTTATATCTCACTTCTGCCTGCAACTACGTTGGTTTTTCTATTGGCTGCGGTCGAGTACTGCGCACAATTCTTATTGGCAAAATATGAGCTGCCACTTAACGTCTCAGTCGACGTCGCTATCGGCGTCGACGATGTTGATGACTACGGTACAACAACAGCTGATGCTGAGCCGGTTGCTGTTGTTGTCTTCCGCAGCACGTTGAGAAAGAGCGAAAAATCAATAAGAGTTTTATTACGCACACTAACCGAAATTTGAAATTTGAAATTAATTGTAATTGTTTAAATTTCAGTGTTTAAAGTTTGGCCAACTGAGAGTTGAATTAAAAACGTTGCATAATACTTTGAATAGGTGCTAATAGTTAAATATTATAAATTGGTCTCGAGTGACCAGCTTAAAAACCATTCAAATGCAAATAGATATTTATTAAGTTATTTACAAAAAGCAATGGGTGAAATGCCTATAGCCCTTGTCTAAGTTTCTTTGATAATTTGTCTATATAAGTAATATTGTATTTCGGAATTAACTTTACCACTGCCAAACAAATCACTATTAAAAAAGCTTTATTTTTATATAAAACTAAATGTGTTGCATTGAACGGATTTTAGTATATAAACAGAGAGAAAGAAAGACAGAGAGAGAGAGAACACACAAATTAAACGGTACAGCATTCAAGATGTATTTCTCGTACATTTGGCTCGACTTTGAACTTGATCATATTCTTCCCTTGGCAAGTCTCCAATAAATGCAATCACAGCGAAAGCTTTCTCTACAAAGTGCTGCCAGCTAAGAAATTCGGAGATAAGAACCTTTTAAAACATGGCTAAGCAAATCAATATATGAGCTAATCGGGACTAATCACTGATATATGGGTTTCTCTGTACCCCTTCCTTAAAATGTTTAGTTTATTTATAGATTTCTGGTGTGACTTACCTTTATTTAAGCTGAGCATTTCAACATTTTAAGATAAACAAACGTAACATTGGCATCACTCAAGAACTGTAGCCTTGAAAAGGTAAATTTTGGCATTTGTTGAAAATAAAACCAGAAATGTCTTAACAAAAGATCAAAGCAAATAATGTTAGCGAAGCTTTCAAAATAATAATGAACCTTTGTTTATCGCGATGAAATCTGGCAATTATATTGTTTTTTGTATATATCATATGGAAGTGTTATATTATATATACCTATTAGTTTTATAACTATTATTATTGTTTTTGTTAACATAATCAGCCATTCAAATGACCTCATATATTGATGTGAAAGTCGAAATTTGAAATTGAATAAATTTCACACTTGATATATTACAGGTGACAAATGTCTATAAGGGCATTTCAAAGTCGGTGCTTGCTGTCGAAATTTTGAAATTGAATAAGTTTCTCACTCCAAATTCTGACAAATGTCTGTAAGAGCATTTCATAGTCGGCGCTTGTAATCGTAGTTTTGTACAGATGAAGATCAAGCTTGGATATTTCGTAATATTTTATTACTGCATGTGATCAGATGTTCTTCAAGAATCTTGTTCTTGGAAGCAGCTTATAGACATGTACATACACACAAAATGTGGTGTGTGTAGGTGTATACTTGCCAACTTAGCCCAGCTTTAATTCTATTAAAGCTCTAATTTTTTCGATCCGCACGAATCGAACATACGAAACTCTTGTCTCTTGTCGCAGCTGAAAGTCTTTCCAAAGCCGATGTCTTGTCCCAAAAATCTGTCGCCGTCGCGGCGCCTAACTCTGACGAAGGGCCACCGTCAGAGTCACCGACTCCGTATAAAGGTCTAAGCCAGCCGTGAGCTCGGCTCAGTCTGCAGAGCAACGTGCGTGAGCATCTTTGTTGGGTAGTGCGTGGGTCCAACAATTGCACATATCAATTAATGTATTCATGTACATATACGCATAGACAATTGTAAATTTTAGTGCGTGTGCGTGTGCGTGTGCGTGTGCGTGGTTCTTGAAGAATGCATTTTCCAACAATTGGCGATTTCTATCAGCGTTTGCTATTTCTGCTGCCGTTCTCAGCAAGTGGGTATTATTATCTTTTAACAACTCTATCTGAAAATCAACCAAGTGTGTCCAAAGAATATATCCGATTGTCAATCAAAATTTTGAAGATGTTACAATGCTTCCGCCATATGAAAATCTACGGCATATGTGTGTTATAAGAGTTAACGACAACGTTCAATGGGTTTTACGATCTGTAACGGGAGTTTTGGCCAAATTTATGAGCCATCTCTAAACTGTAACATAAAACTGTCAAATTGATGCCGGAGTAGAGCACACACATCATCTAATGGATAGCAAACAAGCCAGTGGCTTGTAAATAATAACAATAATTAAAATCGCATGCACAAATGCTTCACAAAGACCATGGCAGATGTCACAGCAATGTTATTGTTTACAATGATTATATAAGATGGCGTAAATATCATAGCCTTTTTGGCCATTTTCCCCACAAATTGTACAATTATGGTACACTTTGGGGCTGCAATTGACTGTACGTGTTGGGAACTGAGTCAAAACAGTTAGCCATTGTGGTGGTTGAATACCCAGGGATTACCCAACTGGTCCTAAACGTGCAAGAGGCTGAAAAGCTAATGATGCATACAGATTATATCAAGCAAACGCATCATTTACTCTCTATTAACATCCATATGGATGCCGGTCTGATTGTCTGAGTGGGCGAGTCATTCAATGATTCATTCGAATCATTGTCTTTGCCAAAGCAGCTAGTGCTATCAGGGTTGATTTAGGTTGAATGCTTAAGCTATATCTTTTTATTCTATTCTTATTGATTTTTGTTTGAGCGCCGTGCCTAATTATTAATGGATATCTAAAGCTTATCTTATAGAATAAAAATAATAATTTTAAATGTATCAGAAAATTCTTTATTACAACTTTTTGCCGCTTAGATTTGCTGCCGGAGGGTCTACGCTTCAGCTATGATGAGCCACAGCAATGGCGATATATTTATCCACAATGTGGCGGCTCCTATCAGTCGCCCATAGCACTCAATTCACGCAAAGCGATACCCATAAGCTTGCCGCCCTTGAACTTTGGTCACTACGAGGAGCCGTTCGATGAGCTTCTGAGTGTCCGGAATAATGGACATACAGGCATGTACAAGGCAGCTGGAAATATGCATTACGTTTTCAAAGAATATCCACTTTATTCACAGTTGAATTCAGAGTGCCCACAACGGTGTTGGGCGAGCGTCCTTATCTCACCGGCGGTCTTTTGGGAGACTTCTATGAGGCCATGGCCGTGCATTTCCATTGGGGCTCGTCACAGCGTAAGGGCTCGGAGCATTTGCTTAATGGTCGCCGCTACGATCTGGAGATGCATATCGTGCATCGCAACACAAACTACCAGAGCGATGAGGAGGCGAGAAATCAGACCGATGGCCTGGCCGTGTTGGCTGTGCTCTTCAAGGTGGTCCGCGTAAGTGAATAGTGTCCTAGATATAAGCACATTCCAAACGCTTATTCTGCGTGTTTTTTGCAGACCAACTATCCGCATTATCAACCTGGTCTCAGTGAAATCCTTGGCTCGCTGCTCCATCTGGGCGACTTTAACAGCAGCTACACGCCAACCGCTTTTCTCACACTTGGTTCGCTACTTGGCAATTTGGATAGGGGCAATTTCTATGCCTACAGGGGATCGCTGACAACGCCGCCATGTTCGCCAACTGTGCTGTGGCATGTGTTTGCCGAAGTTTTGCCCATATCCCAACTGGAACTGCCAAAGTTTTGGCAACTGAGAGATCGCCGCGGACGACCGCTGTTAAACACCTTTCGGCCAGTGCAGTCCCTTGAGGGGCGGCAGGTATTTCAACGCCGCCCTCCATCGGAATACATCTGGTTATAATAAATGCTAAGAATCTATTTTCATATCGAATTTATTGCCAAAAGGAACACTTTGACCGGGATAAAATAGATAATATTGTTGTGTGTTTTTAGTTGATTACGTTTCTTACTTGCGGCCACTTTTGTAGCGCGATAAAATTGCGGCAACAAATCCCAGCTCTATGGCCAGAACGGAGGAGCGCATCATAAATGGGGGTAGCTTCAACACAGGTCGCGGCAGCATTGACACGCTTCTAGTGCCCGTCTGCCCTGCCTGGCACGTAACCGTTGTTCGCTTCTTCGGCAGAATAACGTTACGCAGTAGATCAGGTGGAGGACGGAAATTCACGGTGTGGTATTCGTGATCTCGTACATCAAAAGGGGGCCGCGGTATGCGGACGCGCGGATTGAGCGGTGGATGGAATGGCTTAACCACAACCCTGCTGTGCTGTTTACTATCCCCTTCCAGCATATTGCCATAGGAGCGTCTGGCCACTCTTTTACTTTCTTTGATATATGGATCATCGCCCTGGTAATCGACCGGTCGCTCTTTTGGCTGCGGAGGGGCTGGTTGGCCCTTTGTCATGATTTTAGTCAACTGTTTGGTTATTTCGCTGACTTGCAAGTCCTCACGTTTGGTCTTGTTTTCGTGCTCATCTTGCGCTAGCCAAAATTCTTGCCTGGCTTTATCATACATCTCTTGAGATTTTTGCTTTCTACGTTCCCTGGGATCTGTCGATTCTTCTGACTCTTCGATGGATGAAATCTTCTCCTCCGCGCTCGGTTCTATTTCAATGTTGTATGAAACGTTTTCTTTTGGCCATTCTTTTTTAAGCTGTGTGTCCTCAGCCACTGGAACATCCGTGTCTGGAGAAACTAAATCCATGGCCTTTTCAACATTCGGTTGAACCTCCATCCAAGGAGATGGCTCGTGAAATGTTAATTTCACTGTCTCTTCGTCCTTGGGCCATTCAGCCCTGTGTTCCACTAGCTGTTCCGGGGTTTCATCCTTTGTTGTTTCCTCACTCTTCACAAGTGCTTCTATATGTGTCGGCTCGTTTGAATCTTGTTCTCGTTTTGGCCATAATAGATCGGGATCGGTTTTAGGCTCTTGCATGCGTTCTCGTTCCTGGGACCGTTCTAATCTATAAGTTTGCAATTTTTGTTTGAAGTCAGAAAGATCTAGAGGCTTTGGTTTTTTAGCCGCATCGTCTTTGTTCTTCTTGAATTCTTCGAGTGCGCTGTCAAATTTATCATTATCCAACAACCAATCCCATTCTGAGCTAGGCTTAGGTACTTTTTCGTCGTGAATCTTGCTTGTTAACAATTGTTGAGCGTTGTCTTCCATTTGAATTGCTTTAGTTTCCCTCTCACTGTCTCCATCAAGGCTCTGAGACTTTCCACTCGGATCTTGACTGCGGCTCTTTACGTCTTCTGATTCTATTTCCAACAGAAGCGATTCTTCCTGTTCCGCCTTAAGATATTTTAGTTGAGTATGATCCTGATCCAATGCCGTAAAATTTGTGTTTTCATTGTTTTTGTTATGTATTAGATCCAAATTTTGACTTGCTTCTTCGTCACTTATTTTGCTTTCAATGGCTGCAGGCACTTGGTCATCTAGAATGGCCTTCTCCACATCCGTTTCTAGCTTATCCATGAATGCAGCATCTTCGCGATTTTCAGTTGATTCTAATGCTAAGGTACGCTGATCCTCATCGACTGAATTCCGGTTCTCGCCACGTCTATCCTCCTTTTTTTTTTCATTGTTCCTTCCTCTCTTTTCCTTGTCGCCGCTATCATCGCGGTCCCTTCGAGGTTTGTAATTAATGAACTTTGTTTTGTCATTTAGTTTTCTGTCAATCGTTTTGGGTATCACATCGTCAAGAATGGCGTTTTCTACTTCCATTTCTGTATTTGAAGTAAATTTACCCTGACTGAGTTTTTTCATAGGACTGAATTGCCAAATACGTTGATTTCTATCGAAATTGGATCGAACCATCTCCGACCCAGCCTTTGTTACCTGATTACTCTCTTCCCCGCCAGCTGGTCGTTGATTATATCGTTCAGACGAGTCATTGCTGCTGTCTTCACTTGATGTGGATTTTACTTCAGTGGAAGAAGAGTTGTGATTTGAATCCTTAGAGTTTTTCTTTGAGTCTTCGCTAATGACAGGAGGAGCTGTGCGCTCTATTTTACTGAACTTCTTATGTATTATTATGTGTCGTGCAGGTCCTTGATGTTTGAAGTCTTCGACAGAAAATCGGGGATGAAAAGCAATATTGCCTTCTTGATGTCTCTCATTCAATGCTCCTTCATATTGTCGATTATCAGATCTATTCATATTACCGAAATCGTTGTTACTGTTTTGTTCAGCTGTGGGTTCCACTAAAACTTTATTCGTCAAAACTTCCTTGTGCTCTGATGGAGAGTTAAAAATGTCGGCACTCTTAAGATTTGGACAATATGTTTCTTGTTTTAATTCCAAGCTCTGTGGATATTCATCAGCAGAGCGCAGTATTAACAAGGGCTCATCTGGTGCCTGAATAACAGGTTGAATTGTGTTTTTCGAATCGTTAGTGTCGATTTTAAAGGTAATAGGCTTGAATAGTAGACATTCCGGTAATTTTTCATGGATTTCCAACTTGCCTTTTTTCATTTCCTGCTGACCCCAATTGTCTTGACAATACCCGTTTACAAAGTTGAAATTCTGCCAGATATCTGCCTCCTGACAACCGGGCTTCGCCATAGGAAAGGAACTATCCATCTTTGGGGCTTCCAATGAAGCTTTTGTATAAGGAACTTTGTCTAATGTACATTTTTTCGATTTAATGCTTATTTTATAATCGTATCTGTAACCCTCAGGAACCTTTTTGAATTCCGCAGATGGGCTGTCCTTCAAATCTATCCATTTAGAATATTTGTTCGTATCTGTCTCCCTGCTGCTAATAAAATCCTTATTGTTAGTTGAATCTTTGCTTGATTTCTCCAAACTTTTCTCGTTGTCAACATGATATTCGACAGTTGTTCCCTCCCTCACTTCTGATTTAATTGAATCATCTTTTGATTCAGAATCAACTTTGTAACTGTCGTTCGTTTGCTCTAAACTCTTTCCCTTAAAATTTGTAACTGAGCATTGATCATTCTGCAAGGCTTCAGTTTCTTTCTTGCGGATCAACTGTAAATAGTTTGAAACATTTGGCTCGTCATCAAACAGTCGCATTTTGAACGTAGAATCCTGTTCATATAGTATTTGCTCTTTTTCACATTTTTTTGAATTCGCTGATTCTGTCGTTTCATTTTTCTGCTCCTCTTGACTCTCAGTGACTGAATCAGCCTGCTTAGCATCCTCCGCACAGCTCTCATTTTGGGCCTTTGTTTTTTGTTTTGCGTCTTTATTCTGATCGGAATTTTCATTTTTACTCTTCACCCTCACCCTTAATGCCTTATATTTTTCATTTAAGGGCCTCACATGCCGTTCAATGATCTCATTTAAGCCGACAGCAGCCGAATGTTTTGCCCCAGTTTTATTCTCGCCTGACTGTGACATTACGATCGGCTGTAACCGCGATTCCATAATGAAATCAGACTTTTCATCATTTGCGTTATCATTGGGAATTAATTGTGAGCTGACTAGGACGTTGTCAGGCTCTGTTATCACGCTTGCCGCAAACGATGGACACACCATAGATTCTTTAATCTCAAAACAAATTTCTGGCTTATCCTTATCTGAGCCCATTTCAAAGGAAAATTCTACGCCACCACTGTCAGGCTTGGGTTCATCAATAGCTCCAGTTGCGGTCTGCGACTTATCAAGAAACTCTTCTAACTTCTTAGAATTGCTTTCAGTATGAAAATATTGAAAATATGGTTTCCAAAAGCCTTGCTTCTCGTCTTCAGCATCACAATAAATTTCTTCATTATCCACCTGATCAAAAGTAGTGCCATTTAACGAAGCAGTTGTGTACTCGGGAACTGTATCAGCTATATTCTCAAGAATACCGTCTGTGCATATGGATACCGGACTCTCATCTTTTTGGAATTGGGTGACCGAGAAATTGCTGATAAAAGATACAATACATTACTCCAAGAGTTAAACATGTTCAACACTGTTATACTTACCGCAAGTCCGGATGATTACGGAGGGTATCTACAATGGCTTGTGGAGGTACCTCCTTCTGACAAATACGATGTATTATTGAAAACAATGGATATCTTTAAAAATAAATGTCGAATTTCACCAATTTGAACATATATGGTATAGTTGCAAAAAACTCACATGTCGTGCAAATCTTCGTTATCTAAATACGCAAAGATCTCCCCAGCAATAATGGGACCAAGCAATTTGCGACCATTCAAAAGACTTGCTTCAATTTCTTGTGTAGTTTTTTGTGAGGTAACAAAGTTCTTAGCAAAGGTAACGTTTTTATCACCTAGAGAGAGAATTATTTAGGATCATAAATAAAACGTAGAGACCCGGTCGAAAATAAAAGTTCTGTGTGATACAGAGAGAAAGTAGGTGCGAAAGTGAGTCGGAGGGAGAAAAATTTGGGAGAGAAAAAGGCTGCAAGAAAAATATCTCTTGTAAAGAACCATATCAATAGTTGCCAAATTCCATAAATCACAAATATTCCTAATTTTAACCCAAAAAGTCATTACCAGATATTAAAGTGTGCAGGGTATATTAGAGAGAGGGTACTTACCATACGCAGAAGCAACCGAATTTGCTAAGCCACAGCTTTCCAAAAATGTAGTCACATTGGTAGTTGGATTGCAATTCGTGATAAATCGCATCATTTCCTTTAAGCCCAGATGAAGGCAAGCGATTCTGGCATTTTCGCCCAGGTGCAAGCCATCAATAAAGCCGGCACTTAGCGCAACTAAATCCTTCAGTGTATTACATAGTTCCACTCCATCAACATCATCAATGGTAAACACCATACAATTTTCGGTCTGTAACAGATAATTCAATTGATTCGCATGTGCATCATTGTTGCAGCCAATAGTAATTTCGCAGAGCTTTCCCTGTGCCATTTCCATGGCACTGTTAGCATTCATCATTGAATAGCATGGTATCCCCAACAGGTGGGTAATTGTATGTGAATAAAGTTCGATTTCGCCATCTCTATGCTCCAAACCCTTGGTTAACGAGATGGCAAAAGCAGTGCTTTTTACATTGCCAGCTAATATATTACAGTATGATTTTACAAAGCTATGCGGCGTAGCAAATATTAAAATATCAGCATTTCGTGCGGCGGCAATCAGGTCATTGATGGCAATCTGAGAGTAGAGATTCTAAGCAAGTGGTACTATAGATTTCAAAGGAGACCTTACCAAGTTTGATGGCAGTCTTATTCCAGGCAGGTATTTAATATTCTCGTGCTGTTCATTCATTACCTCAGAAAGGTAATTGCTTCGAACAAGCTCATCGTATACATATATGTGCACTCGGGTGTCAAATTCGCCATCGACGACATTTTTACACACAGAAGTGGCGATTGCAGAGCCCCTAAAATATATCAAGTTGGCAATTGTCATAAGACTAAGAAAAACAAAATGAGAGTATCTTGAGAACCTACCAGCCTTCTGCACCAATGATGCAAACCTTCGGATGTTTTGGCATTGCCAATTTGTAAGAATTCAGCTACGAAATTGAACCACAAGCATTAAAACTAAATATTTCTGTTTAACAAAAAGTTTGTAAAAAGCCAAAAATTTAGAATTTTAAATTTTAATAATTTTTAGGATTTAGATGTACGAAATGTGTCAAGACATACTAATATTGTGTTTTAATCGTGTGCTGACAGAAATAACAGAGATAGCTCCGTCAAGTATATGCCTGAAATTCGTAAACAATCCCAGATGAACTATCAATAGCCTGTTCGTTAGAAACTCTCACGGTTTTGGTAATATGTTGTTTTTCCTTTTCCTGTTGCGCTTCTTGTTCTGAAATGGCACGCAACTCAAATTCAGTGATGATTTGTGAAATGCGACTTTTGGCCTCAGCTGCCAATTTAGGCGGCAGACTCTTAATGCTGATGCATGCGCTTTCGAAGAACAAATCATAGCTGTCGCGTTGTTGCATTGGCACAGCTTTCGGTGTCATCGTAATAGTGGGCGATTCTTTTTGTAATGACTCTTTTGTTGCCAGGCTTTGAAAATAGTCGTTTAACAACGTGCGATCTCGCACTATGCTCTGCAAAAGTTCCTCGCGATTTACCAGAGGCTTGGCCTTCAAGCTAGGACGCCTGAACGCCATTGTACAAATAAGGGTTCTATCTCATTCGTGGCTGAAAAATAATTTTATATATTATTTCAAATTGGTATCATTGGATATGTTTAAGCTTCTAGTTTCTTTAAATGCTTACCCTAACGTCTTCATAAAAGTTATTTGTTGTTGTCGGGATTTGTTTACAATTCGCCGACGCCGGCCAATAGAGATGTGCAATGCCAATCAAAAATATATCGATAGTTCGTTACAGGCGATGTACCGATTTTTTTATATTTTAAAATACGTATATTATGGAATAAATCACTCATATCCATTTTAATAAATCTATTTACAATTGCTGTACAAATTAGACCTAGTTATCTTATCATATATTTGCACCATAAGCCCGGCTTTCAATTTTATGTCTGATTTCCAAATTGCGGTTGAAGAGCAATACTTTGTTGTCCGGTGGCAGCCTGCGTTACCAGATGAGCACTGTTTGCTTTTGGCGTTGTCATTGGCAGCTCTGTGCCCGCGATATGTCCATTTTCACTATTATCCTTCAAGGCGCGCAGCTCTAGCTCACAAATAAGCTGCGACACTCGCATCTTTGCCTCTGCTACGAGTTTCGGCGAAAGCGCTTTAACACTGGAACTGACGCTTTCAAAGAACAGATCGACATGATTTTTCTCCCTTTGGGGCGGGTGGGGTAACTGAACTCCAATCAGCTCTCGGAAAGATTCCATTAGTTCGTTCTTGTCCTGTTGGATTTGCATTAACAGCTTGAGCCCCTCTTTATTAGACGCATTGTTAGGGCTGCGATTGGCTACACATTTGGTGATCGCTGGATTTGTTTTAGATGTATTTATTTTTGGGTGGTTTGAGGCCGTAACCGCCGCGTGCGTTGTTGCAATCGGTACAGCTTGTGCCTGATCCTGCGCGGTTCCTTCATTTCCTTCAAAGACTTGTGGGCTGCGAAAAAATCCACATAATATAACGCTAGCAATACATGAAAGATACTCACCTCTCTTCGATAACACCATCGGTGGTAATTACGGCAGTTGCCACCGCCTCCAAAGGGTTATTTTCGCGAACAGTAGGCACGGGCTCCTGTTTCACCGCTTTTAGTGCACGTTTCCTCTGGTGGTAGTATTTACTCCGCTCTTGGCGTACGCTTAACTCCTTTCGCACAGCACCTTCACCTTTGGTCACCAACGACTCCAAATTTCGTTTGTGTTTTGTTGTGCGTTCATGTCGGACCAAATGACAACGATTACAATCTAGACGACATTGACAAGCTCGGCAGAATGGCTTGTTCGGATCATCGGCGGAGCGCCTCAACCATGGATCGAAGAGGCTTAACCACTTTTCACAAAACTTTTGGCTATATTTCTGCTTTCGACATCCAGTTCTACTATTCAGTTTCACTTTAATCTTTGCTTCTTTCCTAAATATGCTTGAGCATTTTAATCGGGTTACACAATATTTATAATCAAGCCTTACCAGTCAGAATCTGAAGTATTTTCGGAGAAACTCATGGTATTTAAGTTGTGCTCCTTTATTATGGTTTGTTTTTTTTTAATTTGTTTACTTATTCGCGAATGGCATCGATATATCTTTCGATAGGTACGATACATCGATTAAAAATTGCTTTTCATCGTTTTAAAACCAGGCACTCGGTCCAAATCTCCAATAATTCCTAAATATAATTACGTACATTAAGAAAAATATTTTAAAATGTTTATTTAAGAAATTTATCACAAAAAATAGACGAGGTATTTCAAAAAATAGTCTTTAACCTAGACACGTTAGTTTTGAAGGACTATCTCACAGGCGTTTTTATTCCGAAACTACTTTTTGTTCAAATACTGTTTACAGTATTCCCAAATAAACAAAGATCCAGTCACATGGACATTCAGAGAGCGCACCACGCCAAACTGGGGTATTTCCACAGCATAGTCTAATAATGCTATCAGATCCACTGGAATGCCATGTTTCTCATGCCTGTAAGAAAAGATTTAAAATATCGTTATTATGCACGAACAGTTAGAGTTAAGTTAAAACGTACCCCAATAACAGAATACATTTTTCGGGAAATCTGAAACCTGCAAAACTAACGCTATGAGCTGTTTGCTCAGCACCAACAATTTTATATCCCATTAACTGATTCGCAATTAAATACTCGCCAAGTCCAGCCGGCTTTACTTCAATAATATTTAGCGTCTTTTCGGCGGTCATGCTGGAAGAAAATCGAGTCAACTAAAAGTTCAAGCAACAATATAAATTATATAAATACCTCAAATTCGTGAAATCGCTTTTGTCCACAAAAGACTTGGCACCCAATATCAATGTTTTAACGCCCAATACCTCACAGGTGCGCGCCAAACCGCCAAGATTAGGCAACTTATCTATGAGGGAGGCAACAACTATTAATTCCCGTTCGTTCAATTGTTCTTCAGGTTTGGATAAATTATTATAGTTATATATATCGTTGATGGGATTCATTTTCCGCTGTACATTTAAATTTGTCGTCTCAAGCAGAGCATCAGGTAAAACTGTTATTGGATTCTTTTTCGTTTTAAAGGCAGTTTGGGCCACTTCTACACTAGCTTTAAGCTTATCACAAGTGATTTTCTGTTTTTCATATTCGTCAAATGGCGTATTTGTCATATACAAGATAACATCAGCAGGGAAAGCATGATCAGAAAGTACTTTCGGCAATAGGAGGCGCGTTTCGTTTTCCAACTCGTGCAACTTTGCCCCCAAAGTCATTTCAATGCCACCCTTTAATGCACTAAGTAATGGCAATTCGATACTAGAAAATAAAACAAATTAGTTGAAATTATTTGGAAATTAAATTATTAAATATTACCTGCACTTTTCACACTTAACTGCGAGACTGTGTAGAACCAGCTGAGCGAGAAGACGGGTTTGATAGTGTGCTCCCATTGTAAGTGGCAAAAGCAGGCTTACAGTTTCTTGTAAATGCTGCAAGTTTAGAGACTCCCAATTCAGCAAACAATATATGTGAACAACGGAAATGATTGACATTTGCTGACTTGGTTTGAGTGACCCCAACGACTGCATTCGCTCCAACAACTGATGAAAACTTGGCAGCAGCTGAGCCACGAGACATTCATACATAAAGCAGATGTTTAGTTGATCATTGGGCGCCAGCACTGCGCCCCACAGATCGTCGGACCATTGGAGTCGATCTTTCATCATTAGGAGTGCTCTAGCGACGCGTATTTTTATTCTATGCTCTTTGCAATTTTCAAAATAACGCGGTTTCTTATCGTTCAATTCTTTGTTGATTCGCAGCAGTTCAGTACAGATGGCATGTACTATAACCTCTGATTGTTGTTTCGAAAAATAAATATATTTATTTCGTAATTTTACATCATGGAATGGTGTGTCAGCAATGCTGTCGGTGTAAGCTGCTTCAATGCTGTGGATAATAAATAAATTGATTTAACTGTTTGCACTAGCAAGCGCACTTACCGTGCATCCCCTGTGCTGACCTCGCCATCTAGTATGCCTTGTACAACCATGGAATTGGGCACTTTTCTTCCATTGATATTGATCAAGATGGACCAAACTATCCAATCATAGCGGTTATAAATAATATCTGTCAAGAGCTTCTTATTTTCGTCATCGCTCAAAAATTTTCCCGCGTACTTAACAATGCTCACAGCGCTGGGTAAGGAAAAAGGCAAATTTGTAAATATGCGTTTATACAAGTATGTAATTGGTTTGTCTTACGCGTTTTCACAGTTTGGATGCTTCTTTGAGAAATTGACCAAAGTTGAAAAGACCTTTGCTTCGTCTTCGATTCTTGTAGAACTTAATTCCAACTTTTCTGCTAAATGCTTAAACGTTGCTTTCGTGCCACATTCAAGCAGGTCGCATGGTTGCAAGTGCAGCTGTTTCATTGAAGTCCAGCTTACTATGTTAACCCGAACAAAGCAATCTACGCAGTGCTCCAGCACAAAAGACTTCTCATCCTTCGTTTGGCATTTAAATTGCTGCAGCAAATGTTGCTGCACTTCCTCAAGACTTGCGATAGTTTCGAACATTTCAGTATTCACATTATACCGAGTGCTATAGAAATCCAAACATATTTGCTTTAGGTCTGGATCCATGTATTTTAGACTAAACAGTGGAAACAAGCGCCACCAACCGTGTTCCGAATTAGGCAATTTGCTCAATTGCCTTATAAGTTCATATACTAAAATACTAATGCAGAAATTACGAACAATTATTTCGTAGCAACGTTTGCTAAAGTGAACAAACTCTGCTCCAATGTTCTCGCAATTTCGCATTTTTGTTGTCAAACGCTGATAGTCATTATAATAATCATCGCTCACGTTGAATAGTGTCTCAATGAAGACCATATAATCGCCCAGTGTCAAACTGTCTATGGTGGGCTGTAATAAAGGATTAAGCTCTGATCCTATACTTGTACAAGTGTGATATTGCAAGAGTAATATTTACCTTAAATAGCTCAAGCACGCGCTGGCCAGCTTTTTGTCGCAACTCTGAATTCCGTAATGTGCGAACCCGTGAGCTGAGCTGCAGTAGCACTTTTTTGTTAGTGAATGCACCTTTCTCCGGCTGCATTACGCTCAGCCAAAAGTGCAGGGGAACGGAGTGCCATGGCACTGTGACCAATGCTGCCAAAAAAGCCTGCGCTTCGTCTTCGTGTGACATAAATTTGTCCATATCTAACGCTGGCAAAAAGTAACTTTCAACATTGTACAGCTGTGTTCGGTTTGTGGCTGCCAGAAATTCAGGCAACAGCTTGACGCGGCATAATTTAGTTACATCGAAGCGGTTAAAGAAAAAACTTAAGGTCCAGCGCAGTACCAATATGTTATTGTCCTGCAAGAGTCGGACGTACAAAATGCGCAACCAGATCAGCCATTCGTCGCCTTGATTGCTTTCCGCGATTCGGGGCAGCAGCGTGCTCAACGTGGGCAGCACCAAATGCGATTGTTGCTCTTCCAGCGTCTCCATTATGACCACATAAGCGTACCAAACATGCTCATTGGATTTAAGACTCTCGAGCACGCGTGTACTCAGCCCGCCAGAGCTATCAGTTGCTTGCATTATCGTTAGGAGCTTCCGTAAAAGAAAGTACGCGGATTTTCGATGCTCGCGCTCCTCCGACTGCAGCAAACTTTGAATGACAGCATACAACTGGGATGAGCAGGCGCACTCCTCGCCCAGTTCAAGTACAAAATCATCAAAAAGCTGCACGAGGATTTGGGCTGCATGCGGTTGCCGATCGCTGCTCAAGCTTAGCGACCAGAGCTGTCGCAGCAGGAATTTGCCATCAATGCGAGGGAATTTGCGTGCATGAATTTGCACACAGATGAGCACGTTGGCCACCAGCTGGCGGTGCAGACCATGTGCACTGCCACCATCTGAGCTATCGGCGATGACAACCGAAATGAGTTTGTGAAATACCTTCGAGCCAAATCTCACATTCCACTTGTTGTTGCCCTGCAGTAGGTTATAGATGCACTGCAGCACACGTTTGAGAGCCAATTCATTGTGCTTATGCAAATCGATCAAATCATATAGCAGTTCATCAAGTTCGGCAATCTCACCCAATAAGTTTTGGTTTTGAATATATGTCTCAACTGCCTGCACAACCGCGTTAGTTGCTGTCGCCGTAGTTGCTTTTGTTGAGGGCAGTGACATTTTTAATGTTTAGCTAATTGTTAACAATTCGTCTGTTCTCTACTGCTGATTTTGTTATTACAGTTAAATGCAACCTGTTGTTATTTCACAAATCAACTCAATGCATGTACTGTTTATATATCGAAAATAATTAAAACAATCGATAGTTTTGCAGCAGATCTCAGTATTACAGCCTGGCAACGTTGTACCAATGTGAGAGATAGATACGATATTCGATTACCTTTCAACTGATCTGATTTCCACTGTCTGGCAGCGTGGTAATAACGTACATGAACTTTTCAAAAATTCATAAGTTGGAATTCTACCATGGAGCAAATATATAAAAGACAGATATTTAGCACACAATCACGTTAGGATTTTTATTGGACAAAATTAAATAACATATTGTATTATATATAAGTAGTAAAAGGAAATTTTCCTTAAAGGCTCTTCGGCTTATACTAAAAATATTGATCCCATTAGTAATTTGATCTGTTCTACCAGGCTTTCTACACCAATTAGCACTTATCGTCTTTCTCTTTATTTGCTTCAGCCAAAATGGCCATGCATTTTCTCAATTTTTCTTCATCATTGGATGGAGACTTGCTAGTTTTGGCTTTCTGTAACTTTTCCCGTTTTTCGGCCAGCTTTTTACACCTTTCGATCTGCTCTGGCGATTTGCTTTGATCTGACTTCTTTGCACAACTTTTTCGTTTTTGGCTTTTTTTCTCTTCAGCTTTGATGAGCCTTGCTTTCGCTTCGGCAGCTTCTTTGCATTTTTCTTCCTCAGACTTGTGCTTAACGTACAAGAGACGGAAGGATATCTTTTCTGCCTCCAAGGCATTTACAATCATAAGTTTCATAGGCTTGTCCGCATCTACAATTTGCATCTTGGTCATTTCCTCAATGCCCGCTGTCAGAATGCGCGCAAAATCCTTGCAACCGTTTACCATTTCCTCAGGAACAATCGGATACACTCCGCGAAAAATAATTGACTGTCGTGCTCTTCTTGGACTGCCCGTAAGAAAGACAATCGGACATTTTGGTCGAAACTGACTTACCAGCTGTGCCACAACCGGACTTGGGCTAGCTATAACTATGGCATTGGCTTGGCCCAAGGTAGCGATTTCAGTGATGCCCGAAGTAATCGCCAATATGTTGTCCGACATTGACGCTTTCATGGAGCTCCTTAAATCGTTTTGCAGGCGCTCGTACCATAGAACGTTTTCCACCTTTGCGCAGATATTCGCCATGCATTTGATGCACTCCACAGGAAACTTGCCCTTGGCCGTTTCGCCGGACAACATTACACAGTCGGCGCCATCAAATATGGCATTGGCGACATCTGACGCCTCGGCTCGAGTTGGTCTCGGCTTGCCAATCATGGAGTCCAGCATTTGGGTGGCACAGATAACTGGTTTGCCCACCTTGTTGCATTTGGCAATTATGGACTTTTGGGCTAGAACGACTTCTTCGGTGAGTATCTCGATACCAAGATCACCACGAGCCACCATAATACCGTCTGACGCTGCAATGATAGCATCAATATTTTGCATACCCTGTTGATTCTCAATCTTGGATATAATTTTTATTCGCTTTCCCTTGGGTCCCAGCACCTCGCGGATTTCGGCTAAGGCTGTAGCATTACGTATAAACGAAGCAAAGATCATGTCTACATCCTGCTCTATGCCAAACTGCAAATCGCATACATCCTTGTCGGAAAGGCTCGGCAAATCGACTGGAATACCGGGAAGATTAACACCTTTGCGAGATCCGATTTTTCCGCCATTAAGCACCTGGCACACAACCTCCTCGCCGCTTACTTCCTTAACAATCAACGAAATAAGCCCATCATCAATAAATATCAAATTTCTGGGCTTGACGATCTTGGGCAATTTGGGATAGTCTACGTAGATGCCATCCTTGCTGCCTGACGCCTCCAAGCTTTTATTAGTGGATAGCTTGATTTTATCTCCTTGCTTAAGTTCAATTTCGGCCGTATCGGAACCTGATAGCTGACCCGTACGTATTTCCGGTCCCTTGGTGTCCAATGCAATAGCCACCGGCTTATACGCGCTGATCTGCTGTGCATAGCAATTCACGGCCTCCCGCACCGCTTTTATGGTCTGACAATGATATTCATGTGAGCCGTGGGAGAAATTCAAGCGCGCCACGCGCATCCCGGCCTCGATGAGCTTAACCAAGGTTTCCACTTTATTTGTGGCGGGCCCAATAGTACATATGATGCCGCTCAGCGGGTAAGCCAATTTGGGCGCATTAAATTGCAGTCTGGACTTGTAATCCAATTGCGAGGCAAATGGACCGCGATCCAGACGCACCTTTGGCTTGTCTTCCTGCATGTTTCAGGGGAGGAGGTTGTTGCTTTTACCTACTATCAAAGGGTTTTTGTTTTTCACCACTTACAGTTTTCGCCTTGGCATCATTGGAGTAGCCAGATGAATCTACAGGTGCCCATGGCGGCAGACTGTGCTTAGGCGCAGACGCACGAGATGCGAACCGCGCAATCAACGAACCGAATAGCGAAATTTTGACAGATTAATTTGAAAATTGCACTGAATGACAATTTTGATCGATTTATAATTAAAAGCTGCGTTTCACTACGAAAGATAGTCCCATCTGACACTATGCAGACTCCACACTACGTAAAGTTATAATTTGTAAATATTCCAAATGAAAAACCCAGTAAAATCCCTTGAACGGTAAATCAACGCTAAATATAGCCCAATTTGTTGTTTATTCTCTGTAATTTGGTTTCGGAAGCTATGTGTACTATGAGCCAAAAGCCGAGTTAAGATTTTGAAAGAATTCACAAAAAAACAAAATTGTTATTGGGTAAGTGAATGAAACCCAAACCTGAACTGACTAGGATCTACCGCATTTTACGAAACGCGCAATATAATTGGACATCCAAGTCCATCATATACTCCACTTCACATTGTGAACAGATGACAATGATATTCAATATGGAAAATGTTGCGTAGCTGTGTGTTTGGGCTCACCGTTTAAATAGGCACAAGAATGTATACATATAGTTTTTATTAATCCTTGTTACTATAAAGAACTCTATATTTAACAATGATAAATTATTCTGCATGTTTAAATTTGTATATATGTGTGTGTGTGTGTGTGTGTGTGAGAGCGGCTCCACGCCTGCGAGCCATTCTGTGGCGCTTGGGCAGCGGGTGTATGTATTCAATTTCGATATCCAATAATCCGTATATATTTGTTGAGAATTTTAAATAAATTAACTTGGTTAATAACAGTAATTTATGCACGCACAGGCGCTTAAAACGCCAGCACAGTGATGCATGAAACTCCAGTCACGGCGACCGGTTTATTCGACGGTACTGCAAGAAATGTTTAAGAATTAGCCAAGAGTTGCTTAGAGATTTTGGTGTTAACTTTACTTACACAATACGAATGGTGTTGGTGAAGCCGGAGCCCTGCTTCCAGCCAGTCACAATGACCACAGAGTCGCCTGCTTTGATGAAGCCGTTCTTTTTGCCCACCTGCAGACCGAACTGAACACGCACATCCACATCCTTCAGCCAGTCACCGAGTGCGGGCTCTGTTTAACGGGTTGCGTGTTAGATTTGGGTAGTGCAGCGTAGAATTGTGACACTTACCCTTATAGACAAGTGGCACTAGGCCACGATAGAGATGAGCCTGGCGAGCGGTTTGTGCGAAGCGCGTGACTGCAATGATTGGGCAACGTGGGCGATACTTGCTCACCAGGAAAGCGGACTTGCCGCTGGTGGTGATCACCACAATGGCGGCTGCCTTGGCCTTGTTTGCAGCCTCGACAGCGGCAATGGCCGCCGCATGAGGAGCATCCAGAGTGGATGCTGAGGCACCACGCACCAAATCAGCGAAAAGATTCTGATGCCAGAGAGCAGCTTCGGCCTCCTTGCACGTCTTGGCCATGGTCAGCACACACTCCAGCGGGTATTCGCCCTTGGCGGTCTCGCCGGACAACATGACACAGTCGGCACCATCGAGCACGGCATTGGCCACATCAGAGATTTCGGCACGCGTGGGACGCGGCTTCTTCACCATGGACTCCAGCATCTGGGTGGCGCAAATGACGGGCTTGCCGGCCTTGTTGCAGCGTGCAATCATGGCCTTCTGGGCCAGGAACACCTTCTCGGCGGGTATTTCAATGCCGAGATCGCCACGAGCAACCATGATACCGTCACCGGCCTCAATGATCTCATCCAGATTGTGCATGCCCTGCTGGTTCTCAATCTTGGAGATGATCTTAATGTTCTTGCCCTTTTCGCCCAACACCTTGCGGATTTCAGTTAGAGCGGCAGCATTACGAATGAACGATGCGAAGATCATGTCCACATCCTGCTCCACGCCGAACTGCAAGTCCGACTTGTCCTTCTCGGACACAGCGGGCAAATCGACTGGCACGCCGGGCAGATTGACACCCTTGCGGGAGCCAAGAGCACCACCGTTCTCCACTTCGCAGGTGACCGAGTCCTTGGTCACTTCACGGACCACCAGCGAGATGAGTCCATCGTCGACAAAAACGCGATTGCCCGGCTTCACAACGTTGACAATGTTTGCGTAGTCCACATAGACCACTTCGAGGGAGCCCTTTTCGAGGAATGCCTTGTCGGTGGTCAACTTGATGGTCTCGCCCTTCTTCAGCTCAATCTCAGCAGTGCCACTGCCGCCGATCAGGCCAGTGCGGATCTCAGGACCTTTGGTATCCAGGGCAATAGCCACTGGAAGCTCATATCCCAGCTTGGCCGAATAGTTCTTGGCAGCCTGTCGCACATTGGCCACCGTCTCAGCATGGTATTCGTGCGAGCCGTGCGAAAAGTTCATGCGCGCAATATTCATGCCAGTAGCGATCATCTTCTCCAGCATCTCCACACTGCGGGATGCGGGACCGATGGTGCACACAATGCCGGACAAGCGGACATGGGGTACGGGCGAGTCGAACTGCAGGCGGCACATGTGCTCCAATTGGGTATCAGCTCCGGCAGCCATGTTTTGCGGTACTTCGTTGGGCTACGATAAAATTACGAGAGAGGTTATTATTGACATATTGATTGCCAATTGCCAAAATAATTATCGTTGTCAATGAGGTGGTTTATGGTGCGGCATATCGATATGCCCACACTCGAGCCGAAAGTAAACAGTGCGAGATGGGAGAGAAAACGAGTGATTGGAGGGGGGAGGGGGAGGGGTCACCCACACGCACGAGAGAGCGCCAGCAGACGAGAGTGGGAGAGAAGCTAAGATGTAGTGCCATGGTCTATGCCAAGAGACAGACGGAGCAGATTTTATGCATCGGTAACGGCGCGACGCTGCATCTGCGAAGGTCACACAACTTTTGCAAGTGCAGCAAAACAGAAAAGTAAAGGAAAAAAAAGTTGCATAATGGTAAAAGAACAAATAGAAGGAAAAATTGAGAAACATTCAGTTTTGATACAGACTGATATGCATATCTTTATAGACACTGTTGATGGATTACAGAACACGGTCGGGGTTTACCTTAAGCTGTGGTGCCTCGTCGTAAATTGTTACGTTAACCATTTTGTTGCCTACTAAGTTGGCGCTGTATAACCAACGATAATTATAATTAGAGTATTGCCCAACACGGATGATACGCACAAAACAAGAGGTTACGATGCGCTGTATAGCAAAAATGTTTGCGTTGAAAACCTAAGCGCACTGGGGTTTTTCACACACTGGCACAGACTGCTCGACTGACTGACGGCTCTTGGTGGAAAATTTTGGCAAAAGCATTCAGAATGTCGGTAATGCAATGAGCGCAAAACCCCGACACTCTGGTGAAAATAAATGCCAAACGAGAGTCTCGCCCGAGCCGAGAGAGCGGCGCCAGTGGTGCAAAAAGGCAAGCGGCAACAGGCCACCCCTAAAAGCCGCCCAAGCACGATACTGAGAGACAGCACGAAAAAGTTTATGTGAAAAAAGTGCGGAAAGCTTGGCTGTCACTGGTGCTGCCTAGCACGAAGCTGGCGATTAGTCAGCCGGCTACTTAATCGGATGCAATAATAAATACTTGGGATCGGCGCGAGAGTGTAAACAAAAAACTGATCGTCAGCTGTTTAGGGTCGAAAATACCTATACATATAATAAAATATTTGTTTCTAGCTATCAGCTGTCGTCGTAGAAAAAGCCGCCACTGACCTTGAATTAAATGAAATAATCTCCATACCGTATAGGACGCATGCTCTCTCTTTCTCCCTCACACCCGCCACATGCAGCGAGTGCGTGGAACGCGCCAGCTGCGGGGGTGCTAGCCGCGTGATACGCACAACAATGGAAAAGCTTTTGCTCTAAGAGCTTTTACGAATCGAAGCAACAACAACGATAGAAAGTTCTCTTTAGGTGAAAGTGCTGGCACTTTAAACAATCTCCAAAAGGCTGTTGGTCTCTGCCCTTGAACCTGCTTGCGAAGGACATTGTCACAATAACTGAAGCATGAATAAAAACTAGCTTCGTTTGAATTCGACCTGGCGCGCAAATTAAATTAATTTAAATGAATAAAAGCCGGCTATTTATTATCAGCGTTTAATTACTCATCGCCGCATCGTGGGATTTCGACTTTTGATACACGCAAAATTCGGACACACAAACACATTTTGTTTGTTGTGTATGTGTATGTAGGGCGATAAAGGTGTTCAATTTAAGGTTTATAAAATATAGACACTTGGTGATTATTATTGCATTTTCCAATGGCGTGTTTGCGTTATATGTGTGCAAAAGAGTGTATGTGTGTGCTTTCGTATGGAATGACTTCTATTTCACCTTTACATATTTTTTACCCGCGCGATGGCCGGTCACACAAATGAGTGAGTGTGCTGGGCCGTACGTATGTATGGGTGTGTGGGATCACTGTGTTCTCATAATACGGTTAATCGTTTGCATCATCAACAAACAAAAGCAACAATGTAGCTAGCGCCAATTTGCTCATTTATGCAAAAATGCGCTTTTCCAGTTTCGGATTAAAGTTATCGCAGTTCTTATGTATGTATGCATTTAATAATATACATATATAGTATGTATACAGTTATACGATTATAAATAAATCAAAAATTACCTTCTGTGAGTATTTAAAGTAACGTTTAGGTATAGATGTATTGCTTCTCCTGTTTTGGAATTAATTTACTTTAAATGCACAGGCTGTGTATACACTAAATACAGGTTGCGAGTTGCGAGCGATCTGTTTTGCGACTAAGAACTTTTTCGATATGCCGCAATAGAAAGTTTAGGGAAATTCGATATCGAAAGGCATGCTGTAATCGATACATCGCATACGATGTGGACTCTATCGATATATTAAACTGAGGAATAGCATGATTGCCACTAGTTTTGACGACTCAGCTATTTTATAGCTATTTTCGGAGGTCAGCCGGAAACAGTTAAAGCAAATGTTTTGAAACAGGTTCGTTTAACAATTCGTCACTTTTATTGGTTAATGAATATGTACAAATTGATACTTATGTCTACGAAAAAAAAAACCCGGCCAATATGTCTCTGGTTTGAAGCAAACCGATTGCAGAATTTATAAAAATATTTGTAAATTTGCGCAAACATATAAATACAAAATTTGGTAAATTGACAATGTGATTTTTTGCTGTGGTTTTATATTTTTTTAAGTTCTTCGATCAAGGCATTGCATTTAATCAATGCCATATCCTGTAAATAACTAACTGAATCGATGTGCAGCAAACTGTGCATTTGCAGTTTCGCCTCCAAAAAGTTGATCTGTGCCTTAGTTGCTCGATGTGGAAAACCTAGAAGGGAAAAATGTGCAAGTTAACGGTAACGAATGGTCAGATATTCATAACAAAATTACCTTCAATTAGACAAATGCTGGTATGACAGGGCACCGTCAAGTCGGCTGGATAACGGCGAATATCCTCTTCGGTTACCGTCGATACATTCGTAAACTCCACGTACATTACGTTGTAAGTGCAGTTGACCTGATTCTTTTTAATTTCAGTCACCCTGGCGCGATACCACTCTTTTTCGAACTTAGCAATGACGTATTCCTTGAGCCTGATAAATAAAATTACAAGAGTGAGCCATAAATTCGGTGGTGACCGAACCTTGTAAAAGTATAGCACATTTGCGATATATAACTCTATATATTCAAAGGATTGTCGAGTTTGTCTGTATGTTGAGAGCAAAATCGGGAGTCTTCATCTAAGTAGCTTTAATACTAAGAGACTAGACTGCATAGAAGCAGGGGTTTTTATGATCACATTTTGCTTTACATAATTTGTTCAAAGCTTTAGATACTTACATAGGTCTGTAGGGTTGCGAGTCCTTAAATTCCGACAGACGAGAATGCAGTTGGGAGAAATCACGCGCATATGTGCTATCGAAAGCGCCAATAATGCCTCGGGAAACGTTCGCATTGTCCACAATGAAAACATCGAGTCCTTCCCTATTCTTGATCATAATACGGCGCATTTCAAAGGGCTGTAAAAATGTTGAGAAATCAGCCAAAAAGCTTGAAACAGTAAATGCTACGTACAGCAACTAACAAAGGTTCAAAACTAGTTATATCAATAGTTTTCGATGTGATCGGACTCTGGCTATCAACAACTGTTGCTGCAGGCTTCAAATTGGTTTGAGTTTTCATGGCTATTATGTTTTTTAAATTTGCGATCGCTTCACTTTTGTCATTTTCATTTTTGCTAGATTCGAATGCTAAAGTTTGAATGCTTTCCACTGGAACATTATTAAATGCCACATTTTCTTTGGGTTTCTCTTCAGAGTTCTTTGATTCCTTATCTAATTTATAACATAATATTTCCTTATCTTGCTCCTGTTCAGAATTTGGTGGTTGATCCCTTTTCAATTTCTCTTCCATAGCTTTTACCAATTGAGCACATTTTGTGTCTAGTTGAGACGGCTTTACAATAGATTCTAATTTTAGTTCCTTGGTAGCCGATACAATTTTGACCTCCAAGTTGTTGTTGTTGCTGTTTTTTTGTTGAGTGCCTGCCTTGAAAGGCATGGCCTTTTTATCATATGATACCGTTGGGCTACCAAAAACTTGCATATTCGAACTAAAATCGAGTATCTGTATGTTCAACGATTTGAGCGTCTCCACATGCACCAATTCGATTTGCTTATTGCCGACATTGTTTACTATAAATCTCTCTCCCTCGAACTGTGAGAGAAACCCATTAAGTTCATCGTTTAATGCATAGTTTGGCACACCCTTAAGCTGCAGCTCCAAACTGTGGCAGGGCAGTTCCAATAGCTCGCCGCTAATTTCGCGCATTTCAGCGCCATTTCGTAGTTTGGCAAAGCCCAAATCCAAGTATTGGAGACGCGCACACTGATTGGTGCGTACTCCAATTACTTTGACACGCTGAAATCGTCCATTGTATTTGGCCAGCGCATAGCCATAAACCCTAAGTTTTTGTATTTCCGGCAGCTCCTTGCCCAGTAAGTTGACCTAAAAGCCAATTTATAACTAATTAAATAAACATTTACACATATGAATATATACACACTCAGACCTTCTCACAGATTTCTAAATATGCCTTCTCAGCGGCTTCGCCAGCGTCGCGTATAAAGCAGCGATTCGGCGACCGAAAGCCCGTGATGTAAACAACGCTCCCATTCACAGGCATGGCCACATGAGGCGGACCTTTAAATTTCAAATCCATTTTCTTTGAAGTGCTGTCATTTGAGCTGTTATTGTTGTTGCTGCATGACGGCTTAGCTATAGCAACACTCTTCGCTGTTTCGTTTGTATTGCTGGTCTTATCACACTCTTCAATACTTCCGTTCGCAACGCCATCTGCTATCGGAGGGATAGGTTTTGCTGATTCGTTTGATTTTTTAGTTAGCTCAGCTTTTGTTTCATCTCTGTTGGCATCAGCTGTGTTGTTGACTGCCGGGATGACATCTTTGACAGCTACTTCGTGAACAATTTTTGGAACAGCAGGCATTGGGGGTACTTCCATGACGCCAAAAGCGGAGCACTCCATTGGATGCACCAGAGCGGGTATTGAAAAGCATATATACCTGTGGCGTTGCCAATCGTTCAGCTGGCATTTCTTTGTACAATAAAAGTCGCCGCATCGATGGCAAGCGAGACTCGTTTTGGATCCGCAAAGCACACAGAATCCACTAGGTGCCGGAATTACGACATTAACCTTCTCCATTTTCTGACCTGTGTGGCCTGGAAAAACTTTTTTGCTGCAGCTCCGTTCTTACACTGACAGCGACTTCGCCACACACAATTCAAATGTCCAAATTTTTCTACGGACTAGGGATGTAAGAAGAAACTTCGATACTTTTTTTGAACGGCATCGATTTATTTCGTGTTTGCGATGTATCGTCAGTAAGCGAAACGAATTTTAAGGACTTCAACTAATGAAATGCCATAGTTAAGGTATTTCTCTTAAAAACTTAATATTATTAACCTATTTGTTTAGTTTAATTTAAATTTTTCGAATACATAAAAAACCTGTTCTGCGACATATAATTAGTAGTAGGGAAGATTGTTCAGATTTTTCAGTCACAAATTTAAATAACATTGAAAATTTAAAAGTTTTACAATGGTGAGCTTTCCCCTCATAAAACTGGGCGCATTAGCTGTCAGGCAAATAACTAAACCCATTGGCAAGATCATCAAGAAAACTGCCAAATCTAATCAAACATTTAATACATATCTAGTCAGTACACCCGCCCAAAGTAAGTAGCAGAAACTCTGTTAAAAGTTTAAAGTTACGATACAGCTGAGTTTTGCATCCTTAGTCTACCATTGGATTGGGGTAAGAGCGAAAATGCGTATGCTAGGCATGAAGCAACCAAAGTTTGTTCCACCATTGAACAAAACAATGGCTATTGAAACAGGAAGTAATCTACTCGGCGAGATAATCGTGTTTTCAATATGTGTAAGCTTGTTGTGCTTGGAAGTTTCGCGGTAAGTACAGGGTATCGATGTGAGGCTTACTAATAAATATTGCATTTTTATCAAGACAAGCCCGGAATGAGAAGTCAAAGCAAGACAACCACCGGGACCAGAAAGAAAAACTGAAAAACGAGATAGAATTATTAAATGATCGAGTTGTGAGCCAGACTTATGAAATTAAAAATCTTAAAGCCAAGCTCAGGCAATTAGGTGTTACTCCTTGTTAAATAAAGAGCGTGGGTATTACAAAAAGGGATTCGGTGTGCAATAACATACATATTTTGTTCTGATTTAATCAAATAATTTTGCGCCTTTTGTCAAACACGATAACTCTGTATTTAAAAGCCGTTCCATAAATTTCTGTTTACAAAATGGCCATCGGTGCATTTCCTCTTGGAAAAATTGCCATTCTGGGCATAAGGCAAATCACGAAGCCAGTTAGCGCAGCTCTGAAGACCTTTGCGGTAAACAATTCAATATTTAGGAAGTACTTGTGCGCGCCGGCCGGACAATTAATATATTGTTTCGAAGCTAGATGCAAGATGCACATGTTGGGACTTCCCCAACCCAAGCGGATCCCTCGACTAACGGAAAAAATGGCCACAGATTTGGGAGCAAACTTACTAAGCGAAGTTTTTACACTGGGCTTAGGAATATATCTAATATATTTTGAAGTTTCCCGGTAAGGTTTGGTAGTATGGTATGCATAAAATAAATATATTTAATATTTGTTTATAGGCAAGCAACAAATGATCAGAACAAAAATGATATACATAAGCAAAAACAAGAGGAACTAAATAGGCAAATATCTTCATTAAAAAATCTGCTCGACTGGCAGGAAAAAGAAATTAAAATAATGCATCAGCATTTAGACGAATACTACAGAGAGAATAATTAGCGTTTTAAAAATGTTAACTTTAATGTTGTTTGTTTAACTCGTAAATATTTTTCATATCGTCTATCGACTATCGGTTATCGGACAACACGCCGCTTCGAATACAAAACAGCTGTTCCATCGCTTTCCTATTTGCCAGCCCTAGTCGCTTTCGTTTTCCGTGCTGAGATTTTGTAATACAAAACACCGTAAGAAATGGTTATTGGAGTATTTCCAGCCGCCAAACTTGGCGTGTTGGCAGTCAAACAAATTAGCAAACCCATTGCGAATGTGTTAAAATCCAATGCAAAATCAAGTCCATTTTTTAGGAAATACATATGCATGCCGCCGGCTCAGTGTAAGACTCATTTGTGTCTATACGTAGATTAAAATTATTAATGCACATCGATTATCGTTATCTTACAGTTTACAATTGGGTGGAGGTGAAGACCAAGATGTGGGCGCTGAATCTTGGCCGGCCCGTCACTGTGCCACCGTTGACCGAAGCCATGGCCATTGAGCTGGGGGCTAATCTGCTCGGAGAGTTTATTATCTTTGCCATTGGCGCCGGTTTGCTGATATTTGAGTACTCGCGCCAAACCATCAAGGAGAACAAGAAAAATGAGGCTTTCCAAATGGAAAAGATGCAGCTGACCAATACGCTGACTGAAATTAACTTCCGATTGGAACGTCAGGATGCGCAAATACGAGAAATGACGCGCGTTCTGGCTGAATTGGGTCAGTTATTATATCGCTCTTATATAAACGTATTATGACTAGTAGAATGTTCTGTTTAACAATTAGATTCACGTAACATCTTCCGATGGCATAAGGAGCCACTGCCGGAGTACGTGCCCTTTGACCCAAATACTCCAGATCAGAGCGCCAGCGCAAGAAATCCTAAAACATACGAGGGTTTCTATGATCCCACCGGCGGCATGGCATTCCGTGCCCTTAACTTTCTACAAACGCAAATCTTTATTGATGGACGCGATCGAAAGGGCAAGCAGGCGCTCCAGCAGATAGATGAGGTGGCCGCCCAGCTGGAAAAATCACTTGAAGAGGCTGTAAGCAATGCAGAAGTGCCAGTGAAATTATTGCAATGACGAACTCTGGAAGTGGAGCAGGACTTGGCACTGCTCATGTATGCCATGTCAATGGGAGAGCAATAGTTCGCTGCATAATGCTGCACCAAATGGATAACTGATCACTGCTTGATTTGAACAAAATGAGTGTTAACTTTACATATATATATATATATAGATAGGCAAAAAGTCAAGTGTATATAACGAGCATATGTACATTGTAATTGTATTTATTAATTTTTATTGTTACCGAAGAGAACTACTAAAGAGAGATGTTTAAATATGATTTGTGAAGAAATGTTTAATGACACCTGCTTTCCTATCCCTGATAAACGAATGCCTGCAGCTGGCGCAGCTCCTCGCCACTGGATGACAGTTCGCCTAAATATTTGTAAAACGATGTGCAAATGTTGTAGAGACTGCGGCGCACTGCGTAACGCAAGTGATTGAAGCTGTTGCTGGTTGTGCGAAAGTTGGGCATGCCGTTGCTGAGCCTGTCCAATTCACACTTGAGACGATGCAATGCCTTAATGATGCCCGGCAAGTCGTCCTGCACCACACCATAACTATCCTCATTGATTGAGGCGACGCAGATATGCGCTAGCGCCTGTGTTAGCCAGATAATGGGCAACGCATTTTCCAGTAGAAATTCCGTCTTGGCGCCTTCCGGCTCGGAGAAGAAATAAACTATGCCAGGAATACGACGCAGCAGCTGTTGCAGCAACTTCTCCAGCTTCATCGACGTACGCTCGCACCAATTTGGCACATGGCGTATGCTATCCATGGCTTTTGTATCCCATTCCTGGTTAGAAACATCACGTGGTAACGAAACAACAGGACGAATGCCATGCATATGATTGTACTGTCGAAGCAGCAGCTTTTCGGCCAGCAGAGCGGCACTACTGTCGCTGTGAATAGACGCAAAATTCTGTTCATTGCCTTTCATCAAGCTGATCTGCCGCATTGAATCGCTAAGCTCTTCGGTAAAATTGCCCACGATGCTGACACATTGGTCGCATAGGGCGCGCCAATTGGCTGGCCGATTGCCTGGCTCGGTTAGCTGAAAGATTTCCGTGCGCACCGCTGAATTCTTGCGTTGTGCTTCTTCGTACAGAAAATTGGCGGCTAGACACTGCACTACATACACATTCAAGACGCCCAGACCAGCCACAACGGTGACCTCCTGCTCACTGCCAAGGGAAACGCGATTGCGTGCAACAACCATTGGCAATTTCTCGGACAGCAGCGTGGCATAAAAGCATCGCATGAGATGCATGTTGCTCACTATCTGAGCGCTAAGCAGCCAGCCATAGAATAGCAGTCGTCCATTGCTAATCACATCTAAAATGCCCAGCAGCCGATCGTCCGTGTCCACGTTGACTAGCACACTCAGCCTGTACTTCAGAAAGGCACCAAATAGCCAAAAGATAAACGTGTAGCATAGCGTGGGCATCACGGAACTGATTGGCGCCTTCAGCAGGGTGCCATAGAGCAGCTCACGCAGCTTTTCTGGACGCGACTGTTCAGCAAAGTCGAAATCAATGGATGCTTCTTCATGCATGTACTCGGTGGCAAAGTAGTAGCAGCCGGCGGAAAGGCCCATGCCCAGCAAAAAGATGTGATAGGAGTTCAGACAATCCTGGCCATAGCACTTATGCACAAAATGCCTGTGGGGAACACACAGTTATGAAATAGTCAAGAGACGTTAATGTAGACATACCGATAGTCCGTGTGCAAATAACCCGTGTACAACCAGGCAGTTAGGTAGCCCACGACCAAATGTGCGAATAGAAATAATAGTTTGCGAGGACCATTTTGCAGCAGCCAGCGATAGCGTGTGGGACAGTAGCGACGCTCGGCGAGATGCTGATGGGAAAGCGTCATTCCGTAGAACACAACGGCGCCAAGTAGAGGAATGCAGGCAAACCACGTGTAGAAGCTGCACACCAGACGCAAGGAGCCCATTATCCAATCCAGTGGATGCAGCAATTGAAAGTTAACAAGCAGCAAAAATACGGTAAGCAGCAGAAATTGCACGCCCACGCTGAGTAATACGGCGCGCACACATCGCCCAAATAATAACAGCTTGCATGTCGTTATAGTCGCGTTAGACATTGCTGTGGTTTCTTACAAACACTAATTTATTATAATTTATATGTTTCAATATACAAATATATGTTTGGAGTTTGCAAAATAACACAGCACCAGCACAGAAGTCGCCGGCTCCGCGCGCTTTGTTGTTTTCAGCTCAGAGGTGCAATGGATTAAGAAATCGATTTCGATAACTTTGAAATAGGAATTGATAAGCTGTTAAGTGGTGGCATGCTTAGATAATGGAATTGTACATTTTCAATAATCTGTTAATTTAACCTTTCAAATTATATTTTATCCTGTCTTTGTTATTTTAATAAAGGCAGATTTTTTAAACGTATGGGCTTCAGTACATAACGTATGCGTCACGTAAGCGCAAAGTAAGCAACGTAGCGTAATGTTTATATCGATAGTATCAGCAGGGATATTTGCGATTATTATCAAAATAGGAAATATCGATAGTTGTTGATATATTGATGCTTCTAACATCCCTAGTTTCTACTAGTGAATGGAATTTTGGGCAGTCGAAAAATTCCAAAAACAAATGCGCGCACACGCAAAAGTGAAATAATTAGCATAATCTCGATTCGTAAGTGGCTGTGAAATTCAAAGCTTATGCTTTGATATTAAAGCACTTGGCCCTCCAAGGTGAACAAAACAAAATGAAGAAAAATCCATAGTTATTGAGTAAAATAATTCGTGTGCGCGTACCAGAGTCGAGTGTCGAATCGTCGTTCGTTCGGTTGTCAATGTTGCGTGTATAAAGCCAACGAATGAATTCGTTGTAATTAATTCACATTTAATTGCTGTTTGTGCATAATAAAGTTAAATCAACGTTTAGTCAAAACAATTTTCAAATGCCCTAAGCTGGCAAGCTCAATATGTATACACAAATAGTTTGTTGCATTTGTGTATGAATGTGTGTGTGTAGTAAGTGCAGCAGCTGCCAAAAAAGCGCATGTGAAATGCAGATAAGCATTTGAGGTCACTCCGACGTATTACAATTGTGTGCGTGTATGTGTGTGTATGCTTGTTTCCCTTGGATATATTCTTATTATGATCATTAGAGCAGAACCCGAGGGCAGGTGGTGTCCACACATGAGCGGACAGACAGACGGACGCACGCATTAATTATATACATACGTGAATTTACATACACATGCACAACATTGCTATGCAGGAATTTGTGTGTGTACACAAACATATGTATGTACACACGCACAAACACATGCATGCTATTAAAAAGTGACAACAACAGCAACAGCAACAACAAGAGTCGCGTCTGGCAAATTGTTCTGCTTTACGCGCATAATAAGTATTTAGGCAGAATATATATTTTTTTTTCATAAAACAAAACGTTTCGTTGGGTTGCGCTGAGCGTCGCTCATTCCGCCTATGTCCCCCCACACCGATACCCTCCTCACCTATCACCCCAGATTACTCTCTAGCTAGTTGTTGTTGTTGCTGGTGTTGTTGTCTACTGGCGACTGCGACGTCGGCGGCTGCTTCATGCTCCATTCACCTACTTTTACGCGTTGCGCGCTCTTCGCTCTCTGTTTCTGTTTCTGTTTCTGGCAGCGACCGACGTTCGTTTTCTGAATTCCAAATGAAGTCATGAGCAGCAGATTGTATGAAAACCAACAGCAACAACGAAGGCAGCAGCTAAACAACAAGACAAAAGTCGTTGTCGCATTATTACAAGAAAAGCTGTAAAATAAAAAAAAAGTGAAATTAAGTGCTTAAAAACGCGCGACAACAACAGCAGCAGCAGCAGCAGCAGCGACAGCAGCAGCAGCAGCAATATGACATGCTCGCGTCTCGTTTACACAATAACTCAAATTAATTGAATATGTTGGCAAATGAGCAAACCGAAAATTACGTTAAAAGGTGAGCAGCAACCGCAAAAGATAGCAAAACAAAAAAACAAAGGCTTGACAATTTGTGCAGTTGTATAAGTGAGAACATGTATGTGTGTGTGTGTATGTTAATGGCCAATTCATGCACACACACATACACAAACACGCTACGCAATTCAAATTGCACACATACATACGAACATGTCCAAGCGCCACGCACACAACGTATTGATATGAAGAAAAACAAAGAAAATGCACAATTATATTTTTCCCTCGAAAATTTGTAATTGTACCCTGTACACACAGGGTAACAAAAGCGGGTATAATGATTCTGTACAGAGGTATGTAACTGGCAGAAAAATGTATTTGAATTTGTTCCTTAATAACATTGTAAGCAGAGTCGATTTAAAATGGCGATACTTACTTTCATATATATCTATATTAATTTAATATTGGGCATACCTATTTCCAATCAATTTAACTTTTTGATGCCCTACCCAACTCTCCCATGATTGGATTATCGAATTTATAGAATTGTAGATTGGCTTTTTGGAACATATACGCAAATAAATGTAAATTTTCTAAACAAGTACATAAACTGTTACGAATGTAACGCAAGGAAATTCAAAGCTGAGTACAGGCTATCTTCCGGTCGGGTAAACCTTGCTGGAGCACTCTTGCTTAAGATTTTGGTTATCATAGACTTTTTTGTGAAAATCCCATGTGTACTTAGTTGTGACTCAGCCTATGGAAAGAGGAAAAATTGTAAAATATATGTCTATGTGCTTATGGACGTGTTGTGTGCGTGTGTGTGTGTGTGTGTGTTTCTCGTCGCTCTCACTTTTAATTCCAGTAAACATTGCTTTCAATTTGCAGCCCACAAATCAAGAGCTTTTAAACGGCTGCTGTTATTAACATGGCTGCCGCATCCGCTGGCCAACAGCTGCAGCAGCAGCAACAGCAGCAGCAGCACAAACTGAATATTGTTGGCAATGGGGATTCGGTTGCTGGCGTGCTGCAGGTGAACGAGTTGCAACAGCATCAACAACAGCAGCTCAACATGTATAAGCAGCAGCAACAGCAGCAGCAGCACCACCATCAAATGTTGCAGCAACAGCAGCAACAATTCTATCAGCAGCAAACGAAATTTGTATCGCGGGTCGTTACAAATGCCGCAATGCAACAACAACAACAACAACAACAACATCAGCAGCAGCAACAGCAACAACAAATCTTACCAGCTGGTTTGGTAAATGGTAGCGCCAACATGATGCAAGCCACAAATGTTGCCGGGCAGCAACAGCAGCAGCAACAACAACAGCAACAGCGCCACAGTCAACACATTTTTGTCTGTCCTGCCATTGGCTCGCCGCTGCAGCAGCAGCAGCAGCAACAGCAACACCAGCAAACCAAACAACGTGCTGCACAAATAAAGTTGCCTTTGAAGTCACCAGCAGCCGCAGCAGCAACTGTTGCTGCTACGCACTGTATGCCGGCAACAATTGCATCGCGTCAAATGAGTCAGAACAATCAACATCAGCAACAGCAGCTCTTTGCAAAGAATGTGGCTAAAACCAACAATGCCAACAATAATGCCAGCAGCAACAGCAGCAACAACAACAGCAACAGCAGTAGCAGCAGCAACAATAACAACATCAACAGCAGCATTAACAATAGCAACAACAGCGCAAATTTGGCTCCAGGCTGGCGTCGACTAACCAACAACAATGAAGTGGCCTACATCAGGTGAGTCGCTGTCTCTTCCCCTCCCCCACACTCTCTCGCCCTAAATCTCCGTCACTGTCTTTGTCTCTTACATGACATTTACAACATACCCCAGCTAAAAGTCAATCTGTGTATTGTCTGGCAGTACATATTGGAAGCCATAAAAATGTTTTCTTGCCAAACAGGAAATGCTTGTTAAAGGGGTAGCTCGGCAGATGGGCAGCTCGCGAGTGGGTGGCTATTTGAGTTGCTTGATTTTGGTAGCAGTCACGTTGCAGTACAAATGTTTTGTCAGATTCACTCACATTTGTATCCCACTCCCAGCTGGACTATGGCAACAACATGCAACTCGTTAGTGTCCGACTAGGAGATACCCGGCCAAAAACTGTCGATCTAAACTGTCGATAGTTCGTTTCTAAATAACTTCTATAATATAATATATAAAATGTTCAGAGCAAAAACCAGATAATTTGGGCTAGAAATCGATATTTATCGGGTTTAAGGCTTGCGAAATAGCTTACACAGTAGCCCAGATATGCTAAACAGTTATCGATTGTAGAAAAAGCTATAGATTTGTAGTCTAGCTTTTATCTAATCGACTTTTATTTATCGATTTCCCTGAAAAAGGCACTTCCCAGCGTAAACAGGGCTAAATAGCCTTATCTTCATTTATGCATTTGTTTAATGATATCTCGTAATGCAAGCAACACTACCCCTTTTACGCGTTTCCATTGATTACAGGGTATTTAAAGTCGAGTGGCTTTCATTATTGGCCTGTTCTCTTGGCTGCGCTGTGCACACAGCGCATATTTACCTGAGCATTATCTGCGAGTTATCATCAAGCCGACATAATTACAAACACAAATACAATATTTACACAAATATGTCGAAAACAAGCCCCCGTCTGTATGTGCCCCATTGCCCAAGTACTTTTAATTGTTCTGCTGCCGAGCGGCTGCCCAAGCAACGACTGGCAGGGCACCAGAGAGCTGGGTGCAGGGACGAGTGTACTGAGGGCAGTCTTTGGCAGTCTGTGCAAATAGTTTACGACTTTGTGGCTGGCTTCCCTGCCTGTCGTTGTTGTCATCAGAGTTGGATAATCGTTGATTCTATAAATGCCTGAAGTCGAGAGCTTGACTCGGCTGTCATAGCCTTGCAATGCCCGAGGCATTGCATTTGCGATTGGGCTGTTCAAGCACAGGAAACGATGAAAAAAGATGCTCGCCTTCTTAGAAAACCCTCAAGATTGTGCAAAATATATATATATATATATATCAGTGGGTGGGTCTGAAACAGATTTAATCAATAGCTGCCTTCAGAAATATGCTTAACTATTTTCAACAAGAAAACTCGTTTGTCTTCGACGGCCGAGTCCTTGTAGGATTATGATAGATTGATAATATTCACATAACCTGACTTTAGTCCAATTAATATTATGGGATATATGACTACATGCTTCTGACAGCAACATACTACTTCTTCTTCTGCTTCTTCTTCAATATAGCAAAATCGGCTTACAAATATTGATTCTTGAGAATGTTGGCTGTTTGTTTGGTTAAAAATTCGGGTTTCAGCCTGGTTTCCACACATATAAAAACTTAACAATATCCCAATCGGTTGGCCAACATTTGATATTTGGTATTAGCCATTTATAGAGTGGGTTTGCATGCAACTGCGACCATTTTTAGTGGCGCAATAAAAACATAATTTTATTATCTGTTCCTAGCCAGTGCCCATTCGGGACATTTCAATTGGCCTGGTCAAGCTTTGTTGCGTGTCCAGCGTTTGTCATTGTTCACAGCAGCTGCAACTGCCACACTGTCGCGTTGCGTGTTGCTGTTGCTAGTTGCTGAAAGTTTTGTTGTTTTGTGTCGGTTTCTTTTTTTGCCTTTGCCCTTGCAAATTCTTGTAAGCTTTCGTTCATTTGAACAGAACGGAACAGATAAGCAGCATTTGCGGAATACAAGTTTGTGCCACGGGGTTTGGGTTAATGGTAAAATGAATACAATCTTTTTGTTTGGCTGCCCCGCCGCGTGCATTGACGCTGTTCTCCAAGGCTATTTTCTCGGAAAGAATGAATGTTGCAATCATTTCTGCGTCGTCTGTGTGCATAAAGCGGCGATTGTGCTCAAGGATCGGCAAGTAGGGCAGATGGTTTAGCTAAATCAATAATTGTTGCGCAAGCCTTTTCAAGTCGTTGACTGCGCGCCGTGACGTCACAGAAGGACACCACACACACACACACACACACACACACACACACAGAGAGAGAGAGAGAGAATTGTGACACATGCACACTTTCAGGTCAAAGCGAGGGCCCGCCTACTGTGCCGCGTCAGAAAGCCAGAACGACACACGGACACACATAAATCATAAATTAGAACCGGCAGCTGGAATGGAGGCGACCCAAGCGCCCCGCAAGGCCGCCAGCCGTTCATCTGGCTGCAACAAGAATGCGGAATAGTTTGCCAAAGTCACACCGACAGACGACGGACAGACAGACAGAGTCGGACAATTTTTAATTTTCTTTACGGTGCGGCAGGCCCAGTCCCCGTCGCTGCCATGAGGTCTGTCCATCAGCTTTGTGTTCGCGTTTGTGTGCGTCCGCTTCTACTCACACAGCGCGTAGGTTGCATAAGCAGTCGGCGGTCCGCCGTTGTCGTCCGTCGTTGTCGACGTCTTTGTCTATGTCTATGTCTACCGCCTGCAGTGTTTGGCTGCAGGCGAGCGACCTGTGCAATGCGCACTTTTCCGTCAGTTGCAAATTTTCTGTTGATTTTGGCAACGCCCACCACACAAATTTGTCGCTGATCGTTTCGTAGGAATAAATATTGGAGAAAAAATTAGATAAACATTTTTATCTGGTTTTCTCATTTCGATTTTGGTCATCAAAATGTTTATTAATCTACGAAATTGTTTTTGGTTTTACTTAACTGTTAATGTTATTAAAAATTGGCTTTGGTTTTGTTTGAATTATTAGTTTTTCACACAAATGTTACAGCATGCTGAACTGTTTATGTTAGAAATTTATTAAAGGTTAGTTAAACTAACTAACTCAACACAATTATGAGTTTGCCTAAAATAGCTTTTGCTGTAAAATTTGATTGAAAAATCAATAAAGTATACAACTCATGTTAACTTAACAACAGTAGGAATTCATGTTAATAACAGTGTACCTTATGTTAAAGGTAGGCCCTTAGCCATAGGACATTCCAGTGAAAGGATCGCACAATAACAAAATTTAATCAAAGCTATTTAATTTTCAAAGTTACACTCGCTGACTTAACACTTGAATCCTTACATTTAACGCTGCAACAACAACAATCAAGTTTCTGCTGTCACCTGACCTCCGCTCCTTTCGTAATTGTGGCAGAATATTGGAACAGTTTCGGCCTGCTTGGCGTTGCCTTGCTAGCGCTGTTGGGGTTTATTAATTTAGCAATAGGCCCAGTCCGCGCATGCCCCTCCGCGCTGGTGTTTTGGCAGCCGCGCCGCATTGTGGGTTGTGGGCTCGAGGGTGCACTTCAAGGTCACAGAGGCGTAAAACTTTTCTACCTTCTCAGACAGAGTCGCGTCAGGGCGTGCTTTGGAGCGCATTCAACCGGCCACTTTGGCCACTTGACGCTCTTTGTGTGCGTCATTTATTAAATTATTTTAACTCGTTAGCCCAACGCCTTACCGATGGATGAGACTTCAGCTTTGGTGCCCCATCACGTTATTAGCGCATTTTGTGTAAATACAAAATTTAATGAGTCAAACGAAGCTCCAAGCTGGAAAAGACTATCGCCAGCATTCTGGTCGTAATTGTGGGCCCTTAAGCCAGCCGTGGGCCACGCCAGCTGCATACAAATTGAGCTATAAGCTTTGGCGTTGATGATGCTCATTGCCCAACCTACCTCCTCTACTACTCCTCGCAGAGTCTGCCAATTGACTTGCCATCGATTTTAGCTTACAGCCAAGCAACTAGCTAAAAATAATTAATAAACCAAACCAGTTTTAAGTCGACCCTTTTTTTCTTCTTCTGTGAGGCCCATTGATGAGAACCAATGCGGCGGCGTTGACCATGGGCTCCGATCCGGCCCTAGCCAAGGGCCAGACCCAGTCCCAGTCTCAACTCATCCTGTGCTGCTGCCGGGCTACTCAATTGACAATTCTCGCATACTCGTTTAACTTGCAACACGCTTGTTGCTGTTGTTGCCGCTCAATTATGTAGATTGTCGTCTCTGTGCAGAGTTGTTGCTGCTGCTGTTGCTGCTGTTGTTGCCGTCCTTTAGTTGCGTTGCGTTCGGTTCCGTTTAGTGGCCCTGCCGCTTTTACACTTTATGCATTATTCAGATTTCCCACACGAGATGAAGAGCAATCGCAAGGTTCTACCCCTCAGTCAGTCGCAGCTTTTGCTATTCAACATACATTTTTATTTATTTTTTTTGTTTTTCGGCTCAGATGCCTCGCTGGGCTCAAGTGCGGCTCGACGTCGTCATCATTGGCAGCGCCCTTGATTCCATCAACATGCTCACACTTTATAATTAATAAGCAGCCAGCGTCGTTTTTTCCACTTTTTTTCTTTGTTTTTTTTTTTTTGCCATGTTTTTTAACCCCAATGATTTTTATGCGCAAAATATAAAGCGAGCAGAACTTTTCAGCATTTGCGGTCATGCGTGGCTCCTGCTCCAGGGGCAGGGGCTGGACAGAGTTGAGTCAAAAAAAGGAAGAAAAAAAAGAAACTGGATTCACTGGATTCACTTTTTGGTTCTGCGCATATTTTAATGCTGTTCAAATTTAAATCTTTCCTTTTTTATAAATTTCATTGTTGTAAATATGAAATAAGCGCAAAACGGATAACGAATGTGGTTTTCGGTCGGGTTGGAATACCGAATACCCTAAAAGGCAGCTAGCAATTGTTGCAAAGCGGGTAGAACTAGATTTCCGAGATCGCATAACAAAAGATCTGTTGAACCAGTTGGGAAAACTATAACATTTTTAGAGATTCGAGTTTCGTATCTCAATGATAGAGTTAAGTCAAATGTACTTTAATAGCCGAAAGCGCATTAAATGATTTGTATGCCCAATTCTCAGCCGGATCGTCAAATCACGCGACTCAATTCCACGAGTGTTCGGCTCGGTGAGAAACTCACGTGGAGAGCGAAAACTGCGCTTAAATATATAATAAAAACCAGTTTGAATTATGCGCTGAGCGGCGCGCACTTATTTGACATGCGATCAAAACGAACAGCGAACAATTCTGATTGGTATTAATTTATGTATGTGCTTACATACATATACACCGCATACACACGAACACACATGCAGACATGTAAGAATATGCGAGCGTTGCCAACTATCGTTTAACATTGTCATGTTTATGCGAACGGGCGCGTCACTTGCCCATTATGTTAATGAGCTGTTAGTTAAACAGCCGCGTATCGCTCGTGCAGCCTTTGCACTCTGTTAACTGTTGGCATGGCTGGGGTTAATTGCCTGCGCTGGGACGGGTTAGTTGAGGCCACACTTAAACTATTGCTGACGACTTTGTAATTGGCATTTACATACAACAAATTGTGCCATTAACTAATAAATAATGAATAACATAATTTCCACGCACACCACCTTCACTACTTATGCATGGTTACTATTTTTATTGCAGTCCAACGGGCAAAACGATGCGCACACAATTCCAAATCAAGGACTATTTGCTAACACAGGGTACCTGCAAATGCGGCCTGCCGTGTCCGCTTAGGCCGGAGTACTTTTTCGATTTTAATGCCCAGGTAAGTCAGCAGTAAATCCAACTAGTTTGTCTCATAATTGTCTGTAAATACCAGCTAGGTTAGCTGGCAGCCAAAGTCTAAAGCCTGAGCTAAACCTAATTGAATGCGCATTGAGCTAACTAGCAATGAGCTCTAGGCAGAGGAAGTGGTAGGGGCACCGGCAGGGGCACACAGAAAACGGCATTCAAGCGACTTTCACTAAGCGTTGCAGCCATGTAACTGCCGCATGGCTTTATATATATACACACACACACACACACATACCCCACCGCTTGGGCAACAGATGAACGCAAAATATTTGTAAAACCAGTTTGACAACAAATCGGCTATGTCGACGTCAACGTCGACGTCGACTGCATAATCATTTAGCCAGCTTTGATCGCTCAAAACGGGCGACCATCTGCCGCCGCCGTCTTGCTCCGGATTGACAAGCATTTTCATCTTGATGTGAGTGTGTGTGTGTGTGTATATTGAGAATCGCAGTGAAATCGCCAGCAATAAGATACATTTCCAATTGGAGCAGCGCAACTGCAACGGTAAATCACATACACAGTACAATAACACTATGTGCAGGCGCTCCGCTTTTTCCACAATTTCTTTGTCTTCATCTTCTTCTGGCTCTGGCTCTGGCTCTTGCTCTGCTCTGCTCTGCCTCTTGCTCTTATTGACTTTTCGTTTTGCTTGCACCCAGTCCCGGTCCTTGCCATTCAGCTGCGCCTCGACTGAGGTCATTAATTTAAGTTTATGGTTTTCTCTTTGGTTTTTGCGTGACGTCGGCGCCAACGCCCGTCCGTCTGTTCGCACTTATGTCCGCCCGCACACAATCAATGTCCTTTGCATCGCCCACACACACACACACACACACATGTATTACCTAAACCTTTCTAAACCACACATCTCCACATCTCTCCCCGCCCGTGTCGCTCTTGTCTTCTTTGTGGCTTTCGTCAATCGATTTTTCGGTGCAATGCACTTATAACTTATCCCCATTGCCACTCCCCGCACTAACTTCGCCCCGCTTGTGTGACTTGCAGGCTGCGCTGCAGCTGCTCAGCTGACTGCGTGCATATTATCAAAAGGCAGCCGCAATTTGTTTACTAAACACTTTATTGTGCCACCGAAGAAGCCCTCCGGCCGCCTCTCGCCCCTCGCCACACCAGGCTGACCACAAAGTCGTTGACTGTCTTGGCTCCAGCTGCAGATCTCTCTCCCCCTCTGCCCCACTCTCTTTCTGCCTCTCGCTTGCCACTTCCCTTTGTCATTCTCTAGTTATGTCTGTGTATCTGCACATCGTTGTGGCAAAATGGCAACTGTGCTTTTTTTCTGCAGCTCTTGTCGACATCTCTTGGCAGCACATTCACCTAATGTCTGGACGTTCAGCCCTACCCGCTCGTCCCTCTGGGCGCTTGGGTATCGCGTTTTGGCAATGATTGATGTGGCTTCATAATGAAGTCTACGCTTGTTTATTGGTTTGTTCGTTTTTTTGTTTTGATTATTGCCATTTTGCTGTCGCTTAAGTTGCCTTTGTGTCTCATGCAACGAGGTGTGGTAGGTTAGGGATTGTTTCTTGCTTGTTGGGTGAAAGTCGCCACTCGAGTGTCACACTCACGGGCCGCCAGCGTTACGCCGCATTAGACATGTTCCATAACATATCGTATAACGCCAGCTTGCTGTCACGTTGCGGAGTTTGTGCTGCAAATTATGATATATGTTTGTTTTCCAGATCTCTTTAGATTTGTGTGACTGAAGCTGAAGCTCGAGTGACTTAGTTAACTGCTATTGGAAAATACTTTATCAAATATTTATTTGGTTATACCTGCAATTACGGCTTAGTCACAGTTGAATCATAACTAAAAGTTAATGGAAAAACCTCTCTTAGTTGAATTTGTGAAACTCGCCTAGAAGGCCAATATTGAATAAAAAACTGTTTTATATTTTCCGATTAACGGAAAGTATGTTTGGTTGGCGTTAAGTATAGAAGAACTTAAACATGCATACAGTAATATGTTTACAGAGATATGCACATGTATTTATTTTTGACCTTATAATATATACTGCTCTATTAAATGGGTTTGCGCAATTGCATACACAAACACACCCAGATGTGTTTCTGTTTGATTACTGTTTGCGTATAAATGATTGCTGTTCAACATGTCGTATGCGCAATATTCATTGCGTATACTTAATTCGTTAGATATTCAGCAGAAATAAACACACACAAGTTCCTGATTCGAACAACTCAACATTTTTATTACCCTTCGAACGTGTTCTGTATCTCCCACACAAATCACACGCACACATGCATACAGTTAATACTCACATAGCTGAACTGCAATTGACGCTAATTAAACAATTATTTGCAATTGAAATTTCCAATCGTAACGCAAAGTGCACACGAAAAACGAATGCTGCGCCTTGCCGATAAGTGCGAAACAATTGAAATTGATTTTGCCCCAGCTGACTTTAAGAGTACATAAGCATCATGTATGTATATTTATATATAAATATATACATATATATCTATATATACCTTAAGTATTCCACTGGGTTCTATTTTGAGCACGTTGAACGCAATGTGTGTAACGCAAGTTGAACAAACAAATAAAACTTTGGCCCCGGCCTCAGATCGCTTTAGCTGTCTGTAAGTCTGTCAGTCGGTGCGTCAGCTTGACGCAAGCTCAATGCGAACGGACAACAGAAACAACAACAACAACAACTGAAACAATAAGCAAACAAACTTGAGAAGGTCAGCGTCGAACGTCGACGGCAGTTCAAAATTTACAGCTCTCAATAAAAATAAGACCAAAAATTAAAACGCAATGGGGATTTTTGTTGTTGTTGTTGCTGCTGCTTGCGACACACACACACACACACGCACACACACACACACACACACACATACACACACATACACAAACAAACACAAACAAACACACACACAAGCCACAAAAGTCAAAATGATGCTATTTAAATGGCCCTGCGCCCAAGTTTGTTTTCCAACGGCTCAGCTGGTTGTCTTTCTTGAGCGTGAAGGCTGCCCGTTGCCCCACATCATCCCCACGATTGGAGATGTCAGGGCCAAGTTGGTAGCAGTTGTCTGGCCAGTGCCTGTCCGAAACCGAAAGTGAGCTACAGTCAATCCCAGTGAAGCGCTTTAGTCATTTAACCATGCTGCCCGTCCGCCCGCACGCCCCACTACACAAAATTTAACCAAGCACGTTCAGAAAGTGACGCTGTCGGTGTCGTTCCTCCTGCTGCTGCTGCTGCTGCTGGTGCACTTTTCGGCCAATTTGCATTTATAAACATTTGCTGAACGAACAGCACGGTGAGAGATTGCCGGGGCGGAACGTGCAACAACGGGTTGACGCAAAACGCAGCAGACAATTTAGCATATTCATGGAACAACAACTAAAACAATTAGCGCTGGGCCAGCGACGGCAGGTGGGCCGAGGCGATGTGTCAGTTGTGCTCGCATACCCAGCACAAAGCATGTAATAGGGTATGCTGCTTAGTTGTGTTTTTGGTAGCAGATAGCTTCAGAAATATCCTCTTTATGGCAGCAACTGAAAATGCTGAGTATCTAGTGCTTAATCAAGCATGCACTTCAAATCTATTATTTCGAGGGTATCTCTGGGAGTGATGGGACTGTGCAATTTTAACGCATTGCTTGCTGCTGTTTTTTCCCATTTCTGTTTTTGGTACAATTTGCACGTCACTCCAATTGCAAGCAGGAAGAGCAATTGCCGCGCGAATTTCAGGTTCACTTTTGGCCAAAATTGAATTTCTGGCCGAGGTTCGAGCTGGAATCGTTTTTACTGCTGTTCAGCTTGGTTTGCTTTGCTTCGCTTGCCACGGTTGGCGCATCGCCTTTTCCTTGCCAGTCATTTACGCGGGTTTTTATAGAAACTTCATTAGTCCAAATTAAATGTTGTACGCGCCGAGAGCAGACAGCGTGGCATTACGAGGGAAAGGGCGTGGAGTCAAATGAGCTGTGCCCCGACAGACGTGGTGCAGTACGCCATGATGTGTATGTTTTGCCACAGATGGGCTTAAACTGCAGAAACCTATCCATTTTCGTTGACTTTGAGGCAAGACGTAGCAAATGAAAACAGTTTAGTTGAAAGGTACAAAATAATACGGAAACAGCAGGTCAGAGGTAAAGAATAAAGAAAAGAAAGACAAAGCAAATGTTCTGAATACAAGAATTTACTTAAATCTGCTGTTTTGATTAGAAAATTCCAACTTTTTCCATCTAGCTACACACAAAAATGCTGCAAGCTTGCAACATGCCTCCTTCTGCCGCTGCTGCGACTTCTCCTCGTTGGCGTCCATTAGGCAGGACATTGCATGCGGGCAGAGCGATTTCCGTTGCGGGTTACGTCATGCATGGCATAGTGTCCAGTGCGGCACGGAAATCTTGGAGCACAGCAATGTCCTGCAGGATAACGGCAACGCAGCAACGCAACGTTGGCCACGTTGTCGACGTGACTGAGCGATTACTCACATCCGGCAGTGCCACAAGTTCCTGTCGCGAGTGCGCTCAAATGCACCAGAGTAAGAGTAAAAGCGTCAGCTGCAACTAAAGAAAAATGGCTGGTGTGTGCTTGTGAGGGGGGGGGGGGGAGAAGGGGGTGGGGGGGAGTGGCGAGTTTATGCTGCAACGAAGAAGGCGTCAGTGTACATGCGACCACCTCATTATTGTGCAACGGCCAGGATTAACGCTGTCGGACGTCTGGCGTCTGGCGCTCGACGGTCATTATGATGTTAATGAAATCCAACACCGGCCATGCACCTGTGCACAAGCTTCACACCTGCCCAATGCTTGCCACCACCATTATTGAGACCGACCAGGTCTCACTCTTTTTTTCCAACCCCCCGCTGTCTGCGCATTTTGCTTTAATTTCGTCGCAATTATGCATGCAAAAGTGCAATGTTTTGTTGGTATTTTTGCCTCTGTCGCTTGGCATTTTATTGCGTGTTTCATATAGGCGTGTCCCCTGCCCCCTGTCCCCTGTCTCCTGGCTGCCTGCCCCCGCTCTTCTCCCTTCCACTCATTTCTGTCAAAAACAGCGACAGTTAATATGTCAAATATATGCAAAATGCATTTTGAACATGCCATCTGTAAACACACATAACTTTTTATGTATTTGCACAATAAACAAGGCTATACATAAGGATAATGTATAATTATGCATGTATTAATTAATTACACTCCCTGTCTCTATACCCTGTATCCAGAGCATTTGTTAAGCAAGGCATATTGAACTCTTGATTACAAGTATTTCGTAATTCATTGCAAATGTTAACTAGCATTTTCTTCAGTTTGTATTTGATTATATTTGAAAATGATTTACTTTCTTACTTCAAAATAATATTTTGCTATTGCAAAAATATGATATAAATATAAATAATAAAACTATTTATTGTTTTATAGAATATTTTATCTTATCTTCCATTCTATCGAAGGTAATCAAGGAAGGTTTTTCAGAAATCACTAAAATGTTGACTGCAATAAAAAGCGTCTTCTTTAACAACATTTTTTCAATATTGATACAATCCCGATCGTAACTCTAGATTTATCTAATATTTGGGAATGAATGAATCTTTGACGAAACTGAAACTATTTTATGCGGAATGTCATATCGATTTTGGCTTTAATCCCAAATTTATTTGCAATTTTTCTAGTTGGTTTATTTTTGATAGTTGGTTTATGTCCTTTGATAGTTCATGCTCTTCAGCAGAAATCTGCTCCCTTTGTGCACAATAATAAATATTGGGTGATTGAATGATATGGTTAACCGTAATGCAGCTTATCAGCTTGTTGTTGTTGCTGCTGCAACATGAATGGCTTTTGCCCACAAATTATTTTTCCATTTAATGACATTTAAATTATCGTGCATATATGTTATAATTTTTGGAAAATTTCACAATGGCTCGCATTTAATTTCCCAGTCCAGCTTGGGCATGGGACCAGGACTCGGCTGGTATATGGAGAGGATTCTGTCTGTGTTGCATTTCGCATGTCATATTATTTACAAAGCTGACAGTTGGATTCCCAAAACGAGGTCCCTGTTGCAAATGCAAAATCTACCACATATTTTCGTATGCTTGAATTAGGGGGACTGTATGCCAGGAAGGGGGCGAGGTTGGGTTAGAAGGAAGAGTCGGCTCTGAGGTTTGCGCAGCAACTCGAAAGCTCATTGTCTAGGCGACGCACGGGGAGCGGGAGGTAGGTTTTCTTGCGTTTGAAATGCTGAAATTATATTTGCTTTTGTGGCAGCCTTTGCAAGGCAGTTGGCCGCCTTCTGACTAAGTGGCAATAGCAGCCGCAACAACGGCAATATGAAAAGCCACAGCAGCAATTGAAATATGAAAATACAGAGCATAGACAAGAACAACAACTACCGTCTGGGTTGAGTGTCGTTTGGGTGAAGTCATCCACTGGGAATTGAATATTCGGGACTGGAGATTGGAAACGCCCAAGAGAATTTGTATAATGCCTATCTGGCTTGGGCGTGTCAAATTAATAAACTTCAATGTGTGCCGCCACGAGATAGATAAATGTATTTGTAGCTCTTAAGTTCACTATGAATTTGTGGCATACACTTGAGTGAGTTGTAAGAGAGGGAATCGAGTTGAATCATTGCAGAAAGTTTAATGGATTTCTGATTTTCTTGTACAGCTTTTGTTCACATCATTTGTAGTTGTTATGCAGTTACAATCGACTTTTAAGGCAAGAGCACATCGGTTCTTATGTACGTTCACTAACTGAAATTGAAATGAGTATATTAGTTTTGTGTAATCTGCGTCCTGCTGCTCGTCCGACTGTCCATAAGAATCAATTGAAGTTCGGGAATCGCTACTTGGAATATATATTCGTGTATACCTGTGTAAGATAGATTTGAATAAGATTAAGATTTATACTCGCATTGGGCGCGTGGCAAATTCCTAGACTCTATACCTTCTACAGATTTGATCCTAGTCTTAATTGAAGACCTCTGATTAGCTTGTCTAAAGACCAATCCAAAGGCTCTTCCCAGTATGTTTTTAGACCGTGAGCGAGTATTAATGCAGTAGGTTGCATCCGGCAGCAGTACTCTTACTTGTTTTTCGCTCCTTCTAGCTAAACGTTTTAATGTATTTTTTATCCAAGTTTGGACTATGGAATTTTCACTTGGGTTCGCTCGTTTATTCGTTGCGAGTGCTTTTGCGCAAATTGTTGACCAAATTGGTAGAGACTCGTTTCCAGCGCTTAAGCGGCCAATGAAGCAATTGCCGTACACTGATTGAAATGACACAAAAGGCGCGACCAGACCCAAAAAAGGGTCGCAGTCATGCTTCGAGGCGTGCAAATCGATGCCCCCAAATGACTCATTTGCATAAATTCCTAGCCTTATGCACCTGTAGTCGGCTTGGGGTCGGGGCAGAGGCGTTGCTATGGCGCCATCAAATCTTTTGATGTACTCAATAAGCGCAATTTGCAGCATCTGATTGGATTACATGTGTTCGGTATACTCGATTGGGTCGGTCTCAGGTATCTACTTACAAAAATGCTAATTGGACGTTTGCTCCGAGCTGCCTTGCGACTGTGTGTGTGTGTGTGTGTGTGTGTGTGTATTTGTTTGTTTGTATGTTTGTTCATACTGCATTTTATGTGCTGAAGGTTACCTAAGCAAAACAAAGAACTGAACAGCATAGTTGGGCTGACGACTTAGCAATACCCTATATTTTTTCTTACTAAACATAGTAAGATTATCACATCGCATTTAATTTTTAGAAGTATGAAGCAAAAAGTGATATATATATATATACATATATATATATATATATATAGATGTGTACATTCTGAAGCATTCAAAGCTTAAGTCCGACACAGGATATATTTTTCTGTGTCCCAGAACTTGATATGCTGTTAAGAGTAAAGGGTATAATTATGATGGATAATTTGTGCAAAACTAGTGTCAGGCTTTTATTACTGTGTTCAAGTGTATAAAGAATCGTTTCAGACCAAATAAAACGATTAAGGAAACTAAAAACACCCGTCTATCGTATAACTCTAGGGTATAAAAAGCGTCGTATTGGACGGAAAAACTTCGATGGGGCGTTTGTTGAGTTTTTGCCAATGCGACTCACGTTTTATATGTAAATTAATGGCAGCACCCAAGTCTATGTGTATCCCAGCTGTGTGTGGTTGTGCCTGTGTGTGTGATTAAAATTTCGATTTCAAATTGACAGCAAGAATCGCAAGTGCGTTGTCGACGGCGCCACAATCCATTATAGCAGAGCTGTTGAATTCTAATTGCTAATGTGGCAATTTGTTGCATTATGTTAATTGCAGGTGCCCAACATGCCATTAAAGGTGTCGCCAGGTAGCGGCCAGGAGACCGTAAATGCGACAACCACGTCGCTCTGCTCGCATCAACGGCATTTGGTCGAATCGGAGAAGGTGCACAATCCGCAGCCCGTCAAGGATTTAATGATGGCAACAATGTCGGTGACAGCAACAGCAGCAACTGCAGCAGCAACAACAGCAACATCAACAGCTGCTGTCACTGTTGGCGATGCGTTTACTGCGCTGATGACAACAGCAACAGCAGCTTCAACAACAGCAACAACAACAACAGCCACAACGACGACAACGTCAGCAACTGCAACAACGGCAACAACTCTTGAACTGGCCAACAAAGGTGAGTGCGCGGGCTGACAGCTAAAAATTCTGTAGACCAACTTTAATCAACGTTAAGCAATAACAACAAAAAGCAGGGCAGGACAAACGACACTATATTTAAGCTTAGTGCTTGACTGCATAGGGTTGGCACAGTGCCTCAGTATATAATTAAATGCAAAGCCTTGTACTTTATTCAGATATTGCTTTTGATGCATAATTAGGCAAGTACAGAGTCCTTGATAGACTTAACTGGAAACAGCTTTAAAAGAAAATCAAGGAGCCTAAAATAATCCTAATAAGTCAATTGTAAAGATTGTTGTATGTGTTAGCAGCATTTGTCCAAGTATGACACATTTTTTAACATGGTTAAAGACCTAAGGTAAATTTGAAGTTTTTAACTTCATTTGTTAAACTTGGTTTTCACTTCCACGATAAATCTTTATGGCTTTCAATATTCTTAGTAAAGAAACTGAACGTTACTGAACGTTGTTAATGTTGGAGACTAGAGAACTAGAATGAAGTGAAATATATATACTTATATATATATACTTTATGGGGTCGGAGAAGTCTTCTTCCATGCATTAAACATTTCATGACAAAATTATAATTCCAAGCATATAAAATGGTACATTTTAACATACCAACTGTTGTATAGACTGAAACAGGAAAAAAGAAAACACTTAAGCTGTCCTATACAAATCTTGCTAATTATAGTGTGCATTCCAATTTCAATGCCATGACAACCCTGGCAAAATGGGCAACGGCAAACGTTCCCAGCGGTAGCAGAGCCTTTGCTGCGCACTAAAGTATGCTAAAGCAAAAGAATTGTGAGAACTGCATATTTTGCTCGATTGCAAAAACGACGTCAAGCTTGAGAGGCAGTAGGGCGTGACAAGGGGTGGGGCGGTGGGTAGAGAAGAACAGTTGAAAATAGTGTAGATACGTGCGATAAGTGCAGGCGAGGCCGAGAAAAGTAAAGCAAACCTCGCGAAAGCCAGCACAGCAGGAGCCAAAAGCACACGGTGCAAACAAACAATGCTATGTACATATGCGCATACCTATCCACACACACACACAAATACACACACACACACACAAGCACACATGCATAACGGATGCAATTGGAATGTGCTTGGCATGCTGGCAAGTGGAAAACACTGCCTAGACAATGATAAAGTGAAAAAGCACACATTGCAAGTGGAAGAAAGGGACAGAGAGAGACAGAGAGGGAGATAAATAGATGCAGTGGATGGTGGAATATAGAGAGAGATAGAGCATAGTATTGCAAAAAGGATGATACGCACACATGTTAAAAGCAAAGCAACAGCAAAAAAAAACAAATGGATTGGCGAGTTCAACAAGCTTTAAGCATCAGCGCTTTGAGGACGTAGGCGTGGCAACAGCGTTGCCTTGACAGCAAGTGCACTTGCAGCTGCCCCCCTCCGGCACCTCGTCTCTCCTTGCATTGGCTTGCGTCATGTTTTTTTCCGCCCGCTGTTTGTTTGCTTTTCTGTTGGCCTTTGTGTGCCTGTGTGTGGGTATGTATGTGTGCGTGTGTTTGCTTCGTCCTTTGTGCGCGCCTGTCAAAGGACCTGAACATGTTTGTGCAGTCAAAAGCCCGTTCAGGAATGTCGCCTCATCTGCCGTATAGCTTCGGGCAGCTGCATGGATCTGGGCATTTGTAAACATAAATATTATGTTTATTAAATACCCTCAACTGTTTAACATTTCCACTTCAGAGCGCCCGCAGCAGCCATTCGTGGCCGACAATGGGCAGGGGCAGGGGCGGGGGCAGGGAAAAGTTTCTGGCTACCAGCGCTAACTGTACGAGTTTTGACCATAAAGTGCCTAACGAAAGTGGCTAGAAATTTTAAACAGCATTTTTATTGCCCAAATCCGTGTTAAAAGTTTCTAGTGCTGTCTGAGCTCGGTTGTTAGGGCGTTGCTCGACAGCCATGTAAAGTAATGTAATTGATAATTTTGGCAAAAAAAAAAAGTGAATATGTTTAATTAGTTGAGTAATTACAAACAAGCTCGCAATTACAATTATGAATCTTATTGACTAAGGAAACTTAACTTTAATAAATTACTAAAGTAATTAAACAACAGTTTGTAATAAGATTGTTTAATCAAGGGAAGTGTGTTAACTTTGCAAGGGAATATAACTTGTACCTTTAGCAAATAAATTACATATAAGTACTTAAGTAATTATAAAAAAGTTTGCAATTAAGCTTCAGAGAGTAATTGACTAATTTCGTTAAAATATGAATAACAAGTAAAAGTGCCCTAGTCGATGCCCGACAAGGGGATATCCTGCACCTTCTCCTGCCAACATCAAATGCGGCCCTTGTTAGGGGGAAGCGTTATCTAGAATTGAATTGATTCCATTCTAGAAGCTACAGATCAAATTTGGCTAGTGCCAAAGAGCTGGTCAAAGAGATTAACCCTAAAAAAACAGGCTTTCGATATCTTTTTTTAACGATTGTTGGACTCGGGGCAATTTATCGATTATCGAACTGCGCGGGCACTAAGAAGACCTACGTTCTGGAGGACCTTCCTGCTAGATCGACTCGGCTGTTGATGCTGATCAAGCATATGCATACTTCGGTTGGAGATGCTTCCTTCCCTTCTCCCTGTTGCATACATTTGCACAAATACATTATACCCCTTTTAGCCATTTTAAATGGGTTTAGGGCTTAACAACTTTTAAAATATATCGCTTACACAGAACAAACACAGTAATTTGTATACATTACTTTCTTTAGTAGCTATAAAAACAATTTGCAATTAAAATCGATAGAGTAGCCAAATAACTCGCTGCGATTTAAAGTATTGTGCTTTTATAAACTATCCCAGAGTGTTTGTTCTAGTTAAGGGTCTGCCCTGTAGAATAAATCCGTTTGGTCTCTTGCGCCCTTTTGATACAAAGTCTGGCTTTCAATTCTGCTTTTGTGGCATTCAACGCGTTTGGATTTCAATTTGAGATACGACAAAACTGTTGCCGCTTTGCAGGAGACGCACAGCAAGTCACACGCACAAAAAAAAGTGGGATTTTGAATGCGTTTGGGGTCACCTTTAAGCGCTTGCCACCCTCTACCCCGTGGGGCTGACACTTTGCCGCACAGAAGGTGGTGCTGTAGCGGCTGACTCCACCCACGGGGCGGGGGGTTCATTTGTGCATGGTGCTCGGCAGCTGGGCAAACATTGTTAAAACTTTCAAATGAAAAGGTTAATTGAAACAAAAGGGACTTGACGGCAAAGTTTAGCCATGCGCGTCCGTTGCGATCTGCCCATCAGCCACGCCCACTGGCCAAGAGGCGCAGGCACTCTCTGTCCTGCAGCTGGGTTAGGGGGGGGGGGGGGGGGGGGGGGGGGCATTAAAATTGCGGCGCGAAGCAAAAGTTTGCTGCGTTTTAGAAATTTTCGCGACTGCGGCTTACAGGAGTGTTTGCATGTGAGTGGGAGGAGAGGGTCTCCACAGGGTTGGACTTGCACAGCGCCCCGCTAGACGCCCTTTATTTAATATATTTATTTCATTATAAAGCCGAATTGGGATTGGGTTAGGCTTATGTAGTCTTCGACTAAAATGCATTCTCCTGCTTTGGGTAGAAAACTGTTTTGAGTATTGTACTCCGCTCGAATATATGAAATGTTAGTCTTGAATGTAAGAGTATATACTTGTTAGAACTCTTATTTAGCTAAAAACAGATTACGACAAATTAGAAAACTTTTCTTTAATACCCTGCTCAAAATTTGAGTCCACATTGCTTTCAACAACGTCTCTTATATATAAAATTGTTTAATAATTAAGTTATCGTATAAATGCTATATATCTGCAAGGGCATTTCGTGTTCCAAAAAACGTTGAATGCTTTTTCTTTTCACTTGAAAGCATTTTTGAGTTTTTCTAAATGTTGCAGGTAATGGTTGCAGCCAAGTGTTTGTCCTTTTTGTTTCGCATTTTAATTAAATTTGCCATTATCTGAGCGCTGAACCATCTGAACCTTACTTCCCCGCAGCTATTGCTAGAACCAGTCTCTAGTCCCCTTCCAGATCCCCGCTCATAAGTTTGCGGTGCACGTTTTCGTGTTTTGATTTTATTGTGCTTCGCTTTCGCAGCCATTTGGCATTTGGCGCTTTTTGTTGTCTGTTTTCGTCAAGTGGCAAGCGGCAAGTGGCAAGTGGCAAGTGGCGACCTTTGCGGAACGCCCTTTGCTTGCTGGGGGACACGTTGCGGGCACTTTAAGGACGACGCACTTTGCATAAGCAACGAGACGCTCGCAATCTTTACTGACTTTTCCTTTTGAATTGTTGCTACATTTCAGACGCTGATTGCCTCAAGTATGGCAACAACACCAACAATAACAACAACAACAACAACAACAACTATAAGCTGGCGTGCAGGACATCATATGCAGCAACAGTTCCAGTCGCAGCCACGCCCATATGCACAGCAGCGACCGTGATGCAAACTAGTCAAGCAACTGGCATGGACAGCGCGCCAAAACGAGCAGCTCCTGCTCCTCTTCCAGTAACAGCTGCAGTAACAGCTGCCCCAACGCATGTGATAAAGCCCGCGACAAACGCGTCTAGCCCTGCTCCTCTTCCGTTAGCCCAGCAGCCCAACTTCAAGGATGATCCCGCGGGCTATTTGCAACAGCAAACAACGCTGCTGCACAATACGCTGGGCGTGGGCTTAGATGCTAAGCCTGTCACGGCTACTTCCACGGGCACGGCCACTGCCAGAGCTCTGCCCCAAGAGCCCATTGTGCATAGTTCCCAGAATCAGCAGCAGCGGGAGCGCATTCGCCGTCTCTCGCTCTTTGCCGGCGGCAAAGTGGAGCAGGAGCCGAGCGCGGCGTCTAGCCATGTGCCACGCTCGCTGCTTGTCGATACGGCAGCTGCATTTGCACGCCCACAGAAGCCCCAAATCACCAGCATTACAGTGGTGCCAGCGCCGCAGGAGTCGCCAGTGTCCAGCAGCGGGCCCGAGGCAGAGAAGCGGCCCGAGCAAGTGGGCGCCATCTCAACCAGCCACGAGAGTCCACGCCACAGCCTCTCTTCGCCCACGGACTCTATAGATTCGGCCAAGAGTACGCCCTCCGCCTCGCCAAAGCCTCAGCAGGCGCAGCTTCAGATGCAGATGCAAATGCGCCAGCCCCAGGTCCAAGCACAGGCAACGGCACAGCCCACAGCCCAGTTGCGTCTGATGCGTCAACAGTGTCAACCCGTGGTGGGTGCGGGTCAACGCCAGTCGATGGCCAATGGGACAACTACGCTAACACGCAGTATTGTCACGACCACGGCGGGCATCAGTCGACCAGGCACCACGCTGAGCAGCGCCAACTCCGCCGTGGCTCACCTGCAGTCGATGGCGAGCAATGCTGGCGGCAACCAACTGATCATGACTTCATCCGGCCAACTGCTGGTCATACCCTCGGCCAGTAAGCAGCAGGCAACCGCTGCACAGCCGCAGCGGCAGGCGCAGACAGCACAGCTGCACGCCCAGCCTGGCGGCGGCTACATTGTTAGTCAACCCTCGCCGATACTTAACACCAACGGAGCCAAGTTGCTGCATCATCAGATAATCAGCTCGCAGGCCAGCCAAATAAGTCAGATCAGCCAGGCGGGCGCCGCGGCAGCGCCACAGACTGTGCTGCTCAACACATTGCCCAATGGCGGCTACATCGTCCACCACCAACAGCAGCAGCAACATCCGCAGCAGGAGCAACATCAGCTGCTGGGTATACCACAGCCAGCGACGCATATTATTGCCTCGCCCGAGGCTAAGCGGCGGACACGTAAACGCAAAAGCTCTGTGTGCAGCACACCGCCGCCGCCGCTGGTCTGTGGTGTTAACGGGTCGCCGGCAAAGGCGCACTCGCCTCAGATCTCACCCAGCATACCCAGCCAGGCGCCAGCGCTGCTGCAGCAGGCGGCAAATGCCGCGGCGGTTGCAGCTACGGCGCCCCCGCCGCAATTCTCGCAGCAATTCCAGCTAAGTCCAGGCATCCAAGGCATTGTGGTCAACAAACCAGCGACGGCGGCGCCTCAGACGCAGCAGCTGCTGCTACAGAACGGACAAATATTGCAGCAGGTGAATCTTATTGGCCAGCAGCTACTTATGCCCGCCGGCCTGGTCATGGGCCCGGACGCAACCCTGTTGCAGATACAAAATATGCCCACGACAAGTCTGCTGACTCACCAGGGCCCGGTGATGCTGCGCACGCCCTCACCACAGAACAAACCCTCCTTCATCTCGCCCAGCGGCGGTGGCCAGCAGTATATAGTGGGCGCCAATGGGCAGCTCAGTCCCATTGGCCAGATCTACTCGACGCCCATGGGCCTGGTTATGCCCACAGCTCAGCAGAGCGGCGCATCCTTTGTGCAGGCCAGTCCCACTGCCACCATACAGATTCAGCAGCAGCAGCCGCAGCCACAGCAGCATATAAGCCTGCAGCCACCCCAGGCGACCAGTTTCGTCTCGGAGTCGCATAGTAGTCGCCAATCAACCGCCGCCAGTCCGCCGGATACCACCACTTGCAGTCCGCGCAGTCCCGAAAGACCGCCCAGCCATCGCAGCAGCGGTAGCGGCGACATGGTCAGTCAGCAAAGCTGTGATTCCAATTAGGATCTAGCATTTATATTAATTCTCGTTGTTTTTCAGGTGCAGTGCGTCTCAAGCTCGGAGCCTGATGCGGCCATTTCGCCACAAAGTACCGAGAGCCGCCAGTCGCCCTCTTCCACGGATTGCGAGAGGAGTGAGTGCTTCATTTATATACCCATGGCAGTTCATTGATTAAATCACTTGTCATTGTCACAGGCATCTGCAGCAGTAACGTGTTTAGCCAGCCTGGCAGCATGTATAAGCCCTCGGAGCCCAAAATTCGACGTATTCACATCACATCGCAGCCGGCACCGACGCCGACGGAGAGCAACCATTCTGCGGGTCTTATGGGTCAAGGTATGCGTTTGGCTAGCTCCACAGCCCTGTCCATCTCATCATCATCGTCAACTTCATTGTCAACATCATCAATAACAACGGCGGCATCGGGTCGCCAAGCCATGCACCAGCACCAGAACCAGCACCCGCACCAGCCCCAAGCCGCAACCTCGAACAGCCACCACAGCGTCTTTATCCATAATCAGAAAGTAGTTAGCGTTGACTACCAGGGTAAGGCCTTGCCAGTGTCCTAATGCCATCAGCAACCACTAACTGCATCCATTTACCACTAACTGACCCACACCACCACCGTCACCGTCACCGCCACCGATCACTCACACACCTGATGCATGTCAAGCACTTGTCGCACCCCACGCATCCCTCTGCACTCTGCTTTTGTTGTGTGCTTTCTGTTCTGTTTCGTCTACCGTCGGGTATCGGGTATCGGGTGTTGGGTACTGGGTATCGAGTATTGAGTATTGAGTATCGGCTACATTAACCAAGCCGCTGCCTCCAAATCTCTATGTAGAGTCGCCCACCACCACGCAGCTGCCGACCACTTCGGATGCACCAGCGCTCAATGAAGCTGCTCCACTCAAAACCACCTGCCGCACGCCCACCAAACGGGCACGTCGACAACACCGCACGTTGGCAAGAAATTCGCCAACTGGCACTGTGGCACTGTTGCCACCGCGAACATTTGCCATTGGCGAGCTGATCTGGGGGCCGGCACGTGGACATCCCGCCTGGCCTGGCAAGATAGTCAAGATGCCCGACGGTGTCTGTACACCGTCGCAACAGTTCGATCACGTGTGGGTGCAATGGTTCGGCGGCAGCGGCCGTTCCAGCACCGAGCTAATTCCGGTCAACTTGTTGCAGAGCCTATCCGAAGGCTTGGAGGCGCACCACAAGGCGCAAAAGGATACCAGAAAGTGAGCATCACATGAGAAGAGGGTGAAAATAAATATGCCAACTGAGACTGAGAGAGAGAGAGAGAGAGATTTGAGCTGGGATCGATGGGGTGTCCAAGTGTTATAGATTCCGGTGCGACGCAGAATCGAATAGATTTGGCTTAGACTTCCATCGATTTATTTCTTTTTTAGATCTGCACCAAAAAGCACTTAAAAAAAACATTTTTAATAAGTTATTTCTTAAAGTAGAATTATTATGCAAAGATTTTTAAAGTAATATGTTTTTAAATGTAGATTTTAATGTAACATGACAATTGATACGAAACTTTTTTCCTTAATATAATCCCAGCTTATTTATATATTTATTCATTTCTTCAAGCATATTTATCATGTTACATATAAATATTTTGGATCATGTGGCGATTCGAAAATTATGATTCGTCGGTTTCAAATTTGCAATTAAATTCGTACAAACTTTCAAAAATTGAATTAAATAGACTTTATTTGAATATTTAAAAATGAAAAAAAGTAAATGTTTAAAGTTCAAGGCATCTTTCTAAATTGTATTATACTTTGTTTGGAAAGTTCTTATATTCGAGTCGCCACAGTACAAAAGAATTGAATTCAGATATTTTTGCAGTATATATTTAGAAATTTGTATATTTAGTATTTGAGCTTTCTTTGCAAAAGTTGATTATTTTGTAGCATTTGCATTTGCGTATTACTCGTACTTGTTGTGCAGTGTAGCAATGATTGGCATTCAAATGCATTTTTAATTAGTTTCGACTTTAATTTGTCCATTTAAATTTTAATTTTGCTAATTAATATTCTTGTTTCTTTTTTTTATTATTATGCGCTGACAAAAACAAATAAATCGCAACGTGTGTGTATGCGTATGCATATGTGTGTGTATAACAATATGTGTGTATATGCATAATCATCATCATCTTCAACATCATCATCATGACAACCACCTCCTACCTACCAAAAACTCCCCAAAACCACAACACACACGCGCACACACACCAACCACACACACGACCAACCACCCACCCACCAATACCACAATGTACCAACCAACCAACCCACAAAGGAGCCGCAAACTGAACTCGCAACTCGAGCAAGCTATACAAGAAGCAATGACTGAGTTGGATAACATTTCAGCATCGGCAACCACAACAGCAGCAGCAGCAGCAGCATCCGCAGTAATTGGCCACCAGCTGCAGCAGCCCACGTCAACGAACAATGGCGTCCACGGGTTGGCGCGGGGTAAGCGCACAGGGACGTCAAGTGGGCAGGCGAACGTTGGGGGCGCCAGCATGACGCTCTCCGCTAGCACAGCGGCCACCCTGAGCGGACTCTTCAATCAGCAGCGTGCCAAGCCCATACGGATAGCGCCCGCACCGCCAACGGGCGTGCCGTCAGCATCGAGTGCAGCGTCGTCGCCGTCGGCAGCAGCAGCGGAGATCCTGAAGCTGGCCAAATGACCAGCGCTGTCGGCGCTGCCGTCGACAGTAACCACAGCAAATTATACGCTCGTTATTGGGCACAAGTAGAGGCAGCTGGCCACAAACAGTATATACATATATTTATTTATACATATATATATGCTATATACACGCATCCATACTTAAGTGTGTAGTTAGATATCAGCCCCAACTGTCTGTCGCTGTTTTCTATAATTTTCTATCGAATTACGACTCTGCTTAGTTGCGCCTGTGCGTTGATGCCACATCTTTGAAATAGACAATAAAACAATATGAAAATGTTAACGGAAACGAAGTTACAAAGAAGAAAGAAAAAGAGAGAAAACGCTTAAACAATAAGAGAACAATAGTTTTTTGTTGCTTTGTAAAGCAGTGCGCCTGCCCAAAGCGCGAAACTCAGTTGTTTTTGTTTTTCTGTATATATTTACATAGAAGGATAGAAGAAGGATCAGAGCGAATGCCTATTTTTATCATTATAATGAACAGATTGTAAATGTTAGGTACATATTTATTTATTGCGTATAAAGTATATAGTTTGCATAGGTTTTTTGTTTTCGTTGCAATCTTTAGACTTAACTATTATTTTTATATTTAGATAGCATAAGCCGATTTTTAGCCATTAAGTTATAACCAGCCAATTTATGCACATTTCGATGAGCTAATTGTTTTTGGCCCAATCCAACAAATTCTTGCAGGAGAAACATATAAATCAAAAGCATATAACTGATACTAATTCTAATTTTCAAATACTTAAAGAATGGGAAATATCAACAAATTATTTACGTTAAAGCAAACAACTCGAAACACTCAGCTAACGAGTTTGAGAACCTAACAAAAAAGAGAATTATATTTATAAATTGTTATTATTTATTTAGTTAAACTATTGTAAAATTCTAGAAAACAAACAACAAAAAACAAATTGACATTTAAACACGTAGCGAAAATCCACTAAAAGAAACAATAAATAAATGCTAAAAATATTCCCGAAAAATATCAAAGCGTTTGAAGGAACATTTGTGATTGCGATCTATTTTATGGAGTTTCACGACTTCAAAAATGTATATATTTCTAGAATTGGACTGCACTAAACCGAGTTATATTCATTTAAAGATTTTAAAAACTTTTTTTTGAATCTGAACATCTCGGGGAAAATAAAGAAAGATCTTTACAATGTATACATTTCAATACTTGTACGGATAAACACAGTCAATTGACATTCGAAGCAGAAGTTCTACATTTAGACCCTTATGGACTGGTCTAGAGACCAGCACTATCGATTAACACTAAAAAAAAAAAAAAAATTCTAAATGTAAACAATATTTTTCTAAAATGGTAAGTGTTACATTTTTAATTTCCGGGAAATTGGGGTCAGTTCTGAAATCAAATATTTTGGATCTAATCTGATCTTCACAAGTCGCAAACGGCAATTCTTTTCAAGATAGGACTTTATTTATCAGAGTTTAAATTTAAAAATATATATCATTTATATATCTCGGGTGAATAGTCAGAAATTAAAAATTACACGTTATCCTGGACAAATCAAAATTTGGCTAAAAATTAAGTCTGTCCTGAAAGCAGAAAGTATATGAAAAAAAATCCGATTAAAATATTTTTAAAATTTATTTCAGTTTAAATAACTTGACAATAATAGTTGTATTTTTTTTTTCGTAGATCTTATATGCTGGTAGACCGGGTTAATTAATTGCAAATAATGTAATAATTAATATTTATGTAATATTAAACTAACTCACAATCATTTGAATTAAGTATTTTAAGTATATGTATCTATATACTTCTCGCATTCCCCACTTGCCAGTGCTCTTTTCATATAAATATATGTGTATATGTATTGGTGTGGGTGTGTTTGGGTGTATGTTGACGAAAATAAACTAAACAAACAGCGCCGATTCTAGACATTAAACATATCCTAAGAGAAAATGGTTCTGGCTGCTACATAATTTATATAAAAACAAACGCTGCGTTTGCTTTTTGTTCTTTTTTGTGGACCCTCTCCGGAGGCGTCATAATAATTGATCTTTACATATGATATCGATTTAAGGGTTTAGCTATGGGTGTGTGTGTAATGGCTTGCATTAGCTTACATCTCACGCACTCGAAAAATAGTAAATTAATTACAGATTATAAGCAAGTCCATGGCAAATGACAGCTTGCACATGGAGCTGCATTTCAACTAGCGCTTTATCGATTTTCTTATACATGTATTACATTTACAATTGTAGCTTTTTTTTTTTTCTTTTTTATATATATTTTCTTTAAACATTGCAGTCGTGTTTGAAGATCTATTTTTTATCTCAAGGTAAGACTGTGCACACTTCTGTGGCATTTACATTTAGGTTGGCGGCGTCTGTATCGGGAGAGGAGGACGCATTATCAATATTATGCACGATTTGGTTATCATTACAAAACAAAACACGATTGGCTGATGGATGAGACAATGCACAGGATCTAATGGAGCAGCGCGTGCAGCAGGCACACAATATTTACTAATCGATTGGGTTATTTGTGTAGAAATTGTCTTCCATACAAGTCAAGTTACAAAATTTCTAAATAAGACTTTAGAACTTAAATTAAGGTTCGCCATTAATATATTAATATTATTGTAGTTGTAGTTGTTATTGTTTGCTGCTCTCCGCTGCGCTCTGCTGCTCAATAATGTTGGATTACATTGATTGATGACTGTTCTCATTGTGTGTGTGTACGCATATTTGTAGTTGTGTGCTTGATTAACGTTGTTGCTGCTGTCAACAATAACCAAATCGCTGTAATTCTCATCTGGACAGACTGTGCGAGCGCTCACGGCTGCTGCTTCCGGACGAGAGGGGCTGCTTGCTGATGCCCGTTTCACCAACCCGCTGATGCGGTGGCAACCTGTCAAAGAACGGATGTCGCAGGGCCTCACCTGTGAACATCAAGAATTTAGATCGAGCATAAAATAGTTTTAGCCAAAAACTCACCTAACGTGATGCGCGACGAGGGCTCGTACTCCAGCATCTTTTTAATCAAGCTGAACAGCTCGCAGTGATCCTCGGTGTCGCTCAGTTGACAGAGGAACAAGGGCTTGCAATGATCGCGCACATAACGTCCTGCGCTGGACTTCTCATCCCAATCTAACTTACCATGATAGAAGTACTTTGTTTTGGTTTTGCTGTAAAGAGTGTGATTGCTACACATTAATTGATTTCGATGAAGAATACTGCGCCTTGAGTTAAAAAAGCATGAGCTGCATTGTATTACCGTGCCATGCGATATGGAATTTGTCCCAAGATGCGCTCCATCATGGCCAGATGCTCGCGATTGTCATGCGTCTGGAATAGCGTGATGCCCAAATACAGCTCAAAGAGAATGCAACTAAATTCAGTGAAAAGAAATTAGCCAAGTGTTTTTTTTTTTGTTATATATATATATATTAATATAAGGACGGGCCGCACTCACCCGATGGACCAAACATCACAGGGCTGTGACCAGCCAAGCTCCAGTATGACCTCCGGCGCGCGATAATGGCGCGTCGAGACAATTGTGCTATGGTGTTCATGATCAAAAGTGGCCGAACCAAAGTCAATTAGGCGCACGTCTGTGCTCTTGACGCGGCGCACTTCGCGATTCTATTGAAGAGCACACACGATAAGTACAATTTATAAAATTCAAGTATGGTCAACTAAGGGTCACTGTACATACAATTTTATGATTATAGTGAGACGTGTAATCCGAATCAACAAACAGTATATTCTCCGGCTTGAGATCTGTGTGGGTTAAACGATTGTCATGCAGAAACTTGACAGAGTAGCATAATTGATAGGCCATGTGGCGCACTTGGTCCAGAGAGTACGGCTCATAGTTGTTCTCGCGCTGCAATTAAACAATTTAAATATGAGACATTGTGTTCCCATCGACTAGTTGACAGCTAGAGCAACACATACCAAAAAATCGAAAACACTCAGTCCCAGCATTTCAAAAACTATGCACATATGTCCATGGTAATCAAACCAGTCAATCATTTTGACGCACAGGCTGCAAGAGATGAATAGATTAATTAATATTAATACAAATACCAAAAAGATCTTTAAGTGCAAACTTACTGATCACCATGCGGATCTTTCTGTGCTATCTTCTCCAAGGCATTGATCTCCAGCTTGGCAGCCTCGCGATATTTCTCAACATTCTTGATAATCTTCAGGGCCATGCAAAAATCACTGTAATACACATTCGTATACAAATATATAATATAAATAGGCTGTTTACTCAAATACTGGGGTAAGGGTTTGCTTTTTGGTACTTACCGCTCCATGTCTTTGACCTTGACCACACGTCCGAAAGTGCCTTCGCCCAGTGTGGCCATGATCTTATCTGAAAAGTGGCAAAAGGAGGCGTATTGTAGTCTGGTATTATCAAGTAAATGAAACGGCAATAATTGTTAATTATTTACGCTAATATCTAAACCTATAACTGGGCATCTTTCGGATTTAAGTAAAAATACCACAAAAATATGCTCTAACTTTGAACTGCTTTTGAGAAAATGTATGCGGAAAGTATTCAGTTTCAATATTATTTCATTAATTATGCGCCAAAAGTTCCGGAAATTTAATAAAGTACTCGAGTGTCTGCGTGTAAGTGTGTGTGTGTGTGGGTGTGTGAGAAACTTCAATTTAATTATGACTGGCAAAAGAAAAAAATTGGTAAGTTTTAATTTGAGTTGAACTGGAAAATTAACTTTTTGTTTCTTTTCTTTCTTTTACTTTCGGAAAATTTTGCTGGTGAAAATTGTGTGAACTTTTTTGTTTAGTGTTTTGGTGCGCTTTTAAAACGTGTCTTAAAGGCGCACGCGATTTGTTGCGACGCGACGATTTTGTCGAAAGATAATTAAGAAATAATAAAGAAAAGTTGTATAGTTGAAAACTATAACAGTTACGTGTAGACTTATTGTGCGGCAGTTTTTACTCAATGTCTCTTTTGAACTTGAAAAGTTTCTGATAATCTCTAAACATAAACATATAGAAAAATTAAAAACGAAAAAATTGTCACGAACATCTGTGATGGAGAATGTCTCCGTTGTGGTAAATTAAGTGACCATCAGCATCATCTTGAATGACGGGCTTTGCTGTCTGTTATGGGGCGAGCGTTCGACGAGAGGTTGGCGTGGTGGTGGCGATGGTGGTGCGATTGCAAGGTGCATTGATCCGTCGATTCAGAAGGGGAGGGGTGGCGACAATGAAGGCGACGAGGACGACGACGACGACGAGGACGAAGACGGCGGCGACGACGACGACGACGACGAATATTTAGCGAGTTATGTTTTGAGCGTATTTGGTAGTGGGTTGCGAGAACGTTGTTGTAGCAGGGGGCGTGGTTGTTGTTGTAGTAGTTGTTGTTGTAGTCGATGGCAGTTACACAGACGAATACATAAGGTGCGTGTGTGGTTAAAGTATGTAATTTGAAAGAGAGAAAAAGAAACAAAAAAGAAAGAGAAAAAAGAAAAAAAAAACACATTTTATGGGTCGCCAGCGTCCAGACATCCAGGCAATCACAGTTCATCATTTCAACACATAATCCGCCAGAAGATCCCGCGTTGGCACCACAACAATTCCGATTCCGGATATCCAATTTTCATCATATCACAAATATGCGCAATTCACAAATAATCCGCACAGCCCAGACATTCCATAAACCAACCATTTACATCATATCATCATCATCATCAAGTTGTTTGTACATCAACCCATCATCATCATCATCATCATTGTGATTTTCATCATCATATTCAGAAAAAACACGAGAAAAATACGTTTCGTTTGTTCGATAAGAAAATTAGTTCGGACAAATTTTTTTTTTTTTTTTTTGAGAGAGATTTTGTGTTTTACATAAATGGTTAATATATTTTTTTTTTTTTTTTTAATATAAAACATGTACAACAAATATCATATAACATTTTTGTATATATACACATATATATGCATGTATACACATGTAAATACGGGCATATGCACAAAAACAAAAGCTTTTGTGCCTTGGGCAGAGGAAAAAAAAAGTATTAAAAAAAAAATAAATAAACGAACCATAAAACGCATGGGCAAAAACAAATTGCATTCGCTTACGTCTACATATTGTTGTTGTCTTTTTGGAACATATTTTGTATACTTTTTACTTTTCTTTTTGAATATATTGATATTTAAACATATATATTATATATTGATTAATTGTTTTGGTATATGGTAAAAGAAAAACTAAGCATCTAATTGAAAATATCGAGAAATAATTAGAATAAATTTGATCAAGTTTCCTTACATGCAGGGAAAACGCATTAACATACGGCTGTTAGTGTTAACATGGCGCGCTGTTAGTTAGCAGTACTGTAAAGTGTGTTCAGGCTGGTTGGGTGAGTTGCGGGCTCGCATTGCAAGAAGCTCAAGCTGCATAGAATAATGCATCGAGTGGCTTACAAAGGTCGAGAGTGTCTTTGGAATGCGTGACCTATGGAACAGCGCCGACGAGGTGGCACTCTTTGACAGCAGATAGTGATCGTGCTGCTGCAGATAATGCGACGAGGATGACGACAAGGCCGACGACTGCTGCTGATGCTGCTGCTGCTGTTGGTAGGGATCCAGTTGCTGGCGATGCGGATACAGCGAGCTGCCCACATTGGAGCGCCGGCCACTGATGCCATAGTTATCGTGCAGATAGCTCGATCCGCTGCTGGGCTTGTACCGCTCGAATTCGCTCAGCACAGCAGCTGTGCGGGAGCTGGCGCCCTGATAGCGCAGTTGCTGCTGCTGTTGCTGGCGACGCGTGTCCGCCGCTGCCAGGCGCGCGCCAATGCCACCAAAGGCTAGCGCACCGGAGCTGGACGAGTGCAAGAGATTGCTCGGCCTATATTTGGACAGGTCGTTGTTGTTCCGATCTGAGTGGAGCAGAAAATGACTTTTTTTGTTGGCGCTGCTGCCGCTGCCGCTGGCTGTCGCTGTCGCTGCCGTGTCGTGCAGAGAGAGGTTAGAGAGAGCAGAGGGGATGTTGCATGAGTTCGTGTTGTTGTTACTGTTTATTGTGGCTGTTGTTGTTATGGGGGGAATCGAAGTACCATTGATGGAGTTGGTGGGAGTGTTGGCCTTGTCTGTTGTGCTTTTCGTTTTCTGTGAAGTGTCAGCCGTGTTGGTTAGTTGGACACCAGTTGTTCTGTTGGGCTCGCTATCGACCTCATCAGAGCTAGCCTCTGATGTGGATGAGCTGCTTGCATCGCTATCATCGTTAGTTACTTTTTTGCTGCGCGACTTTTTCTTGGGCGCCTCCTCAGCATGCGCTGCTGCTGCTGCTGCCGCTCCCGCTGCAGTTGCTGCGATTGCAGCGGCCTCATTGGCTGCCTGCTGTTCCATTGCCTCGGCTTCTGCCGCCGCTGCGGCTGCTGCTTCAGTCTTCTTGGCCTCCGCGGCGGCTTCTTCCATGCGCTTGACACGCTCTTTAAGCTCGCGCCGCCTGCGCATGCGTTCCTCAAATTTCTTAGCCTCGAGGAACTGATTGTCTTCGCGCAGCAGCATTAGAATGGCCGCATTGTCTTCCGAGGAGCGATCATCGGCTAGAATCTCGTGATCCTCGGCCGTTAGCTCTGGTGGTGGCGCCGGTTGCTCTCTGCGACGGTTGGCAAAGCGACTGCGCCAGTTCAGAACATGATCCTCCGTGTGGCCACCGTCTGGCGTGTCTGTTGCCGGCAGTTCGGTCTTGGTTCGTTCATAGGCTCGTGACAATCGCCCAGAGGTTAGCGCAGTATCCTCCACACCGGCTCGTCGACCATATCGGCCTGTTGAGTAGCCAGTGGCGCCACCAGCGCGTAGTGCGTCGTGATAGTCATGCGGCTGATATCGATTGTGGCCATAGTCCACCGGATAATTCTCGTCCAGCAAACGGTTGCCGCTGGTCAGGTAGCCACTGTCCGTGGAGTCGGCCATATATCGTTGGCGCTGGGCGCGCGTTCTGTAGGGCGTGCGCTCTTTGCGATCGGCAGCATTGAAGGAGCTCGACGAGAGCTTCGCTTTGGCCAATTGATGTGAGGTGGCGCTGCGCAACAGGCCACCATAGTCATCCGGTTCCAGGGTTTTGTCGCGATCCTCCTCGTGACGGCGTCGTCCAGCCGCACGCTCCAAAATGTCCGAATATTTGTTCTCCAGACGTGAGACCGCCGACACTGTGGGCGTCTTGTCTTTGTCCAAGAGCAGCTCGCGACGCTGTGCGTCCCAAGAAGAGAAACCAGTCAATTGGGAGGGGATTTAATGGATAAGGAAAGTGCTTTTAGCAGCGCTCGTGTGAAACCAATGGAAACGACAACGACGAAAACGAAGACGTTCGTCAAACATTTCACGCTCTGTCTGAGCCAGACGCAGATACATATGAAGCCAGTTGGGGGTAGACCTAGACCTAGAGAGAAGAAAACGACGCACTCGCATTTCGCAGACCCATTTAAATGGCCTTTTCGGCACTGGCTAATAACAGTGTTTGGGCAACTTAATTCCACATAATTTCACTCGCATTTGAAGCGTCTATCCAGCCGCTTTCTCTAACAAGAAACACAACATGTAACCGAACTGGGCTGGGCGGCTGTTCCGAGGAGGTGCGTCTATATTATTTAGAACGTCTAGTGAAAATCTAAACAAAATAACCACGGCCGACCTTCACAGTTTATATATATAGATGTATACATATATTTATATATATATATATGTATATGTATATTTAAATATACGAAATGCCAAAATCGTGAAATTGTGAATAGCTTTTTATACATTTAATGCAGACCAGAGAACTGAGAGAGCGAGAGAGAGAGAGAGAGAGAGAAGCGATAGACATGGGAGCAGGGTGAGCTGCCCGAGGCATGGACATTTGCTTGGAATCGAAAATAAACGCACACGGCAAGTAGGAAGATATAGAAGAATATATAGAAGACGATATAAAACAGTTTTGTGTGGGCAAATAGAAAATCCATACATATTTATATGTACATCTCTGCGCACGATCATCATATATGTATATACTATATACATACATCTGCTACATATATAGGTATACTATGGAGCAATAGGGGTTGCCGATGCATGCACTGAAGATGCGATCTTTTGCTACCTCCAACCCGCCTTCTTCAACCTGGGACAGAATTGGGACAGTGACTTGACTTAGCCATGACTCATGGTGACAGGTGGAAATAGGGCAAACAAAATTTCAAGTGATTTCCAAATCTGAAGAAATGCTCTGACAATGAGTCACGGGATGAATTTGGCTGCCTGGCTCCGATCAAATAACACGCAGCGCTTTCCATTGGCATTCACACAGCACGCTCCACTCATACTAACGTCGTCTAGGTCACGCCGCATCCCGGCGCCTAGGCCCCGTATGGCCGGCTTATAGTAGCTGCTGCCCACGGGGCTCAGATGGGTTCGCAGCGGATTGGCCGTCGTTGAGCTCTTCTGATAGCGGCCCATGAGGGCACCGCTGGTGCTGCCCACACCCACACCGCTGCCGCTGGTTGTGCTAATGGGATGGTAGCCGAGGCCACCGCCAGCATAGTAACGTCTATGACGATCGCTCATGGCGTTCTGTTCCCGATCCCGATCCCGATCACGTTCCCTATCCCTATCGCGTTCCTTGCCCCGTTCACGCTCCGCCTCCGGGCGTCTTCGACCGCTGGCGGACTTTTCCGAGCTGCGGCGACGTCTGTGTTGTGTTGTGAGGCTGCCCTTGTCTTTGTCTTTGTTTTTGTTGTTCCTATTGCTGCTGTTACTGTTGTTGTTGGCGTTTTCATTCGTTGGAGTCTTGGAGCCACTGCGTCTATTTTCGTTGCTTTCCTTATTGTTGCTATTGTTGCTGTTGTTGTTGTTGTTGCTGCTGCTGCTGTTATCCTCGGCTATGGCTGCTGCACTATAAAAGCCCAAAACAAAACAAGAATTGCTTATGACGCACTTAAAGCTTTCCCTTCTTCTATTCTTCTATTTAGTGTCGATTTTTAGTGTATATTTTGGTATTTGGTATTTTCCACGCGCCTGAATCGCGACGAACGCGCGTTGCCACGACACGGACCAAATAATAACTGAGGAAAATTCGATCGAAATTCGTGCGACGACGCACAGTGGATGTATGGGAAAATGTAGGAAAACACACCGCGCGGCTACCAAAAATATTGAGGAATCGTTTTTATTTTTGTGAAAAAGTGTGAAAATATTGCGCACTTGCCCAGCAGCAGCAGCAGCAGCAACAGCGGCAGCAGCCGGAGCAGCTGTGCGGGCGGGTTGGACAAAGAGAATGCGACAGAAAGTGAGAGAGCGAGAGAGTCGGAAAAGAAAAATGTGTGAGTGGGTGGATAAATGAATTATTTCGTTGTCTGCTTCTTCAGAAAATGCATTTAATTACTGCTGAGCTGATCGCAGAGCTTTCCATTTCCGTCAGTTAGCGAAACAAGGAAACGATCGAAAGTCTTGCGGTTAAAATGCTTGGAGGAAAAGCCTTGAACTTTGCTAATGAGCAGAAACACAAAATGAACAAAGCCGCGCAGAAAACGAAACAATTACGTTTGCATGCATGCATATTCCAAATGCGCGCATTAAAAACAAATAATTAAACAGTTAATGCATCAAAGGCACAGCGAGCGAGAGTGAGAGCGGGAGCGAGAACGAGAGAAAAGAACAGTGGCGTTGATCTCCCATGCTAAGAAGAAGAATAACAGCAGGAAGCACAGCAGCGGAGAGTTGCCAGACAGGCAAACACTCGGCTAGCAAGAGAGACAGACTGTCTGTCTTGAAAGCTTTTTGTGTAAAGCTTTGTACAATGTTAAATCGAAACTTTTCAATTAAAACTTTTAATTAGCCTGCTATTAAATAAAAATATGTAAAGATAAGTACATATTGTGCACATATATATACTTGGGGAATATGCACCGATACATAGGATAGATGTCATTGGGCTAGATAAATGGCCTAGAAACCATAGAAACTGTAAATCGTATGCAACTTTAAATAAAATATCTAATGAATGATTATTCTTATGTAAATGCTTGCAGTTCAATTGATGGTCTCAACAAGAACTTTACAATGATCTCTCACTCGCTCGCTTTCTTTTTGTTTTGACTATTGGTAATTGTTAGTATAGGCTTTCCAGTCTGAACGGTAAAAAGCAGAAATGATTAATTAAATCAAGCTCGATCATTTTCCACAATTAATTTTCACACTTTAGCACACACAAAAAGGCGAAGTTAAACGCGATTAACAACGCACTCGGCACGATCTTTACATAATTGGCTCCCTGCTAAAGAGTAGAACGCGTTCAGAAACGAAGCAGCGCGCTGCTGCGTTGCAACTAACGGCAAACGGCAAACGGCAATGAGGCAAATTACATACTTAAATTAACGACGAAAAAAAATTACCAAAAACAAAATCAAATGAAAATAAAATAAATGATGAGAGCTGCGACGCGTCTGGCAACATTTTGACCGAGTTTTTGTTGTTTGACGAAAGGCGGCAAAAGTAGAAACAAAAAAAAAAAAAAAAAACACCGCAAAATTAAAAATAATTTATACGTGTGTATGTGTGTGTGTACGAATGTATGTAACTTATTTGCTTCATTTCTTCTGCATCGATTACCGATTGCGCTGCTGTTGTTGTTGTTGTTGTTGTTGCTGCTGCTGCTGTTGTTTGTTATCAGGTCGTTCGCTCGGATTGCGTCGAAAGCGCTGCAGCAAACTGTTGCAGCTTTCGGAGAGCAGTTGCGTTACGCTCGCTGCCGTCGCGCTGCGCATGTAGCGTCGCTGCTGGCGCGGCTGTGCTGTTGCTGCCGCTGTCGGCGCCGACGTCGCTGCTTCCATGTCAGCTGTTTTCTTGCTGCTGCTGTTCGCGGTGTTCACAGCATTTGGCAAAATCTTTTCGCTTTTTTCGCGTTGAAAACGACTTAAAAATGTGGCCATTTTTTTTCCTTGCGCGTGGGTTTTGTTATCTGTTACTCTTACTTTTTCGCTCGGATGAAAATTCGATAATATTAATTAGATATCCATTTGTGAGAAGAGCACAGCATGTGTGCGTGCGAGGAGCTAGACAACAGATTGGAGTGCTGTGATTCGTTGTTGTTGTTTTTATCTCGCAGGCGAGTTAAGTTCTTCCTCTGACTTGAACTATTTAATGAATTGTACTAAAATAATTGATTTTGCTGCGCTATAGCGAGATTTTGGCATTTTTTGGCATTTACTCGATGTGATTGTACTGTATATATTATGTTAAGTATAGTATAATAGAATATACGTATTTACATATAAAGAGCGTATTCATGTGTTGTAAAAATATTTGAAATTGTACGATATTTGGCAGCTATTCGACAGAAATAGACACACAACAGAAGCAGCGACAATTTCCGATGGCAATTGCGATTCCAAATTCGATTTCCACTTTAATTTTCAATTTCATTTTTGGTGAATTATTTCAATTTGTTTATCGCAAATTTCGTCCTGATTTACACACGCACTTTGAGACATTTGCCAGCTGGCGGTCGTCGGTCGAATTTTGCGCGTTTCTTTGACGTTATTATAAATTTATTAATTATTATTATTTATTCTCTATTGGCTTTGTTCAAGCAGCGCGTCTTGGCGTTTTCAAGAAAAATCCAATCCGAAATCAGCGCAACGTTTACGAAAGCGCACGCCACAAATACTAATTATAAAAATTGAAAAATATCGCAACGACGACAGCGCCAAAGTAGCTGGCGAGTGTGTGCTCAGGGCGGAACATAGAACACGCTCCGTTTCGATCTCTGAACCGGGCGGGCGCGCTTGTGGCCACTGCGGGAGAGCTGCTGCACAGCCGCCAGTTTCTATTATTGTTTGCTAGGTAGCAAAGAAACTAACCACAAGCAGACGCCAAAGCGAACGTCAATTGGCTTAGAGCCGCACGGGAATACTCTATGCCTAGTTCGGGGCAATACTAGAACAAGGTCGAATACAAAATCTACGAAATCAGATTATTTTTTGAAGAATGTTTTATGGAATCTGGGAAAGTAAAAACATATATAAAGGATTTTTATTTAACGAAACATCTGCATTTCCTATGAATCTAGAGGCAGACGTCATTTTAAAGAACTTTTCTTATCGATTTTTTTTAAAAATATTTTTAACAAATACAAGTAGGATAATTTGAGCAAGGCATTTCAGAAATATGTAGAACCTTTCTACCGCTTATTTTATTTCATTTTAAATTATTTGTTTGTTTATAGATTTTCTGTAAGCATTATAGAAAAGCTATAGAAAATACTACTATTGTAAATGGAGTAAGGGTAACCAGGATTCGTTGGCTATCCAAAGTCGACGCCACAGCAGTTCAGAGAGAAAGAAAACTCATGGGAATGTTCGCATAAGTATGTTTTATGTGCGAGTTGTTGTTACATATTTTAAAGGCTGGCATTCGCCGATTGTTTGGCATTTCGTGAGTTTTGTTTTGCGCCGAGTTATATTCAAGTTATAAATAGAAGAAGTTTGGCAATATTTAAACAGAAATTAGTATCAGGCGTTAAATAATATATATATTTATGCTTTTGTTTTGGAAAATTATAGTGAAATCAATTTAAAGTGTTTTGAATGTTTTTTTTTTCTTCTTCTTTTTACTAAATAAACAAAATAAATTAAGTGTGTGGCTATTTTTAGCGAACCACAAAATTGACATTGAATTTTTTTTTTTTTTTGGTCGATTGTGCAACGTTGTTGCTCGACCGAGGCAAGTGCAAGAGTCTGACGCGAGAGGCCACAAGAGAGTGCCGACAAGGCGATCAAAGGGGGAGCAGGAGGCGAGTGGGAAGGGGAGCGTGAACAGGTTAGGGGCAAGTTTCGCACAGGAAGTGCGCGTCACAACAATCGACAAATTCTGTTTTTGCGGCCCCCCCGAAGAGCCCAAAGAGCGCGAAGAGCCCAAAAGCAACGAGCGAAGAAGCGGTGGCCTTTTGGAGTGCAATGAGTCAGCGGTCTATTTCGAGAGGCTGAGCTGCCTCGCCGAGCGTTTGTTTGTTGTTATGGTGTTAGTTGGCAGTAAAAGGCGGCAGCATTCCGGACACATGTGCAACATACAACAAGAATCAAAATTAAAAACAAAAACAAACGCTTAAGCCAAGATACAAAACAATAACAAAATAGTTGGGCATCGAATCTACCTCGATGAAATGCAGGCCCAGAGCGGACTTGGACATTTCAATTTGCTGCTGCTGCTGTTGTTGTTGTTGTTGTTGTTGTTGTTGTTGTTTTGAGTGGCTGAATATGACAGAATTGCTTTGTAGTGACTGTTGTTGTTGTTGCTGCTGTTGTTGCTGCTGTTGCTGATGATGGTGTTGCTGTGGTTGCTGCGCTGCCTGCGGTTGCATGCCCGCTGATGCAGGCGGCAGCGGGCCATAAAACAATTGCGTATTTGTATTCGGATCGTATTGAAGCGTCGCACCGCCACCGCCAGACGTCGAAGCGGAAGCATTGATAAACTGCTTATGCGGATGTGGTTGAGGCTGAGGCTGGGGCTGCCCCTGGTACTTGACCGGCTGCATCACCTGGCTCTGACTGGGCTTCAGATACGCATACGGATCGAAGGTCTGCAACGGCTTACGCTCGTGCGGCTGCTGTTGCTTGGGCAGATTATAGTAGTTGCGACTCATCATGCCGATTCCAAAATTATGCGGCTGCATCATGCTGGGTCGCTGTGCGGCGCTGAAGGATGCCGAATGGGTCAGCGGCGCAGCGCCGGCGCGTGGATAAACGGGCTTCGCATTGATCAGCGCCTGGTAGCTGCTGCCGTACATCTGTGGAGCCATGCCAGCTGGTTGCGGCTGCTGCTGATGCACTGGCTGTCCAAATTTGTTCTCCTTGTTGGTGTTCTTGTGCATGAACATGGCCAAGCCGGAGCTGGGCTTGGGTGCCTGCTTGGCCAGGTGCGAGGAGGAATAGGATTGCTCCAGCTTGTGGGGCTGATATTGCTGTTGCTGCTGCTGGTGTTGCTGGAAGGGATCGCTGCTGCCATTCATCACCGAACAGGCAAATGAGTTCCAGTTTAAGAATGGACGCTTTTGCTGCGGATAATTCTGTGGCTGCTGCTGCTGCTGTTGTTGTTGTTGCTGCTGCTGTTGTTGTTGCTGCTGCAGTAGACGTTGATAGCCCATGGGCAGCTGAGAGGTTGAGTTGGATTTGCCTATGGGATAGGCCATCCTTTGTTGCTGTTGCTGCTGCATTAGCGGCTTCTGCGGATCGTACAGCTGCACTGGCACGGGTATCTGCGATTCGCTGGCAAATTTGCCGGCGCCGCTGCCGCTGCTGCTGCTGCTCTTGATCACGACGGCAGCATCTTCTTTGTGTTCAGCTGTCAGCGATTGTGACACAGTTGCATTGTTGTTGTTGCTCTTTAGCTTTAGCATGTCATTTAAACATTTTTCTAGCTTGTTGTCGACGTCTTTTTGACGCTTTGTGGCTGCCGATGAGCTTGTTGTTCCTCCTCCACCTCCTCCTGTTGTTGTTGTTGCTGCAACTGTTGCTGTTGTTGCTGTAGCTATTGTCGCGGTAGTTGCTGCTGGCTGATCAAAGTTGGCGCCGTGCTGCTGCTGCTGCTGTTGCTGTTGAGCGGCTGCTGCAACCGTTGAGGGTATGTGAAAGGATGAGGTAAACTTTGAGAGCTGCGGCAGATGGGTGGTGCAGCAGTTGGTCACGGTAAAGCTACTGCTGCTGATTGTGCTGTTGCTCTTCTCCGACTTGCGCTCCAGCGAGGCGCTTGTTTCGTTAGAGGCCTCAGCAATGGGCGTGGCCAGCGCTGGTGCAGCTGCCCCAACAGCTGTTGACGCCTGTTTGGCCGGCTCTGTGGGTCGGCGGAAGAGCGCGGCCGCACACCGCGGCGACGGCACACAGGAGCTACTGGAACTTTTGAGCACGCCAGCATTCGGTTTACTCGTTGGATTTGGCTGTTGCTTGACTGCAGGCGGCTCCTTGCGCGCCTGCGCCGTCCCAGTCGTTGTTGTGGGCAGCAATATTGCCGAGTTGGATGTGCTGCGACTGAGCGAGGGCAGATGCTTCATGTAGCAGGGTATGTGCGTGCGACTCGAACTGCGCAGCAGAGGCGCCGCCGGACTGCCGGAAACATGCGTCATGGAGACGCTCTTGTTAAGCTGTTGAGCAGCTGCCAGCGGCTGCGTCGGCAGCTGTTGCTTGACGGGCACGCGGCTGGTGAAAGGCGTCGTAGTCGCCGCCGTTGCCGACGTGGGCGATTGTTCGTTGCATACGATGAGCTTGTAGAGATCGTCTTTGGTGACGGCCTGTCTGACCTTGAGATCCAAGTGCGACAACGAGGCGTTCTTCTGTAGGCGATGGTTGTGTGGCTGCTGTGCCGGAGACGGCTGCTGCTTTTGCAGCTCCTTCTGGGCCGCCTCGGCGACCGTGGGATCGAATATGGCCAGCTTCTTGGCCGTCTTGGCATCCACCTTGAAGGGCTGCCCAGCATCGCCCAGCTGAGCGCCACAGATTTTCTCATAGTTCCAAAACGTGCGCTTCGGCGTCTGACGCTTCTGTGAGCTGCAGAGGTTCTCGCTCCAGAAATCGTTCATCAGCTGCTTGTTAAGCGACAGATTCGAGTCAGTAAGCAGGCCATTCTTTGGCGCTCCTTGTGAGCGTAATGGGCCACAGCTGGGCGTGCCCATGGGCATGTTCGAGCTGGATATGCTACGCTGCAGCTTGGGCTGCTCGTTCGCGTTCGCCTGGGCGAAGATTGAAGGATAGGCAAGCCGCGTCGCCCGATTGGAGGTCAAGTTGTTGGCGAAATTAATGGAGGATGATTTGGAGAGGCCACTGGCACCGCTTGGCGTAGACGCCTGCGACTTCTTAGGCGCCACAGATTGATGTGAGTTGGATTTGGTTAGTGGTTGCTGTTGCTGCTGGCGCTTGAGGCGATCGTACAGATCTTCACACTCCTGGAACTCTTGATGCAGCTTGCGATCCAGTTCACTGTAGTCGGGCAGACTCTTCAAATATTTGTTCATCATCTCGATCTCAGCGTCATAGAAATTGGCATCTAGCTTGGCGCTGCTGGTGGCCGCGGCCGACTTCTCCTCCAGCTGTTGCTGTTGTTGCAGCAGCTTGTCCAGATCGATTTCCCCAGCATTTTTGCCGCCTGCACCCGGCTTTTGCTTGGGCGCACGGCACGGCACCGGCGGTGGCGGCGACGATGATGGCGAGCTGCAGGATGACAGCGATATACTTGAGGCGGGACTGCTGGCTATGGTGGCCATAGGGCGCGCAGGTGTTGTGATGGTGCCAGTGGACGCATTGTATGCCATTGGATGGTGTTTGCGCGGCAGAGGCGGCGTTGACTTCGGACTGGCTGGCAGCAGCGGTCGATTCTTGCGCGGCGCCAGCGGCGAAGAGATGGGCGAGCGAACCGCACATTTGGTTTCCGGCAAGCTGGACGACAGCACCGACGCGAACTGCGGCGAAACGACCTGAAAGAACTGCTGGCCGCTCGCGGGCGGCGGCGTTGGTTTTTGCATTATGCACGGCGACGAAGATGACGACACAAATGCGTCCCCATTTGGTCTCATTGCGACGCTGGGGCATGCGGCAGTGGCGGCAGCAAGCGCAGTCTGTGCCTCCGGCTGGGCTGATTTGACGGCGGCGGTTTTGCCAGCATCTTGACTCATTTAAGCAACTGGAGGAACGCGCGCGAACTGCGTAGGAATTCAGAGGAATGCAGAGCTGTGAACTAGTTCCAAACTAAGAGCTGGTAGTACTAGTTCACAGTTACAAATACTAAGCTCTTAACGGTAACTGTTAATCCAGAAGTTCTGGCAAACTTAAGGCTTAGCAAGTCATTTCACGTTGAGCTTTCCGACTAAAAGCTCACTAATATTAATACAACACGATTTACCAGCGTGTGTGTGTGTGTGTGTTTGTGCGTGTCTATGGCATTTTCTAATTGTTTTTTATCAATAACAGTATCGATAGCAGCAGCAAACGAGGCAAATGAAAACACATTTCGATACAGAAAGAGAGAGATAGAGAGGGGGGAGAGAGACACCGACTGACACTAGACGCAGAACTGGACAACAGATCACCAGACAGACAACCAACCTGCAGATACTGTTCCGGTATCTTACTGTTCTTCGGCACAATTATCTTTTTGATTATTATAATCTTATCGCCCTCGATTCTCGTTATGGTTATGGGCACCCCTGGTTGTGGGCGCTGCGGTTTGGCCACAACCGCCGGACGATTGACGGTCCGCACCACTTGTGGCCCGGTAAGAATTCCACCCGGCGATGGCTTTGCCGCCGGCGGTGCAGGCTTCGGCTTTGGCTTTGGCGCCGGCTTGTACTCCTTGTTATCGCTGCGCACAATGGACAGGTGATAGAGGGGCTTGTCATCGTCCAGCACGCTCTTCTGTGGTGCCGTCTTCTTCTCTACTTTGCGCAGCACTACGCCCAGCATAGGCGCATCCTTGGGCTTGATGGTAACCGAGCCGCTTGGGGCTGTCACCCGCTTGAGGCACACACCCAAATTGGCACCCACGGGCGGGGGTGTCTTTGTGCGATGCACCATTTTACCGCTGGGTATTTCACGATATCCATCCTCCTGGCCACCCGGACGTTGTGCGTCCCTTGCCGGCGGCATCTCAGGATTGGTGTGTAGCATCGGTTCAGGTGCCACCAACGGTGCAGGGCCGGGAAAGAGCGCAGATAAGCTACTGCGGCGGCGATTCATGTTTGGCGCCGATACCGTCTTCGACAGCGGAAACTTAGACGGCGCTGCCAGCTCCGCTGCTAGATCAGTGCTCATGGCGCTGGCGTTGCTGCCGCGGCGACTGACACTTACACTGCCGCTGGCGGGCGCAGAGTCCATGCTGCTGATGCTCGAGCTGTGCAGGCGTTCGGGTGCAGCGCTTCTCTCGTGGTTTCGCTCTGCTGGCGACGTGCTGCGCTCGCGGCTGCGATGATGGGAGCGTGCGGCTCGAGCTGCCCGCTGCATGCGCAGCAACTCAATGGAGTCGGCCAGGTGCGAGTTGCTCTTGGTGGGCGAGGAATCGCCAGAGATGGCATTGCCCTCGCCTGCGTTCATCAAATGCATTTCCATTGCATCATCCAAAATGTTGGGCAGTGAAATGAGACGATCACGTGGCGCCTCAGCAGCCGGCAAAAGGCCCTTGTGCGATGGACTCGGTGTGGCGTCCTGTTGCCTCTGTTGCTCCGCTTCCAGCCGCTGTCGCTCCATGACACGATGCAGCTGCTGCTCAGCTTCAAGAGCGGCTCGTGCTCGCGCCTGCGCCTCTATCTCAGCGGCCCGACGCGCCTGCTCCTCGGCCAGTGCGCGCGCCTTGGCCTCGGCTTGGGCACGAGCCTGTGCCTCGGCCTCGGCGGCAGCTGCGGCGCGAAGATTGGCTAGCTCCGTGGCCGTCATTTGCTTAATGCTCAGGCGACGCTCTGAATCGATAATTAACTGGATCTGGCCACTGCCCTCCGGTCGGGCAGTGAGATCCGCGCAGCTGAGGGCGATCAGTTCGCTTAGTTCGTTTGACATCGCGGCTGCCAATATACGCGATATTTATATGTGTATATATATTTATAGATATATTTATATGATAACTGCGAGTATCTTGAATCTGTTATCTAACTTTTCACTGGTGTATCAATCCCAATGTGAATTGCGTTGGGTTCGACTTGCTCGACGCGACTCGCGACGCTGCTGGCGTTTGCTATAAAGAAACCTGCTCGATAGCCCTGTGAAGATTGAAGATCGTCGATATGGTGTTGGATTGGAGGATCGGTAGGTTGTGGGGAAAGCAAAGCGCTCAATGTCAATGCCTCATTGGCATTTTGGCAAATGCATTTAGTCGTTTAGTTTCGATTTGACTTATTAATTGTTCGGTGAGTTGCCAACAACAAGACCAACAACAACTACAACAACCACAACAACAGAAGCGAAAAGGAAAAACTCTTCTCCTCCACCCTGCTCATTGGCGCCCGATGCGATACAAGCAGATATATATATGTACACACACATATAATATGTAAACGTTGTCTATACCTGAATGGCACATTGGCTGGGCCACTCGAGCTCGACATACAGACAAAACACATACATATGCATATCGTAAACAGCAATGAGCTCATTGATCGGGGCGCCGCAGAGCAGCCTGCCAATTCCTGGCTAACGCCTGCACCCGACAATGCCCCCAAATGCCTACACCTTGCCCTATATATGGGAAGCGTGTTGTAGGAGAGATGCTGGAGCAAGAGCACACCAATCGGAAGACTAAATACATATGTATATATCCAAGTGAGTGACGGCCCTGCCTGTGATATATATATATAAATATATATGGAAGTACATCTATCTACATATATATATATATATATATTCTATATAGAACTCGCCAGCGGTTTTGATCTCTTAGCTGTTTAGCTACTAGTTGCCTCTGCCTGCTAGAGTGTGTTCGGTTCAAAATCTGTTTTTATTTTTAACAAAAAAAGACGACAACGCACGTAAATTGGCGCAGTAGTCATGTATGTGCTACATATGTAAATCTATGGCTATCTGTGCATGTGTGAGTGTGTGTGTGTGTGTGTGTGCTTTGTACAGTGTGAACTCTTGCAAAGAACTAGCCTATGTAAACAGTTGGTTTTTACTTAACAAATTGTGTTTATCAGACGCAATTCTCTATTTCAAAACTATCAATACTTAATTAGAATTTTAAACTTTTGATATCTATCAAAATTTCATTTAATTATATTTATAATTATTTATGTAGTTTCTTGTATTTTATACTAGATTTTCACTGTCGCACCTTTGCAGATCTGCCTGTCATATATAAATATGAAAAATCTTCTACTTCTCATAGCTTGGGTCTTTTTCTTATATGGGCAATATGTGCTTGGACTTTTTGCTGTGTTTTTGTGAAAATAAACGCGCGTACCAAAAATAAATCCAAACATTACAAAAATAACTAGAGAAGATTGCTCGCCGAGCAGAAGAAGAAGAAGAAGACGAATTAGTGGCAGCATCAAAGATCAACATGATGGAACTGCCCGCTAGACGCTGCTGTTGCTGTTGGCTGATGAATAATCCCTGCGGATCTCTGATGCACATACTATATATATACACGTGTATATATATATATGAATAGTATATATTTAAATGAGTGTGTGTTCCATTTGTGTAAGTCGTAAGTTGTTTTTGTTGCTGTCGTTGTTGTGGTTGCATGAGATGCTGTTGCCGTTTGTTAGTTTTAAGTTTTTGTTTTGATTTGCTTGGCCGCTGTGCTGTCCGTTGATGTGCTTCTTCTTTCTCTCGTTTTCTAATCGAAATGTGTTTTTGTATCTTTCAAATCGAAAAAGTGCAAATTTCAGGCTCCAATTTAAATGTTACACCTGTTTTAAATTTTTAACTGAGCGCAAGGCACATCAAAAGATCATTTCGTAAAATTGGGGCAGTTTTGGAAGAGAATACTTTATAGTAATTGTTGTTTTTTTTTTTCGTTTCGTTAGATGTTTTGTTTTTTTGCGGCACTTTTGTAGTGATTTTATTTTTAAAGCACTTAAGTTTTCTCAGGTTTTATTTTTTATTTCTATTTAGTTGTTGGACCGCCTGATTATGTCACGCTTGATGCTTAACAATTGCTTTTTATTTTATTTAATTTATTTTTTAATGCAGTTGCGTATTGCCTTTTCCTCAAAGCCAAATGCGTTTTCATTTGACATTAATGTGAAGTAATCGTTAAACATGTATTTATAAGATTTTTCCCTATACCAAACACACACACAAACACGTAGAAATTATAAACAAATTCGCGACAGTTAGTGGGCCAGAGTGAGATGGGTGTAGAGAGCGAAAGATAGCGAGAGGGGCGGAGAGAGAGAGAGAGAGAAAAGACGCGTGTAGAAACACGTACCGTTACACGTTAGGCAAAGGCCTCGACGTACGATGGGCAAGAACGATACACAACCGACAAACGAAGATTTGAATCTGTTTCTGTTTCAGATTTGGAAAATGCTCAACCGAGAAAAAATATCCCGAGCGTTGTGGATTTTCTGATTGCTAGCATGTGGTATATTTTTAATTTCCCCAATGGCGGCGGCCCAAGGCGAAAACCGTTTTTGCTGTTGTTGTTGTTGAGTAAATGGCAAACACAGGCGCTAGGTGGAGCAGCTGCGCGCGCATTCGATCAGCTGGCCACGGACAGGCGCAGTACTTACGATCCGTAGCCCCAGAGAGAGAGAGAGAGTGCGAGAGAGAGCGTGTGTGTGTTTGGCTGAGAGCGGATGCTGTGTAGGGAGCAAACCATGCAGCCATGCAAAAAGGAAAGGGAAAGGAAGGGGGGCAGACGTTTACGCTCTCATTCGCTCACTCACTAGATAGTCATCGTTGTGATCGACAAAGTACTCCTCGAGAATCCAATTGTCGCCGGCGTATCGGTCCACGGGCATATCGCACAGTGCAACCAAATCGAATAGATTACGTTGCCGCTTCAATAGCTGGCAGCGGCTGACCTGAGGCCTATCAATGGCCGCCTCCCGGTTGTCCCCATTATTGTTGCCATTTGAAGTTGGCGCCGTCGTCGCCTGCGCAACATGCTGCCGCCGTTTGTAATGTTGCTCCAATTGCCGAAAGTACTGAATCTTGACGAGCTTCTTTGATCGCCAGTCGACGTCTACAGTCTAGAAATTCTGTGTGTGTCTGGTCTGCTCAGCCGCTCAATTGCCGTCGCAATGGCCACCACCACTACCGACTGGGCAGCCCGCCCCACCCAACGAGTGTTAATGTCAAATGATCAATTGAACGAAAATAACAAGCACACCCGCGACAGGCATTCCGAGGGCAGAGCAATTAATTTAACAGATTATCATCAGCTCACGCCATAGGGCAGACGACAGAACACAATCGAAACGAATCTTTACTACTTATGTGTGATCACATGTGTAGAATATACAAGTATTATGCGATCGCGCTCTAGTTTTCCTATGAACAAATACTTAAGATTCAAGAGTTAACAACACCTTGGAGCCTCTTGGAGTCATATTTAATATTATTAAAAAATACTTTAGTTTCTTAAGATTAGATTGGATATGCAGCCTGAGTTTGCGTTAGTTATGTACTTTCACTGCATTTCATAAAAATGAATTAATTACGAAATTCTTTTAATCTATTAAGACCACAAATTATAAAACTGAATTTCAGACCTTACGATTACGTTTAATTTTCTATTTCTAATTTTCTATGTATTTTTTGTGGCAAAGCAACTCATTGCAAGTGTAGAACCACAAAGAGAGTTCAGTTTGATTATATATTTAGCTCGTCACTTTCTTACGAATGATTACAATTTAATCGCAAAATTAGCACAACGCCTCAAAAGATAAGACTCGGGCCGATGATGAGTGAGTGCAATGGCGCCCAGAGAGAGTCATCAAGAATATAGTGCGAATGCGAGTAAAATTACGAATAAAAAATACGAGTATATTGTTGGGGTAAAAAACAAAACAAAAAGAAGAGAGAACACGAGACACCGGCGCAATATTGAAACAGTTGGTTTTTGGGCAGGTGTTGGATAGGGTCGATAGGGGTTTTCTGACAGCTTACAAGGTAATCACTATCGTGATCAGCAAAGTATTCGATGACAATCCAATCCTCTGTGTACGGCAGAAAGCGCAGCGCAGAGCACTCCAGCAACAGATCGCGATAGTGATCGATGCGTTGGGGCGCGGCCAGTTCACGCATTTTGAAATAACATGGAATTTGGGAGCTCTCAAACTGTTTGGCAGTCAGCTGGGACTTTTCCAAATAGCGCTTAAAGAACAGCATCGTATCGGGCGGTGATTTGATAACTGATCGAGGGGCACACTACACACATTAAAGATACAAAATTGCAAGAAATTTGGCAAGCAGAGAGCGACTACGCCAGCTGTGATTCTGATATGTGAGGTAAATAAAATATATACTAAGAAAACTTGATCGATTATACATAGGTGTATGTAGGTGTGTGTGTGTACACTATACACAATACTTTCTCAATATCACTGTATTGCTTAATCTTTCTTTTACCATATTTAAATAATAACGTTTTTTTCTTCAAATTTTTCAATTAATTATTGTTTGATTGCTCAGCCTAAATCGTTCGTTTGTTTTTTTGGGTGTTGTTATAGAAAATGACAAGTTTTTACCTTAGCTTGCGATTGGCGATTGTTGCGCCCGCTGTCGCGCTCATCCTTGGCGCGATCGCGATGCCGGCGCCGTGAGCTGGAGTGTGAGGTCTCCTCCCTATAACGGTACTTATGCTGCCGCCGGCCAGTGACGGGCGATTTGCGATGCGAACGCTTGGATCGCTCCTTGCGCCGCCGGGACGACGAGAGGCTGTCATCAAAACTGGAAAAAACGATCAAGGGATAAAGAGGTAATTAATAAACGGGTTCGCAAGCTGCGCGAATTACTTAATACCTATAAATATATACATATATATATATGTGTATAAGTAGAAGTATAGATCCGACAACAGATGAATGGCCGTCCTTGACGCAACGCCCAGCACAACTGTCGAATTA